ACGATTCAGCGCTGTACCGGGAAAAACTTGTGGCCCCTTCGTCGGTGGAGTTCGCCCACTCGTTTTCCGTTTCATTTAGGTGGGCGCGTCCAGCTGGGGAACGCAGCGCGGCGATTGTTGTCAATGCCAATTTCAAGCCGCAAAAATTCAACTCGCGAGGTACGTCGCGACCGCAGTCGCGATTTTAGTTGCACGTGTATGCGCAGTCCACTGGCCGTGCGAGGGTAATCGACACGCAGTATCGATGCTCGCGCGGTACGGCGCGTCGCGCGACCGACTCTCGACGCCTATACTTTTTCCGCTGTACCGACCAATCGGTTCCCGCGGTTTTTCGCGTGATTTTCACGCGGCCAAACAAGATGAAGGATTACGGGGTTAATCGCGAGCGCCTCGTGGACCCTTGTGCATTGATTTGCTCGATTGCGCGTCTTCGTGCATTTTGCCATTGTTTCTCGCGTGCGATTCCCCTCGTCTCGCTTTGAACGCGCGATCGGGTCCGAGTCAATCTCCGTGCTGTAACTGACGGGTGAAATTATCGAGTTTTTAAGGGAAATTAATATTCGAAGCACAGATTGAGTTTCACCTTTTTTCGCCTATGCTCTGCTCTCGAAAGACAATTGGCCCCGTCCTATAATCTCGTCGGAAAATCTCGTCTTTCGATCTCGTGTGTGCGTTAAATTGAATTTAATGAGACGAAAAGAAGATTTGTAATACGATTTGCGGGTTCATCTTTTTGACCTCTTCCGATAATTACTCAAATCGGTTAACCGAATTCGTTCGGACAAACGTCGCCTAATCAAGTTTTTCCCCGCGGTACTCATCCGTTATTAGACAACTTCGTTAGCCCCAAAGAAGGAGAAAATCCTGGTCAGCAAGTCGGATAGAGAACATAACTCCGTGGCCGAGTCCCCTCGCTATAGGAGGTCGGCTCCGCGCGTCCACTAATAAAACGTCAGCTCCCTTTTTTATCCGCGGAAAAGAGCGAAAACGCCTGCCGCGTCGCTGCGACAGCGGCAAGCGGTGCGGCGGAGACGGCAAAAAAGCAAGCCGATCCGCAGCGACGAGTGGCGAGCTCGTTCATTTTTCATCCGGCGGCGGCCCTCTCCCGATGAAACATCGACCGACGGCGGTCGCGCTAAAAGAGTTTCTTCGGGGCATTCCGCGACGCACTCGAATAATGCCAGGCAGCCGTATATCATAACTGTTGCGGCCACTCGATGAGTCATTAGCGTGCCGCTGGCGCTCTCTAACTGTGCAGTCTCCTTTGCCCCCGTTGGATGCTAATGCTTCGCCGAGGCTGCACGTGCCCCATCGCGGATTTACGAGCGAGCGCCTCGCGGAAGCGCCGATAAAGCTAATTGAAAATGCTTTATCGTTGCTTCTTTGCGCTCTCTCGTCTCTCCGTTTTTGCGCGTCCGAGCGGCGAAAGCTCCCTCTTCTCTGCTCGGGAAACGCTTTTCGATATCGACTTCACTTGGCTTTTGTGTGCCCGTGACAGCTCGTCAGATTCGTAGCGAGCTGCGAACGGGCCGACCACAAAAGATCAACGTTCGCCCATCCCGAGGACCCTGCGGGCCGCGCGCACGCAACGCAAGCCGTTGAAAGCTCCGGGTCTTTCGCTTCGCGGCGTCGCTGGCTACGCCTCGTTGATTTATATAGTTTTCGGCTTCGCACTCGCCGCGCGCACGAATCAACGTCGAGCGAAGGGCGGTCCTTCGTCGTAAAAATTGCCTCGAAACGCGCTCTAAAGTGCGCGCCGATGGCTTTACGATGGAACTAAACGCCACTCGTGCGCGGGCATCGACGGCCAACCCACCCTCTTGCTTTTGCTTGCAAAAGCGAAAAAAAAACACCAAAAACCGAAGGTGATCCAAGTCCCGGGAAACGATCGGCGACAGTGAAATCGGACAGCCACGGAGAGAGCGCGCGGGATTCATCGGTCGATCGCAGAGCCACGGGCTAAACGCGAGCGGATGCAGATGGCGATTGCTCTCGCTCTGATTAACGACGTGCATACGGCGCGGCGCCGAGCTTGGCCGAGCGATATCCGCAACGGGGGCTATTTTCGGAAGCCCTCCGCGTTATTAACGATACGCGCGTCGACCTCGCGGCCGGCGTAGAAGAGCGAACGCTCGATCCGCGATCGAACGATGATTTATCGATCGCGCCTGCGTGCCGCCGACCCGGGGCCGAAATAGCCCGCTGGCTCGTCCGTTGGAAACGCGGCGCAATAATTTCCACGCCAATAATAGCGAACGAAAGCAGGGGCTGGCGCGCGAAAGTTCGCGCGTCCATCGAGATACCGCGAGAGGATGGGCGGCGGCTAATCGTTCCGCCGGCGCTCCGCGGCTCGTCAGCGCGACTCTTTCCGCGCCCAGTCGACAATGCGGCCCCGGAAAGCACTTCGATTTGGCGCCGGATATTACGTGCATTTTCAGCGCGCGGTCGAATCCTTTCCGGCGAGGAGGGGGCCGATCAATTGCCGCGTGCCGAATGCGGACACGACGACTCGCGGTCCCTCGCTCTCCGCCAGCCGAAGTTCGCAGTTCAAGGTCTTGGAGCGATAGAGTCGCTGCGGCTTATCGCCGATGCGCGCGTCCGTCAATTTGCCGTCGTGGCGCGCCAGGACAGAAACGATTGACGCGCCTGCGCCAATTCCCTTTTCTCGTCGCTCGCGTTGCGAAACTTGGTCGCTTCTCGCTGTTTTCTTATTATTTGCGTCGCGTGAGCTTGCGAAACGAGAAATCGCCATCGCCAATTCTCGCAACAGAAAGATAAACTTAGCGCGATGAATAACCATCGGCGCGTCGGCCGGAGAGAGAGAGTGGCTCGTTCATTGTCAGCCAATCTGGAAACGTCGCTATGTCGAAGCGGTGAAACCTCGATGCGCAGTTGGAGATTGCCCAGCGTCGATCGTCAATAAAATTCGATTATGGGGGCGAGGCGCGCGGTCGGCAAACTCGACGATGCGTTCGCGTGCACTTGTCGAGGCTCGTCTCTCGGATTTGCAATGACTCGCGGTCGAGGCGGCAACGACTGTTGAACGCCTTTATCTAATCGGCCCAGCTCGCTTACTGCGCTGTCCGCAGCAGCCGTCGCTCCTCGTGAAAATGTATTCCCTCGGCTCGCCGATTTGCCATAAGAAGCGAAAGCCGCCAAACGGAATTCGCGTCGAACGTTCGACGAACGCGAGCGAATAGCGACATCGATCGTTGAGACTTTTGCTTGCAAAGCGCTGCAGCCGCGCGGGAAATTCGGAGCGCGCCGCGAGAGCAGAGACAAAAACTGCCGGCTGAGAAAGCGAGGAGTCGGCACGAGAACGGAGTGTCCAGCGTTACTGCTCGTGAATATTAGCATAAGCTGTCGTGTTGGAAAATGCGCGTTCGTTCCAGTGAGTTTTTTCTCTCTTTTCGTTCTGCTCTCCGCTCGTCGTTTGCTCAGCACTCGTCTTTCTCGGGACGGCGACGGCCGAGCGAGACAATGCGCGCGCGGGTGGATGGGCGCGACGCGTTGAAGCCGCGGGCGTGGGAAAATTCGATGGACGCGCGCTTTCGTGTCAAGGAAATTGGCCATTTGCATTTTTCATAACTACGTCTTGTTCTCCTTGGAGCGATCGGTCGGTGCGTTCGGATCTGTCTGCCGTCAGCGACCAAACCGATCCCGTTCGCGCGATCGGCTCGTAATTCCAATGGGCCCGCGCGCACGAAAGAACAGCACCCCGCGACGTCTGGGACTCGAAAGCGAGCTCGCGATAACGACGCCGCTGAGGCAACGCTCGACGAAGCTGGCTTTTCCGCGTGCATCCTGCGGATGCGCGTCATAGATCGCACGTTCGGCAGTCCCGACGAGCGATCCCCGTTACACGCTCGTCAATCGTCATTCAGCTCGCGCGCGCTCGGCGCCTCCTCGTCGAGCGGGCCAAGTCGAGTCGCGGGTGCTCTCGCGGCGGGGCTGACGCACGAAGAGGAGAGGCGCGTCGTTAATCGCGCCGAGCGCAAGCAAATCAATTTGAGCTCTGGACTTGGCCTACGGGCGGCCGTTTATCAAGCGCGCGGGCCGCGCGCTGTCGTCTTGCCTCCCCGCGCCTGGGGGGTCAACGCCCGTGGCGCTCGCTTATTTGATTTTTTCGCCTCGACAATCCCATTAAGCGATAAATATTTGCGGATGTCACTGCGCCCTTTTTGCGCGCTTTCCCATTCAGCGCCGCATGGGCTTTCGCGGGAGTGGCCCTCGTTTAACTACACCACGGGCCTTCGCTATTCGGGAATGTCGAGCTATTTGCTTATCGAAGTGTCAGCTCGTCGCGACTTATTGTGACTGGCTGCTATTCCGCGCGACAATGTGCGTGTAATTGCTTTGGGAACTTTGCTACGCCACGCGGCAGTTCGCCAAAGTTGTTATTACCGTCTGGCGGCTGACAATTTAAAAAATTTCATTTTGCCATTTCAGACAGTGGATCGACTTAACTTGTCGATTATTCAATATTTTATCAACAAATCTTCGGCTGGCACAGAATGAAATTCCATCGGTGTTGCAAAACCTTTATGTTGAAAAGGAATCTCCCTATAAAAAGATTTATCAAAGCTTGAAAAATCAATAAAATCCATCCTCCGAATTCCTCGCGACGAAAAGTTACGATCTCAGCGAAATAAAAAGACTGAACTCCGCGGATTCATCATGCACGCGAGTTGGCAGTTGTTTGAGAGCTATTTTTAGGTGCATTCCGTATTCCGAACTTTTATCCGTGTCCCACATCTGGCAAAGGCACGAGATGCAGCAAAGTGAAATTGACCGAGCACCGCTTGCAGCCCGAGGATGTGCCGTGAGAGGCGAAAGGCTTCCACGGATTAACGTCGTTGATTATGCCAGACTAGTCCGGGCGCGTCCTCGCAGATCGGATCAGCTTGGCGCCCCTGCGACGGACAGTCGACTCGTCGACTCGCGGATCGTCTCGCGAACGTTGCAGTGCGCACGACTAACGAGCTCTGTCGGCGTTGCAGGTGCGACGAAGGATGGTATGATCGGCGAGAGAGCCCGGAGCTTCGAGCGGCTGTCTGTACGATGACGAGGACCGAGACGAGGAGGGCGGCGCTGCCGCTGCTGGGGTTGGCACTGGCGTGCTGCCTGCTGGCAGCCTCGGCGGCCAGCTACCAGGAGGACGACCTGGTGTTCGACGACGTGGGCGAGGAGACGCCGACGGCGAGTAGCGAGCAGCCCGCGACGACGAGCGAGCCCAACAGGAGGGATCGCGGCAAGCCGTGCCCGTTCGTGCAGAGGCTGCTCGGCATGCCCGACGCCGTCGCCCAGGTCGGCCACGTCTTCAAACTTCACGTGCCCAAACAGGCCTTCTCCGGCAGCATCGACTACTACGAGGTACGACGCCCCGAGCCGAGACACCTCCGCGCGAGATAAAGAGAGCACGTCTGGACGCTCGCCAGACGTTTGCAGCAGCGCTCCTCCCTTTCGCCCCCCCCCCCCCCGGTTCGCTCCTTTAAAAGCGCCTGCACTCGCTGCTGCCGCGTACGCGCTTCCTCTTTCGGCCGTCTAAGCGCACGTTTGCCCGCTTCCGCTGCAACATCTCGCACATGGCTCGCATTAGATCCAGTCGCGGCTCGATGCTTCCAATATGCGGCACGTGGATGCGGTTGGGACTGCCGCGCGCGTTATTGCTCTCTTTCACCTTGGTGCCCGAGCGAGAGGAGAGAGGATTGTTTCGCGCGTCGTCGGCTGCCGAACCGACAACGCGAGTCCGGAATTTTGATGCGACGCCTCGGGCCGTGCACTATTTTTATTTTCATATCGGAAGTCGAGCGATTTGTCAGCTTTTATGACTCGGTTATCTGTTTCCAACGGCGCGTGAAGAACAAGGCAGAAAAAGCGTGAATCCGCAGGCTGGAAGAAGTGCCAGAGGCGCTCCATCGGCTAAGCGTCTCTCGTCGCGCGCGCGCATCCCTCAACAAAGCTTGGCATTATCGCTATAAATAAGCCTTGCTGGCTTGCGCTCTCTCTCTCTCTTTGTCTCTCTGGCAAACAAAGCGACCGGCTCAAGACTAAACAGAGCGCGTCGCATCTGGAGACGGAGAAAGAGAGAAGCTAAACGAGCGTATTTGTGCGCGCAGGCACGGGGTAACAACGGCAAGGGCTTGGCGCACTGGCTGCACTGGGACGAGCCGGCCGGGGCGCTGTCGGGCGTGCCGTCTCGCAAGGACGTCGGCCGGCACCGGGTGGTCATCAAGGCCTTCGGCAAGCACGGCGACACCGTCCAGGACTCGTTCCTCGTGCACGTGGTGCCCGAGAGCAACGAGCACTTCAAGCACAAGGACGGCAAGGTGAGCGAGGCAGAGCCAGGGAATTGCCCGCGTCGGAGCATCTGTACGCTATGTCCTCTGTTTCGCAGAAACGCTGCGCCCGGGACCAGGAGAGAACTCTGCTGACGCTCTTGGTCGACGCCAGGTACGAGAATCTCAAGCCCTCGGCGAAGGTCAACGCACTGGAGAACCTCGCCGGATTCCTTGGTCTACACTCGGTAAATCGTCCAACTCGCACTTTATCGACGCAGGCAAAGTAGTTTTCGTCACGGCGCCGATCGAAAGTCTCGATGCGCCGTTTGTCGCTCGTTTGTCGCACGTCGCTCGACGACAACCGAACATCGAGAAAATCACTCGAGGGAGTACGGTGGCCGAAACGAAAGAACGGCAAGTGGGGCTCGAATCTTCAAACTTGAGATACGAGCAATTGCACTTTTTACTGTTTATAAAGGCGTTAAAAAATCCAAAAACTCGAAGGCTGAACGCGGGGACGGATGGCAAGCTTTCGACGATCACTGTACGAGTGTTGTCTAGTGCCGTCGAAGCATCCTCGCAACTGACGCGGTTCGTGCCCACCGTACTCCCTTAACGACCGCGCTATAATGTTCTCCTCCTACGTGGACACTTTCTCCGGCCTCGATTCGACTTGGCAGTCGCTCTTAGCGCAACGCTGCCGATGTAAAAAATGCGACGAAACAGAAAAGAAAACGGGACGAAAAACAAGAAAGCAGTGACGAGAAAGGAGAAAACAACGAGCAACTGGTTTTGTTCCCGCAGAGCTGGGTGTCGATTCAGCCGGAGGCAGGCAAGGATAGCAGCTGCTCGACTGCACCAGATGCAGGCTCGTCGATAGTCCTGTCGGGTCCAGGCAACGTAGCTCGTCGGCGAGAAAAACACTCGACGCTCGTCCAGTGGCAGGTGAGTGGGCCTTGAATAAATGTTCTCTCTGTCCTGCTCGTTAATCGCCTCGAGTACTCGCGCTGCCGCTGATTCAAGCTCAAGCAAGTAGGTTACTTCTTCTTCCGCCGCCGTCACGTTTTTTCTTTAGTTCTTGCTCTGCTCGTTGTTTCGCCGAAGCGAGGAAAATCTCTCTTGCTCTTCGCCAGAAGAAAATTCTCCGCGCGGATTCTTTCCTTTTCTTTGTTTTTCATACTCTGCGAGCGACAGAAATGTAAATTCTTGATGTGAGTCTGGGCATTACTCGCGCAGTTGGTGAGACGACCTATTTGTCGGAGCAAAAGTTGAGGCGTTCGTCGGGGATAACTCGGGGTGTCTAATAAAGAGCCGCGCTCTCGAAGGAATAGTATGGTATTTTTAAGTTGAAAACCTCGTGCCACTCGTTTCTCCAAACCGCGACTGACGTTGCCGGATTCGCCTGACGCTTTCCAACGTTTCAAAAAATTAATCAACCGAGCCATTAAACGAAGCAGCACCGGCGCAACTGGGCATCGATTGCCGCTGGCAGCGCGGATGAAAATTGTTACGAAAAGTGAATAACCGAGCGGCGATCGATCGAAGAACAGCAGGAGCAGATGCCGATAGTTTATGCAGAGAGCTCGCGATTTGCTCGGGCGTCCTATCGAGAATAATGCATAATACAATAGAGCTCCATCTCCAGCCAATTGATTGAAACTCGGCGAAACTAGGTCGGCTGCGACGGTCACTTCTGGCAGCAGCACGTCGACAGCGTGAAACTCATCCCCGAGCAGGCTCGCGACGGCACCCTCAGCGAGGTTCTTCAGCTGCCGGTCTACAAGTGGCTGGTGCGCAGCGACTCCACGGACTACGCTCGCAACCGACGCGACACCGCGCCCGGCTCCGGCGACGGCATGCTGCGGCCCGACGACGACGACGACGACGACGACCAGGAGTACGACGAGGACGACGAGGACTACGACGAGAACTACGACGACAACAACGAGGGCATCACCGACTCGCCCCAGGAGACAAAGCCGCGCAAGCCCGTCATTCGGCCCGTCGACGGAGCCAGCCCCGGCGGCCTCGACGAGCACCCCCACAGGCATCACCACGGCGAGGACAGCATTGCCGGCATCCACAATCTTGACGTTAGCTATCGCTTCGTTTCTTCATTTTTCAGTCGCGCAGAGCGCAGCCGAGAGATTTAACTTCCGATTTGTGTTTAGAACGAGGACGACTTTATCTGGAGGAACGCGGAAATCAACAACAGCCTTTTCAACAAGACGACCACGACGCCTGCGCCAACTGTAAGTCTGTGTGTGGCGACAATTTTCCTGGCTTTTTGATCGTTTTGCAGCGGCTTTCAAAAAGCGTTGCCTTCGTTGCATTTTTACGCTGCTGAGCCAACGAGTTTTTTTCCTCTCGTATTTGTATTATATTTCCTGCGTAGACCGCTCTCAGACTTTTTCCTGAATGTTTTTTCAAACTATACTCGTAACGCTTCTATCCAATATCCATTCATGAAGCTTTGTGATATTTGCACCAAATCCTATTCTTGTACATCCAAGTTCACTGTGTATGTCCAGTGCCCACTGTATAAATACCCATCATGCAGAGCTGCACTGAGAAAATAAGAGTATATTAACTATTTCATTATTCATTAACATTTTCTTTGAGTACTGGCATTTAGATAAACGAAAAAAAGTTATTAGTTGCGCTTTCCTTGGTGTTGGAAATGTCAAATGAACAAAAAAGAAAAATTATAAGATTAGAACTCCGAAATTGTAACTAACAATAATTTCTGGCACACACCGCATCTACTAACCGTTTCGCAGACAATAGCTGTTACGATACCGTCGTCAACCACCACAACCTCCACAACAAGCACGACTACCACCACCACTACTACTACCACCACAACAACGCCCGAGCCGTTGACCACACCTACTTCCACGACATCTGAACCGACGACGACGCCCACCACCAACACTACCACCAGCACCACCAGCACCACGGAACAACCATCAACGACTGAGAGCACCACGCCGACAACAACGACCACGACTGAAATCATTTTTATGGAAACGTTCACTACCGAGAATGCAACGTCAACAACTTATGTAAATTTGACGCGCATTGCGACCAGTGCCTCGACTACAGCGACGAGTAACGTTACGATCGACTCGTTGCTGACTGTAGAAGAAGACGAAGAGGATATCGAAGAGGAAGAAGACGACGATGACGTCGAAGATAACATGATACTGACGACTGACTTTGATAACGAGACTGTGCCCGATTTTACGACGACCCATCAATCGAATGCATCTGTTGGTGCGTCTGAATCGACGCCGACAACGACGATAACGACGACAACGACGACAACGACGACAACGACGAATGGAGGATATTCATCGCCGAGCGGGAGCGTCGTGGAGTCAGCGTCATCGACTGCTGAGCCAAACGCTACATCCGTATTCTCTGCAAATGCCACTGCAGAGGAGGTAATGCTTAAGTTGCAGGAACTGCTTCGCGCGCGAGACAAGCTTTCTCTTAATTTTGTACAGTTTACGAGCGGCTTCATTATTTATAATTCAGCTTTTTTGACCACTGTTGTGTTCACATATCACGTTTCTTTTTTGGTCGCACGCGCGCCGATTCATTCTCGCACGGATATTGGATATCGTATCTTCACTCGAATACGTTGCAAGCGATAAAAAAAAAAAAAAATTAAAGATTTCGAAGAATCCGTCTACAAAATGGCTTGATAACAAAGCGTCGTTCGATTGTTCTGGTCAAGATACGATATCCAAGCAATAGCTTACCTATACTCACGCGAAAAAAAAACGATCACTGCACACTACGTCTACACTATTCACTTTCTCACGCATCTTGTGCCACCACACATACTACTTGTTATTCATTCCTTGATTCGTATTGTACAGTTTTATTATGTTATATTTTTATGTTCATATAAGTACACCCTTTTATTGTATTACATTGTGAACATTTTTCTTATATTATGTATTCCGTGCTGTTTCACACTCGACTAAATGAAACGTACACTGGTCACTGAAATGTCTTTCTTATTCAGTATCCGGAGCCACCAGTTGAACCAAAACAAATTTCAACCTCAAGCTCTGCACCCTCTTGGAGCGATAGAGTTACGGAAAGCTTCCCAGAAGAACCGATTGATGCTTATGATCCTTACGACATTAGTAAACATGTACCATTCTTTAGCTCGTCCAGCTCTACACCGTGAGTAGGCGTGATTCGCTCTAAAGAGATTTATTCGATATTTTCCACTGACGACACTCGGCCTTCGTTTCAGTACGACTACAACGACGACTACGATAACACCAGTTCCGACTACACCGACAACTACAACAACGACAACTGTGGAGCCTTCAACGACACCGCCAACAAGGCCTACCACGACAACAACGACGGAGCCTCCTTCTACTACTTCACCTAAGCCGTCTACTACCACAACTACTACTACCACTACCACAGAAGCACCTACGACTAGGGCTACTACACCGGAAAGAATAGACTACGGTATTCGAAACAATGCGCCAAGAATAGGTAGGAGATTAAAGAGGATACCAGTGACTCAGGGTAAAGTTCTTAGCTACGAGATACCGGAAGATGCTTTCAATGATTTCGAAGACGGCAACACGAGAAATTTACGTCTGCAAGTTTATGAAAAGGATGGCATTCCCCTCAAACCCTCCTACTGGTTGCAGTTTAATGAGAATACGCAAGAAATTTATGGCTTGTAAGTTTCCCCCGGTGTTACAGGAGACGAATACCTCTAGTATTAAACTTCTCGATTAAATGCTGATTTGTGCGTTTTCAGGCCCGACGACAAAGTTTACAGCAGTTACTTCTTCGATGTTGTTGCTACGGATCGTGGTGGGCTGTCGGTTAGCGATAAGCTCGAAATAGTGGTACAACAGCACAAGCAACAGCGTGCGTTCAATCACGACTTCCACTTGTATCTGAAAATCGATAAGAGAAATAACTTCAGAACGAACGTTGACTGGCAACTGAAGGTTGGTACAGTCAGTGCTTTTCCTTACATTGACGAAACTAAACGAATAACATTAACATGGCTTTCACAGGTAATGAGAAGTTTAGCTGAGCTTTACGGAGATAGTGATTTAAGCTACATCACCGTCAGATCTGTCGATATTGAAAATGACCAAGCAATTTACACGTGGACGAATGATAGCTTAGCTAGAACAGACTCGTGTCCTCACGAAGAAATTGATAGACTGTACAGCGTAAGTGTTTTCATATAATTTATGCAAATCCGAAGAATATCATCGATCATTGGAAGCAGACGTCTTCAACGTCAATCATTTTTACAGCTTCTTGTTTCAAACAAGAAAACCGAGGAACCAAGTGAAGCTTTGATAAGAGTACTGGATCCTGAGATAAAGGTCAAACGTGTTGTTTATCAAGGCTTGGAACAGTGCCAGCAGTCGAAAGAAACTAACGAGAGGTGGCCTATAGTCAGGAATCAAATCGATCACTTGAAGGCACTTGTTGGAAGTCTGTACGTTCACAAAGTCAAAAAGGTACAGATCAGTAGCCGTGTTACAGTCTTACTTTTACTTCTTTTAATTAGTTTAGTAGAAGATATTTATGAAAATATTGTTATTTTCAATTCGCAGGACACATTCTTTGATGAAGACGATGGCGACACTAGCAAACTTAAATTATTTCTGTACACCGGTAATAGATCAGATGTACCGCCCTATGACTGGCTGCAATTTGATAGTAAAAATCAAGAATTTTACGGCGTACCGCTGAGAGAAGATATTGGCCGAAAAACTTACCAACTTATTGCGAGAGACAAAGAAGGTATAAAATTTAAATTAACATTCGTGTTCGAATGAAAAATAAAATGTATTATTTGTTGTCTGTAGGTTTGGAAGCGACGGACAGTCTAGTTGCAGAAGTCAAGTCATTGCCAGAGGAATTTCAGCACAATGTTGAAATAAAGATGACGATTAATATGCCATACGAGACATTTGTGCACTCAGCTCAGCACAAGCGACAATTCATCCAAAAATTGGCAAATGTGTATGGCGAGAGAAACATTAGCGCGATAAACATCCTGTCAGTTAGTGGGAACCGCGAAACATCCGACATCGTTTGGCGCAACTTTTCCTTACCCGAGGAATATTGCCCCAACGACCAGATAACGCGAATGCGCAGAGCATTGGTGACAGATGACAAGAATTATACATTCGAGTTGAGCCGAGAGTTCAAAGACGAGTTTTCAATAATTATGATAAGCTTTACGCTAACGGGCGAATGTCGCAACGTCGTTGTTGCCGGTGCTGACATCCCATCCAAGGGCGATACGACCGCTAAAGGCGCCAGACAGGAAGAGTATCTCATCACATTCGTACTTCCAGCGGTTATTATTGCTACAATGTTGGTCCTCGCGGGAATAATCGCTTTCATCTTGTACAAGCGAAGAAGAAGCGGCAAGATGAGCGTCAGCGAGAAAGACGACGAAAGACAGAGTTTTCGTAGCAAGGGTATACCAGTCATCTTCCAAGACGAGCTTGACGAAAAACCAGATCCAGGTATAAAGAAGATATTTCAGTTTTCGCTATAGCTATGAACTTGTACTGTTCGAATTATAAAGAATCCTATGTGTGCATGGTGTTGACTCTACAAGTGTAACTGCAGAACGCGTTGAATTTCATATATCTAACCTTCACGATAAAACATTTCATTTCGAGTAGGCGAGGTTCGAGTTGCTTGCGTTCTCTCGCGAAGTCAGTCATAAAAGTTTTTATCGTCGCACTTTACGATGACAACTGGTTTTACAGGTAATAAATCGCCCATAATCTTAAAAGAGGAGAAGCCACCACTACCACCGCCGGAGTATCAGCGCGCAGAGGACGGCGCGGACATCCCGATGCTGTCGAAAGAGAACTCGGAGGAGCCGTACCAACCGCCGCCTCCGTTCGCGACGAATCGCGACAACAATCGCCAGAACAGACCAAAGCCCACGCCGACGTACAGGAAGCCACCTCCGTACGTGCCGCCCTAACAAAGCAATCACTTCAACAGTGCAGCCGTCGCCGCCGCGGCTGTGAATTCGCCCACACGCAAGTACATGCTAGCGATGCTCGGCGACTCGCCCAACCACGTGCAACATCAGACGGTGGTCGCGAGATTCAAGGGCCAATTCAACAACGGCTTTCGCGATTCTCGTCTCGTTCGGTAGACTCTCGCTGCTCTACCCGACTCACTCGGGTCTAGTGCACGACGACTACTTGCTTTAAACTCGAACACTTGGCGACCGAAATTTTTATTTTATAACCTTAGCTTCTTTTTTTGTTTTAACGCGATAATTACTTAATTGTATGCCAAGTGTGATGCAGTTTGGTGTTCGACTCGGTCAAACTTCGCCTCACTTTTTACCCTTAATTTGGCTCTCGTGCAACTTCAGTTCTTGCCGAAACAAGGGTAATTACTTTTTAGACATGTTAAAGTATCGTGATAAGCAGATTTTATCCGACTGGCTTACGTACATTGGCGAATGTACGTATGATTATGTCAATTTTTTTATACGAAAACAGCTTGGAGAAAATATGTATTGTCTTTTACATATTGGTTTTTTAAATCGAGCTTGTAAATTGTAAATATTTTTTATTCCATGATCCTATAAATTAAAAAAATTCATTTTTCGTATTGTGCGAGAGCCTGATCGATGTATTATAAAATTTTTATATCTCTTTTAATCAATTTATCAAGGTTTCATTAAATATTCCTTTTACACTTCAATACGCACACACTTGAACAAAGTAGAGAGAAAAAACTTATTGAAACTTGTCGATCACGCGTTGCCTTTTGTAACGAACTTCGCGTTAATAGTGTAGAGAAAAAAAAGTGAAGCTGATTGCTCTCATATCGAAGAAAACTCGTCTATCGAGAAGCTTGAGTGAAAGAACTACAAATAGCAGGGGTAGAAAACAAAACGGTAGTGTTACGAAAAGTAAACTTTTTAACGATTTCAATGATACTCGATTGAAAAAAAAAGATATATTTCACAGTAATCAGTGCCATTTTATTAAGCAATAAGCTCACCTAATTGTGAATGCTAATTTTTACATGGGTTTCTTACACCAAATTTTTTCAATCGACCGATTGACAGACTCGCTTTGTATCGAGCCTTCTAATAACCATAGACTGTAACGTACTTCATGAAAGATGACATAGCACTGCCACTACGAAGGTTTATTATCTTCGGTTGAAAGTCTTACGTATTTGTCCGTCAAGGAATTCCAAATGTGGATACAAAATAGGACTGTGAATCAATTGCGTATCACATATTGAGCTTTTGCGGGCTACTTATTAATAAAAGTTTTATCAATGCTTCCATTGGCGAATAGGTATGCCAATATTAAACGATGTAAAGGCACCACGAATAAAGATTGTAAAACCGATGACCGTTCGTGAAATATGAACATATAACTGCGTAATACGTATACAGTACATATTTAATAAATGTTATATTGATTCGTCGTTTGATACTCTCTTGTCAATAGTTACATTTGTAATAGAGTTGTTTAAATGTACTGCTTAATTAACTTCGGAGCATTTACGTTTAAGAAACTTAATTGTGAAGATGATGTTATAATCCTTTTATCATGTGTACCCTTAAGTTTTTTATCTTATTTTAAAATAAAAAGCAATGGATCACCGTCGTAAAGAAAACACAACATTGTAATCTTTTATCAGATATGAAATATTATATACAGAGCTTTAACTGCAACACTTTTGTAAACTAACGCGCACTATAATAACTACAAAACTATTTAATTTTAATACTTACACACCTAGTTACCAAGCCAAAACTTGACTTATTATATAACAGGAAGAAGTTATAGAGACATAAGAAGAATAATATTTAAACAGGTTGACCTCTTACGGGTTCACCTTAAGCATAGTACTTGTCGAGAAATTTTTCGAAATATTTTTATTTTTATCAGTAACATAGAAGTGTAAAAAACTACGATCGAATTGATAGAAACGAATTTTTCATTCTTTAGAAGAGTGACAATATATGCCGTATTCTTTTTTTAAATTTGACGCGCGCAACAACTTTACAATTTGATATTTTTCAAAGAAAAACGATAATAATTACGTAGATGATAGATAAGAAATCGTGCGAATGATGATAATTTTCATTTGTCTTGTGTACGTGAAAAATTACACGATATTAATAATAAAATTCAAGTGAATGTTCATTATGTTAGAAAAGAAAAAGATGACGAAAGAAAGCTAGTTTTTAAAATATAACACCAACGTCAAGCTACGTTGTTGCATAACTTTTAGCAATTAAGTCTACCAGCGATCATCGTAAATGTGTGTAATAGACAGTTTCATTTTCACCGACACATGTGGTCTCAAACATCAAGAATTGTGCTGGAAGATATATGTGAATAAAAGAATGTTCCTCGTTGTTTGAGAGACCAATTGTCAATTTCAACAAGCACGTGTGTCCATCTTACAAAATTCAACCGAATTGTCGATAATTGTTTTATACTAAACTATTTCAAGTTACGTACAATAATTATTATATCTTAGTTTTCTCATAATTTTCTTGCTTTTTGCGATCTTCATTAGTTGTGTTGCTGCATGAGCCAGAGGTGATTGAAACACCTCAATTCATAGTATACTTTGAGTGTAATGTTGTCAAGCTCAAGATAATGCGACTTTAAGATTTATAATAAATGAAAGCTTAAAAAATAAATATAAATATGGTATACTTGGAAACAATTTTCTCATATCACGCTTAACTCATATCGTTGCTCAGTGCGTATCCGTCAGACTGCCAGACAAAAAACGAAATTTTGTATAATACATACGTGTGTACTATGTTTATAAAATAAGTAGTAGAGATAAAGGAGACTAACAGAAAAGAAGAATTTGTGGGAATTCCACATGGGACCGAAGTTGAGAAGAATATATGAAAAAAAGTGGAAATCGGTATTTAAAAATGTTGCAACTATGGGTAGTTGAAAAACGAATGAGATGGTACAATTATTTTTCATTCGTATTAAGTATATTAAAAGTAAATCAGGGAGTGAAATTGGAAACGTGATATTAACGTTTGCATTTAGAATGAGAGGACGCAAAAAAGGAAAAAATATATATTCGTAATTATGAAAGTGTAAATAAGTGAACTAAAGAAATTTCCAAAACAATAACGTATCTTGTGATTTATCGTGACTAAAATAGTTTATTTTTTTACTGTACGAAGTCCTTGATCATGTTTCATTGTTATGCCAGAAACGGTTTGTTATCAACGAATATCAATGAAATTGTTGCATGCAAGAAATAAGCAACGGTGATTCGAACTCACTTGCTACGAATATCGTTCTTTTGGGTAAGCGAAAGCCAATTACCGCACCGAATTCACTCCCTGACGCAAGAAGTATGAGTAATAATAACAATAATAATCTAACAAGTTAAAAACATGTGTTACGTACTGAATAAGCCACTCATCAGGCAGGCGCCACGATCAGGGACTTGAAGTTCCAATAGTGACTTGTAGGTTCATTCGCAATTGCCTGGAATTCAGTGAAGCTTGTTTATTTCAGCTCTCGTAAGTCGTAAGGCTTTGTTATCTGTCTCATAAATTATAATAAGCATACTCTCGTGCACATACTAAACATGTTGGTTCTCGTACTGAGATAATATATCATATACAGACACTGGCGCGTTTGGTCTATTTTCCTCTTGGCGGCGCATGCCGAGTAGACGAGTCGAGCGAAAAGCCGACAGCGGGAACATGTACATAATTTCATTGCAAGTGTGCAGAGTCATGCATAGAACAACCTGCGCTATGCATGCGTGGCTTTGCATACTGGAAAGCTTGTTCCAAAAAATTCTACACTCGAGTCGTCTGATCCACATGTGTTTTCCAGCATCTTCGCATCAACTCTTTCACGATTCTATATCGATACGTTGTCAGTAATACACTCAAGCGAAACATTAAAAGGAAAATCGAATAAATAAAAATTAAAAATATATACATAAGTGTACACGAGTACTATAGACTTGACAAGCATAAATATATACACACACACACAAGCCGACAGTGTATAAGACAAGGGTTAATAAAGTCATTTGAGGATACAAAAGGCTTTGTTCATTGTCTATTCCACGCATCAATTCGCGTACAGCAGTTTTTACGTAAACCATCGGCTGCATTCACCTTATCTCTCGCCTCTCGCACAGCGCGTTGTTTTTCCCATTCCGCGCAAAGTATAAAAAAAGTGCCTGCCGCAGTCGGTCGACGCGTCTCGAGAAAGGAAAGCAAGGGAGGAAACCGGTCGCGAAAACGGTGCACACATTTGGGTCGACGCGGCGCGTCGCTGGAACAGGTTTTTTCCCGCGGACGCCTCTCGTAACTTTGGCGCGCTGCGCCGCGGTCAATTTGCCGAGGGGGGCGAGCTATTTTTAAAACGACTCGTTGCATCGGGTCGCCTCTCGGGCACTCGCCTGTCCGGAAGATCGGATCGGCAAACACACCGCCGCGGTCAAGTGGCCTCACTGCCGGACGAGCGGGACGCGACGAATGCGAAAGCAGCGTGGATAAGGCAACTGGGGACGAGCTTGCGGGAACGAAGTCGCGCTTGCAAAGTGAATCTTTTTATCCGCGAGTATCCGAGCGATAAGAAAGTGCGCGCTGCCGAACAGCACGTGCTGCGAGTACGAGGATCGGCTAGCTGTCAAAAGCGTCGTCGCTTATTTTCGCGCCATGTCTGACGAGTACACAGGCCTCTGTCGTTTCCAGCTTGGCTCCGAGAAGCAAGAAAGGGGCTGTCCGCGATAGCGATCGCAAAGGCTCCGAGAGAGTGATTTGTGGCAAATCGACGTTGTCCCCTCGGGCGAGTTATGGGTACGCAGCGCGGCAGGTCCCAATCGCCAGACTGCACAGAGCGCTCGAGCGCGACACAGCGGCGGCGGTGGCGGCAGAGGTCGGGTGGGAGCGGGGAGAAAGAAGCGGTGCGCGATTTCGGAGCGCGCGAGGGAGAGAGAGCGCAGTGCGCACGTGTAAATATTTAGAGGCGCATGCGCGGCTGGAGCTAGCGGCGATGGCGCCTTCACGTGACGTAGCCTTGACGCGGCTATAAACGGCCGTGCGGCGACCGGCCGATCTACACAACGCGTCCAACTCTCTTCTCCGGCGCATCGGCCTTTCGTTCCGAGCCAAATCGCAAGTCCGTACAGCGCGAGTATTGTGCATCGTCAGTGTGCTAATCCGGCAATCAGCGGGAGTGCAACGAGCCGATTTCCCAGCTAGCATAGCGCCAGAGCAGTTTCTTCGTTCGACAGTCGGCAGGAAGATTGCCAAGACGAGCGCGAGCAAGCCCTACTCGGATCTTAATTTCGCGGACCTCAATTTCCGATAAGCGTCCCCCGCGATGGCTGGCTTTTGGGAATGGGACTACTCCAGTAAAAATGGTGAGTTCAGCCGATTAGACCGATCAGAAGGTTTTTTCTGCTCCTTTCGTTTCTGTGCTGGCATTCAAGTCAGCGATGATTTACGCGCGTCTAATTGGAGGTTAACGCCTTCGCCAAGTTTATTTATCGTATACGGAACGGATTTTCCCGGGGCTTCCTGTTGCCGCGCGCTGCAATGACGACAAGAAAGTTTCACGGCCAAAGCGCTTTAACGCGACGAAAAGAAAGGTAAAGACGCTTTTTCTTTTCGGACAGCGCGGAAAGTCGCTAACGAGAGTGTGTTATATTTTATTCTGTTGTCAAGTTTTTCAAATTTATGCTCGATGCAACACATTCGATAGCGTTTGCTTAGCTGTCGCCCTATTAGCGCGATCATATTAGCACGCGCCATCGAACCTTTTCATGATTATCCGCAAAGCATTTCAAGGATGAATAAAAAAAACGAGTTCTAATTCGCGCGCGCTGCTCTTTACTTACAGTCGCGTCGCACGAGGATCGCGATAAAAGCGTGCGAAAGCTCGCTTATCGCGACGCGAGCGTTCAACAGAAAATCTCTTATCGGCGACAGAAATTGCAATTTTCCGCGGTGACGGATTTCCTGCGCGCTGCTACGTTATAATAGGCATCGGGAGCCCGATTACAGAGTCCGCTATTTCCGCGCACTTCGATCTGTTATTTGCTTTTCTCTGTTCTCTATCGTTTTACAAGGCGCCGTCGGGTCATTGGAATCTCTGTACCTATCTCGGGGCCATTTCTATTTTTTTCCTATCGAAAATGACGACAAGGTGAGCGCGTGCTTCGTACGACGTAAAATCGTTCCGATGAGAGGTGCATTCCACCTCGAAGCGCTCCCCCGAAACGTCGAACTGGTATTTTCACGAGGAGCGCTCGCCCGGGCCATTTCGGTCGAAGCGCTCGGATCCGCGCGATGAACGAAACTCCGGTGAATTAACTTTGGGCCATATCCCGGCAGGCGGGTGAATCGAGTCGCTCGACAGCTCCGACGCGAGATAAAGCAAAAGCGAACGAACGCAACGATCGGTCACGCGACGTTGTTCGTAACACGTCCGCGCAGGAGCGCGCTAACAGGTGGCGAGATGCGCAGCTCTGTCCGCCCTGATCGATGCGTTCGCGGAGAAGAGCAAAGTGGGGAGGGGGGAAAAACGGAATAGACGCGGGAGCTACGACCCCGAAATGGGCACAAGGTTTCGACTCGGCGGGGTGCACACGAATCGCGCGTCACGCGAGCAGTCGTGTGTCCGTCGGTTGGCCCCCGCGCGCGAGTTTTATCAATGCGCGGCCGCGCTGTCACTGGCGAACGAGGTAACCGTGCCTGCCTACGCGTACAGGCCGCGCACCGCGACAATCGACGCTCGTCGGGGATTTCCCGTCGCGACGAACAGCGCGCCCTGCCCCGTCTCTCGGCAAAGGAAAACACCGACGCGCGCGCGCTCGTTTATTTACGAGCCGTTCCGAAGGTATCGGGCGGCGAGTCCGCGCGTCAACGAGCGAGAGGCAAGCGAGCCGAAAGCGATCCTCCGACGCGGCGGGCGGCTGTTGGTTCGCGCGAGCGCGCGCGCTCCTCGGGGAAGGAAAAGTCAAGGGAAAGCAAGCCGTGGGCTAGCTCGTGACGCCGGAGTCGGCGAGAGTGGACTTTCTCGCGCGCGAGCTCCCGCAGGTGCTTCGAGAATTCAGCGAGCTCCGGCGAGATTTCCGCACCGCTCGCGCGCGCCGATAATCGTGACTCGCGCGCCTTTATCGGCGAGACTTTGGAATTCGCTCGTCCGGATAAGGAGGTCGCGCTCGCCGCCTTTGTCCGGGCGTTACGCGCAGCGCAGTGCGACGCCAGCCGAGCGGGGACTCCTCGTCCGTTCGCGCACCCTTGTTTGCACTTATCGCAAAGTAGTCGCCCATTAGCGGCGCGACGCCAAGCCGTCGTGAGTCATCCGCCGTGACGAAGGAGGAAGAGAGGAGAAAAACGGCGCGGCAACGATCGTCGCGGAGGACCGCGGCGTTTGCTCCGTATCCGCGCCGTCGTCGCGCCGCGGCGAATCGGCCGATCCCTCGCGCTCGAGGATCGCTAATGGGCGGTCCGCTTGCCCGCTTGGCAGATGGCTATCGAGGGCCGATGGGCGCGCTCGATAGCCGCAACGCGAGCACGAGGAAAACGGGGATTGTAGGCTAACAAGGAGAGCCGCCGTTGCGAGCGGGCTCCCTCCCTCCCTCTTTATCTCTAATTGCTGAAAATTGGCGGAGAGGTCTGTGGCCGTTTCTTACTCCTTTTCGCCGGCGCCGACCTTGCGCCAGATCAAAACTTGGCGAGAGTTCAGCGGCGATAAGCCGCGCTCGTTCCGAATGCATTCGTTTTGCGCGCGCCCAACTAGGCCTCGCTGCACTGTCGCGGCGCCCCGATGCACGCTCGTCTTCGGCCGATCTGATTCGGACTGCGCGCCCTGTGCCTTCCCGCGGCTCGCTCGGCCTGGACGACGATCGGTTGCTTCCGAGTCGCGCGCCGTTCACGCGACCAGTCGAGGAGGAGGAATGATTTTCTTCGCGTTTCCGCCAATCGTGGGTTTTCCTTTTTTATAAAAAGTTGATTGACTTTGGGAAAAAAGTCATTGACGAGGCAATTACGGCCAAATTGTTTCCAGCGTCCTTCTTTTTCAACGGCGATCGCAGTCGTTACTTGGTTTGTCGCGTGGGAGGAAAAAAGATATCGCATTAAAACACGTTGCGCAATCGCGGAGTTGGAGACAGGCCGAGGTGTACGGAAAAATGGATCCGAAAAGCGGTTGTTGCGTAAGAAAACAACGGACGGCTCTCAAGGAGGCACGCAAGAGCATAAAATTAATTAAATATTTTTTTTCTTCTCCCGGCAACCTTCGCAGTTTCTGAATTACAGCCTATTGGCTGTCGAGAAAAACGGCGCAGACTTCAGCGCCTCGTCTCCCGTTGTAAAAGCTAATCGGCCGAACAAATTATTTACGATCCGCGCGCGGCACTACTTAGCAGGCAGTCGCGCGCGCGCGCGCGCTCGTAAGAACGAGCCTGTCAGCAGCCCGAACGACAGTTGACGCAACGCCGCGCGCTCGCGCGTCCCGAGGCGTCGCGTTTCCATTGTTTTTTCCGGCAGATGCACATTTCGAATGCGCGACAGCTCTTCTCTCGCTGCATTGTTGCCGGCGCTTCCAAGGCGAAGAGGAGCAGCGCGCCTGCCGCGACGAAGGGAGTCGACCGACGCGCGCGCGGCCACTGTGCGTTCTCGGGAGCATCTCGCCTCCGCTCTCGCGAGAAAGACGCGCCGGCGTTCTTCGTAACCTCCGCGGACACTCGCGAGTGAGCATTGCTGGGCGTTCGGTTCTCGGTCTCGTTTTCGCTGTTCGCCTCGCGGCCGAAGGTCGGAACGACGACCGCCTCCCCGGCGACCGGTCGGGTTCGACGTACGCGCGGACCGCGCAAACTTGCGTAACCGTGCGTCGTCGTCGTCGTCGCCGCCGCCGCTCGACAGGCGTTTATGCCGCTGCGTCTCGTTGCCTCGCTGCGCTACGCTCTTATCCGCGCGGCTCTATATTAAGCCGCGCGCCGACGACCGCTTCGGTTCTTATTGTCGTCTGCTCGGCAGTATCTCGTCCTTCGGGACGGAGCGGCGCGCGCTTTATTCACGAGGGCGTAGCGTCGACGAAAAGGGACGAGGAGGCAAGCGCGCGCCCGCGAATTATCTAATCGAGCGATAAACCAACGTCGTCCGGCTCTCTTCCCCCATCGCGCGCGCGACGCGCGATCGTCGTTCGCTCGGGCACGTGACAATTTTTACGAGCATCGATCGCGCCGCGCCTAATCAGTGCTATCTCCCGACGTATTTGCGGCTCGCCGCGGATTCGCCGCGCAGCGCCGAGGTGCGCGCGACAAGTTCGGAGCACCGCGCCGCGCGTCTCCGCTCCCCCGGCTTCGGGCACGCGAGCGGCGCCGGGGAGGCTCCTTCGATCGCCGCACGGAGACGCGTGCCTGAATAAATGACGATGGCTCTTTTTTTTTCTTTTCGAAAGCGCGTCGCGATCGTCGCTGTCGCTCGGGTCTCGTTCTCAACTGCGCGTCAGCCTTGGCTGCCCGCGACCGTGCGCGCACCAGTCCATCGCCTGCATCGACGAACGGTCGGCCGATTGGCCGGTCGAGTCGTCACGAACAGTTTCGCGCGCACGCGCGAATCATCGATCGTGCGAGGAACAAAAATATCACGCGATCGCAGCTCGCATCGGCAATTCCAATCAATTCCTCCCGCCTCTTTCCCCTTGCGCTCCCAATTACAAGTGAAAATCGATGTAGCACCATCGATTATTACGCGCTCGATGGCACGTACACTTGCACGGCGGCGCTCGTTACGTCCAATCGAGTCGCCGGATCCGTTACCGATCAAGCAGACGCGAGTCGAGAGAGCAAGCGGAGCCATATCGAGATGTGGAAAAACAAGCGCCGATCGCGCCTCGATTCCGTATAACAAGCCGCGCCACTCTCGAGCGGCACGAGGACTTGAGTCAGCGACTCGACCTTCCGCGATTGCAAGCGCGAGTCGGCGCGCGCCGACTTCGCTCGCGAAAATTCGAGTGCGCGCGGCACTTGTTTAATCCTCGCGGATGAAATGGGCAGAGGACGATCTTCGGCTGCGAATGACGCACAGCGCCGAGCGGCGGGGATGCGCTAATCGTACGCGAGGTCGCGCGCCGCCGGAGGCTGGACTCCGAGCGCGCAGCAAAGTCGCCGCCACTGACGCCGACCGGACTCGTGGAATGTTTCAGGACCAAGCACGTGGGTGGAGAGATTCCCGATGGCGGCGGGCTCGCGCCAGTCGCCGGTCAACATCGAGACGGATCGCGTCGAGTCCGACCACGAGGCGCTGCTGAGCAAGCCCCTCCGATGGAAGTACCCGGCGACGGCCTCGCGGCAGCTCGTCAACCCGGGCTACTGCTGGCGCATCGACTGCGACGGCGACGGCACCCGTGAGTACATTCCCACGGACGCGGCGGCAGTCTGCTGCCCGGCCACCTCGCTGATCGCGGGCGGCTCGAAGCGAGCGAACCACCAATGCACTGGCTCGCTCTTATATTTGGATTTGTAAACAACAACGGCGTTTTGGCGCTGCGCAGTTCGCACTAGGCCGTACGAGCCGTGTGCTATATTCCGGCGTGGCTTAGCAGCGATTTGCATAGCCCCGGGCACGAGCGAGAAGCGTGCGCGCAGCAACGACCGGCGGCCCGAGCGCGGATCAAAGCTTTTCATAAGCAGTATAAAGCTATCCGCTCGGAACGATTTCTATATTACAATGCTTTTTATTGCTCTTGACCGAGCTCACCTCGTGCATAACACAATGAGCCGCGCTTTTTCGTTGAATTCATAATTTGTTTACAAATGAAACGCGGTATACCGTGACAATTGGAGCTGCATACGAACGCGCGATTCAGGGACTGGAAACAGACTCAAGCGAGTAAGCCAGTGTATGATTTTTCTCGGATAATAGCTACGAAAGCACGCCAAGTAAAAGTAGTTTTCGAAGAGGGATAAATCTGCGCAAATCCCGAAAACGTGGTTGGAATGAACATCCGAAGTCGATCGCGCGCAGCATTTTGCCGTGACTCGAAAGCTCTTCGGAGGAATCCCAATAGCCGCGGGGACGATTTTCGCTGCATTTGCACGTTGCGAAATTATCGCGCGGCAACATCTCGAACGGCGTTAAACGGCGGGACGTTGAAAAATAATCCCGCTAACGCGCGCTGCTCGCGAACGAAAGTAAACGTTATTCCGGCGTCGGTCGGCGTACGCTCGTGGCGCGCGAAACCAGTTGCAATAAAAATAAAACGCCTGACAGCCGGAGCACGTACAGGCGACATTTATCGCCCGCTCTTGGAGAAGAAAATAACAGATGCCGGAAAAATACGAGGCCGTATGTTGGGAAAATTATTGGTAATCCGACGCGCGGAGGAGCATTGATGACTTCGAGAAACGAACGAGACTGGAAATCGTGCGGGCGGTCGGCGTCTGTGCGAAGATACGAGCTGACCTTGGCTTACGACTCACTACAACAGTGGAAAAAACAGGGCAGACATTCCGCAAAATGAATTAAGAGCACGCGAGTTGACGACGACGACGACGACGACGACGGCGGAAAGAGCGCGCGGGTTACGCAAGTGCCGCGCCGCTCGATTCGCTTTCGTTTGCGTCCGCGACGCCGACGAGAGATTCACCTGCAGCCGGGCCGGTCTATAGCCGCGACGCGCGCCACCGTCAATTCAAGTGTATCGACGCCGATTGCCTCGATGTCGCGCGCTCGTGCGCTAATCAACGCCATCGCTCGACATCGAGGAACCTCCGCGTCGCAATTCGTTCGTGGACTCACGACAGCGAAAGCAAAGTATCGAACGCGCAACGAAAACATCATGAAAATGTATATCGTGACGCGGTGCTCGAGCGATTGCGTCACGAGCCCCGTCGGCTGTATCGCAACGATATTTCGACGGACCCTCTCCTCCCGTAACAAAAGTTGGCGGCCCCTCGAGAAGCTCGCGCGTATGTGCTGAGCGATGGGATCATCTTTCGGGCATGCCCGTGAAAGGCCGGCACGCGTAGGACGATAGGATTCTCAATTTATTTCGCCAGTTTTTTTCCACTTCGCGCGAAACGCGATTAGCCGACGGTATCCGACCTTAGCTACTCGGACGCGCTAGGTTCTTCGGCGTCAAAGTCGAAAGCGCGCCCTTCGGCTCGAGTTATTTATCTCTCGCCAACTCGGCGTTCAAGCACCACGAGTGCGAAAGTTTGTTTGTCCTCTCTCTCTCTCTCTCTCTCTCTTTTGCTGGCGCCGCGTGTCCTTTCCTACGTCATCGCTGAAATTCGAAAGGCGGGGAAGGGATAATTTTTGCGACGATACGATCGAGACCCTTACGCGCTCGATTGTCATTCGCTGTTGGTTCGTTTTCAGTCCTCACCGGAGGCCCCTTGATGGACGACGTGTACAAGCTCGAGCAGTATCACTGCCACTGGGGCTGCAGCGACTCGAGAGGCTCGGAGCACACTGTCGACGGAACTGCTTTCTCCGGCGAGGTATGTGCTCATACAACACTGATGGAAACTGCAGCTCCAATGAGACGCTCGATTTTTCTATCGAATAATGCATCTGCTTGAAAATTGCCAATACAGTTCGCCGCAGCACGCAAAAACAGAAATAAAAAGAGAAAAAAAAGAGAAAAAAAATGAGAAAAAAAATGAGAAAAAAAGAAACAAGGATGAGTCTACGCAATTTTCCAATCGACTGGCTGCAGCGCATCGATCACTCCCTCGTTCGCGCACACTGTAAAATCGCTTGGCGCTCCGAGCCGCGAAAGACGCCTCGTGCGATGAGATCTTATTCATGATCGCGCACGATCGTCGTATGATGAACTTGTTGCTCGAAGGAACTTGCTTGTAAATAGATTCGGATTACCGATAAGTCAGCTCCATCGAGTATCTTGCTTTGCCACACACGCTGTTTATTATCGGATGATATCGGATGCCGGCCTATAAACTTTCGATCGCAGGCAAACAAGTGCTCGACGTGGATTTGCCTCTGCTATCGAGAGCGACGAATACGTTGAATTGAGAGCCGCTCGGAAAGCCTCCAAACGGAAGGTCGCGCCAATGCAGGCGACTCTGACGTCGCGAAGGCGCGCAGACGGCCGCCGAAACGAGCTCGAGCGACGCGCTTTGCGCTGGCCGACGAGCAATTAGAAAGACCGCTCCGAGAGCGAGCGCGCGCAATGCGAGAAACAACGAGGCGCACATTCGGGAGTGACGGTGCTCGACGATGAACGTACAAAACGCGCTGCCGGGTGCGTAACAATGTCAAATCGCGCTCGCGACGGATGAATCAATCGCGGCGAAAGCCGAGCGCAAGTCACTCGTCTATTTATAATTCCTTTTGTCTTTCAAATCGAGTTTTTTTCTTTTCGTTTTCGAGCGCTCGCGCCTTACGTGCGAGCGCCGTTCGGCTGTTTAGCGACGCGACGCGCCTCTCTCTCTCTCTCTCTCTCGTCGGCGGCGGCTTAAAAGGATTATGCCGGCATTGCGCACTCCCGCGTAACTCGTGAAAACGATATCGTTCTTTCCCATCTGCACGACAACGGCCCGCCCATTCGCTTTCATTACCTAAAGAGACTCGGGAGTTTTATTACTTGACGCATTCCCGGAGGAAAAATTGGATTAGTCGGAGTGTCCTTTCGCTAACAGGTCTATTTTCGAGTTCGGCGGAGTAGAGACGGTCAATATTTGGCTTGGCGCGAATCGACTTAAGACGACGAGCCAACAATACCTTAGTCCGCGCGTCGCGTCGCCCGTCGGTTTACATTTTCTTTCCGCGGCTATCGTTGCAGCTGAATCGCGATGGTGACTAATCGGCTTGCGTTCGGTCGGGAAAGGCAGTTCGGGCAAAGCGGAATCGGATTTCAGCCGACAGCTGCGCGTCTCGTTCGTTTCAGTTCGAACCAGTTTGTCAAACGGCCTCACTGGGTCGCCGCGAATCATCCCGCTCGTTAAGTAACAATTGAACGATCTCGCCGCGAAAGTGGCACTGCGCACTGTTGTGTCATCTGCCAGCGCGCGGCGCGCCTCTGTTGTTCTTACCTAAGGAGCTTCCGTTGTCGCGCGTCGCGGATTACAGCCGCTGAACTATTGCGCAAGCGACGATCGCGCGGCGTCACGCGAGTCTTCGCTCGCATCGATTCCCCCCGTCGATCGAAGCCATATTTTTTTCTTCGTTTGCTTCTCGTCCCGCCTACTCGTCGTCATTACCATGTCGAGCGGCCAACGACAAACGAATCGCTAATCGTCTATTAACGGCAGCGACGCACAAGCATAAACGGGCGTTTAACGGAGCGAGTCGGTAGGCAGAGCGGCGATCGATGCTCGCCGAGCGAAAATTGCAGGAGCTTTTCGTACGGCCGCGTCGCGTGCGCTGCGCATAATTTGCCGCGATGCGCGCGGCCGATCAACTGGTGGCTAATTAGCGCCTAAGCTCGCCCCGGCTGTTTCCTTGTGCAACGCTCCGGCTCGAGTCGGCCGAACGCGTGGCTATCGGCTACGTGGACGTAACTAATTGCAAGCCGCGCGCCTGAATTAATGCTCAGTCTCTCGGCCGTGTACGTGACCACGCTAAATCTACAATTCCCAGAACTGCCTCGTCGACGAGGCGCGCGTGCGAGCTACGTCACGTCGGAAGCTGCTGCCCGTCGTTACTGGCAATTGTTGTCCGGTTGGTCGTTGGTCCATAAATTGGATCCTGCTGCGTGCCGCCACTCGTCGACGCGAATGCGACCGCGCGGTCAATTGGCTTTCCCGTGGATCGCGCGAGCGACTCGAGCGCGGAGTCGTCGCTGGCGCTTGCGAGCCCTCGCCGACTATGCCTGAGGACAGTTCCTTTTCCTTTTTACAGCTGCATCTCGTGCACTGGAACACCACCAAGTACAGGACGTTCGCCGAGGCAGCTAAGGCTCCCGATGGACTTGCCGTGCTCGGGGTTTTCCTCAAGGTGAGTGATCGTCTTCGAGCGAGCTTTCCCGCGCGGACGCGGACGGACGGACGGAGACGGTGTACTCGTACTCTGGCCCTAATCGATACGAGAACGTAATCAACTTGGGATTTTCTTCGGGAAATCTCGAGCAGCGTTACGTTAATTGGCGAATCATTGCGAGCAATCGCAATCGTTGCGCCAATCGTAGACGTCCGGGCACTTGACGGCAGACCGAACAATCGAACGTTCGATGTGCGATTTAACGTGGCCTCGGCAAGACAACCTTCAAGAACGTTCAGCTGCAAATTTATACGCTACCCTCGAAGATTAAGAACAAGTTTACGATGCTACGTCAAGCGATATCAAGAGGCGCCAGCTCGTTAGTGTCGTTTACATCGACGAGCATGGTATTTATTGCGTCAACCTTGCAGCATACTTATTTCGATGTTGTTTCAACGTTGCTCTCGTGGATGGAAATCAATGTAATCGCGTTAATCTAACGGAGCGGTCGTGCGAGCAGCGAGGGGGAGAGCTCGGTTCGCTTCTGTTTCCGAAACTCGTCGAGTACGTTTCGATTTGTCAAGCTTGCTGGGCGTGCGCGCGAAGGGAAGAGAAGCTGGTCACGCGATGGCAAACGGGGAGGAGGAGGAGGAGGAGGAGGCCTCGTACGCCGCTGGAGTAGCCGAGTCGAGCCTGCGTACGCACGCGCGCGACTGCCAGACAGCGAGGCCCCCGAGCCGCGGACGGATCTTGTACGGGTGCAGAGCACGACGACGGCGGCTCCCCTTGCGTAATGCGCGCGCCCTCTCCCGAACTGAGCGGAATCCGCAGCAGCGCGCGTCGTTACGCGTCCTCTCTGCATTTGCGCCAGCTGTCCTCGATTCGCTCTGTTTTCGAGCGCGCGAATCGATCGTCGTCCGGCGTTGCGCAATTCTCCGCTAATTAGATCGCGAGCGCGGGGCCGTTATGCCGATCCTCGCCGGCTGCTTTCCCGTCGCATTTGGCCCTCGTTACGCCGATCGACGAGGCTGCGCGCGGTCGCCTGAGATTCTCCTGCGTTTGCGTGCTCGCGTGATCCGGAGGAACACCTTTCCTCGAGGATTCCCCTCGCGAGCTTGCGCAACGCGACGGCGAGTCCCGTTTAAAAAAATTGCACACGAGCGACGAGACACTCGGGCAGTGCGTCGTCCACGGAGCGGCCGAGAGTGGGCGACGTGTCGTAATCTGGTCGACGCGCGCCTGTCTCGCGGGTTGTGCAAGCTCTCCTTCGCGACCGAACCGCGAAAGCTCGCCGGCATCGCGAAACAGCGGTCGACCGCCGCCAGAAGAGTGCACCGGTTGGCTTGGTTTTGCAGGTGGGAAAGCCGCACGAGGAGATGGACAAGATCGCTCGCTTGCTTCCGTACGTGTGCCACAAGGACGACAGCATCGACATAAACGAGCTGATCGACCCGAGCCGCTTGCTTCCCGGTAAGTAGTCGATGTGGTGTCCCCGTTGGCCAGCCTGCCCGTTCTCGCCCGTGCGCGTCCGCGCGACCTTCGTCCCGAGCGCGCCTGCGACGCTCGGACTGCCAATGGGAAAATTAACTCTTGCGAATTGTGAGCCACGCGCGGGGAGCTCTCGAAATAGCCACGCCGGTTATGTTGCGGCTTACCTACGCGAGGTGGTCGCCAACGCGAGACACGGCAGTCCACGCCCGTGTCTCGTCAACCGGAGGAGGGGTAGAGAATAGCGCGCGTAGGCTGTGGCGCTAGCCGAAGGTCGAAGGTCGAAGGTCGAAGGTCGAAGGTCGAAGGGGGGAAAAGAGGACGCGCGGGAACGGGCCTGGTCGTTCGTCGCGCAGCCGACCGATGTGGCAGTCGAGCCTGCTCGTCCTTAGTGCGGGGTGGACGAGCCGGCAGCAGCACGAGGAGCGGCGGCCAGCGCTGCGCCAACCCCTGCATGCGCTGGGCCGGTCGGATTATACGCCCGGAGAACAAGCCCGACAAGTGGCAAGGTATGCGCGACTCACCACGGCGCTCAGCTGCCACCAGCACCATCGGCCTCGCGCCGAGAGCTCAGCACCCTCCACGTCCACGTCGCACGACTGTTCCGCGAGTCCTGGCCGTAGCTCGGCCGAGCGCGAGTCTCCGCCGGCGAGCAGTCCTCCTCTCCTTCGTCCGCGAGGGGGCGAGAGGGAGCCAGCTCGTCGGCGCGAGTCCATTTCGCGATGTAAGAGAAGCCGCCCCGCGGCCGAGGTCGACTGCGATGCTCGAGCTCCTTTCTCACGGGGTGCCTGCCTGCCTGCCTGCCCGGCTGCCCCCTTTGCCTCCTTGTCGCCGTGTACGCGCGCGGGCGCGTATCGATAACGCAAACGTATCGATCCAAGAGTGAACGTCGTCTCGTCGGAACGACGAAGGTCACGAGCTCGCGAGCGGCGAAGCCGCCGATTTGCATTTCCCGAGCGAGAACCGATGGGTCTCGTGCTGTCGGCGCAGTACGCGACTCGTCGTTTGTAATTACAGTGCTCGCAACGGTCCAACGAGGAAAGCACGTTGTCGACGAAAACAAGGCGACCACGAGATGGAGCGCGAGCGTCCTTTTTGTCGGTCGCGGCGAGGCGCGATAACGACAATGGAGGCCAGCCGGGGCGCGCGCACGTGGCTTTCGTTGACGCGCACAGCAGCACCCCGTCGCACCTTTCTTCGGCTAGCCGACGCACATCGAGCCGGGGTTGTTCGCACTGCTACACTGCCGCGCCGAGCCCACTTCACGCACGCCAGCGCTTGTTATCCTTCTCGCTTGGCGTTGGTCGGAGGCGATCCCCGCGAGCGACTCCTCTCGCGGCGCGAAAGGGGCGCGCGCGCGGGGCTCGCCGAGCTTTCGCGGGCGAGTCTCCTCGTCGCTAACGGCTGCATTGACTTTTTCTCGGCCGGACAGACGACAACGGCTACTGGACGTATCTTGGCTCGCTGACCACGCCGCCGTGCAACGAGAGCGTCACCTGGATACTGTTCAAGCGCTACATCGAGGTATCTCACCACCAGCTCAACGTTTTCCGCAACCTACGCAAGTTCCCGCGGGGCGAGGAGTGCCCCTGCCACGAGAATCACGGCGTCGTGAGTATCGCAGCAGCGAACGATTCCCGTGCGGGAATCCACGCATTTTCATCTTATGTAAGGAAGGACCACCGACGCTGCCATTGCCTTTTCCGGGCACCGATGTTTCTTTTTTTTTATTTTCATCGCGGCGTCCCGGCTAATTGCTCGTATTTGGATTTTCATACAAACCGACGCGAAAAATACGCGGTGAATCATCCCGTTCTTCTTTCATACGCTCGGTTTTCCTCGGTTCTTTGGACGTAAGCACAATAGGACTTGGTTCGTCAGAGACTAACAGCGCCATTGTTTGGGAAGCTGGAGATATCGTTGCGCTTTTGTTTGTTCGTGAAATCTCTGATGAATGTAGCGGAATAAGTATTCGGCCCACGCCGAAAGATCAATAGGTACTCGAAACCGTTGAATTTTAAATATTTGCCATTTGCATAAAAGAATTTCGAGAACGTAAAAATATAGTAGTTGAGAAGAGAAGCTCATTTGGTAGAACAATAAGCGCGTAATCTAGATTTTGTCGGTACGATCGCGAGCTTACTTAGTGACGAAAAATAAGGGAACTAAGCCGGAAGCGAGCTTCTTACAGTCGAGTTGATAGATAAGGCTGCGCGATTGGCAATGAATACTGATTAGTCTGGCACTGTTGCAGGTGATCAACAACTTCCGGCCGCCGCTACCTCTTGGCAATCGCGTGCTGCGGGAATGCGGCAGCTTCTAAATGGAAGAAGCCGCGCGAACACCATCGAACACTGGAAAGAGGAACATCTCATTTGCCACATTCTGCCGGCTATCGCGGGGGATTATCGACGAGGGTGGCTTCAACATCAGCCGAGACGAGGGGGAGGGAGGGGGGGGGGGGGAGACAAAGAAGCAACGAACCAAACATTTCGGCCACATCGATCTACGTTCTATCGACGCTCTGGAGAGTCGCTCGCGTCTTATATGCAATCAAGCCATATATAGAAAACTTATATATTTAAACAACAACGTGCCTTTGAGTTCGAAGACGATACACGCAACGATTTTCATACGACGCATATACATTCACGTAACTTGCATGCACGCGGAGAGGCGCGCCTATTATCCAAAGTGCAATATGCTTGCCCAAAACAATACCAAATTTTTCGACAAATATTTATTATTCTAAGAATGCGCGTGAAAGAGAGACAAAGATTTATAAATATTTATATATTGAAAAAAGAGTATATTTTTAGCGTTAAACGAGAAACATACAGCTCTGGTCGCGCAGTGCGCCCCTTTTTTGTACTTTTCATTCTCACCGAACGAATTATTCTGATCTTATATTCGCACTGCTGTACAATACTTGAAAAACATTCAAATTGATACATTGCACTCAAACGAGTAGACGACAAAATCAAAGACCAGACTGCCACGATTAATTATTAAAAATTTTTGATACTTATGAAAGTATGTCAAGTTCCGATGATTTCCAATTCGCACCATGTACAAAGGCAAAGCTTATTCTTTGTCTTAAATAGCGAGCAACTTACAACCAACCAGTTCTCTACGACACACGAACTCCACGATCGTGCCTGGATCGACGAATGACACGAAAACCGCAATCGGCGAGATGAAGAGCAAAGCGTGCAAACGAAAAAAAAAATGTTGAGTTACACAACTTCTTGAAAAGTATATGCAAGTCATAAAGATCTATCAACATTGCTAAGTTGTTAAGTGCGTGAGAAACTCGATATATAAAGCAGATTTAACACGCATTAAATTTGTAGCCAGTCGTACATGTTTTGCGTGCGCGTAGATGCTAGTTTTCTTTTTAGAAAAGTCTCGTTTGCACAGCGATGATCGTAATATCGTCTTGTTCCGGTGATAAATTGCTATGTTTACCGTAATTATCTACGTCCTTCCATGTTCAATGCGAGTGAACTTAAGTTCATACCTACGTAAAGTTATTTTGTGCACGCTTATATATTAAAAAAAAATTGAAATATTAGAAAATATTTCAAGGATTAATGCACGTTATCTATTTTTTTGTAGATCTGATTATTTTTATAAGAAATTTACAGGATGGTTTTTGCGAATGACGCTGGGGTCGTCAATTGAATAATTTTGTGTTAAAATTTTAATTTATGCTTGCTATATTACGATCTGATATGCTTGTCCTACATATTCTATATGTTCATGATTTGCGCTGATGTTCCTCGCTTGTCTAGAGGATGTTTTGCAGTATAAACACCAAGATATACTTGTAATGTAGTTTGTGTAAAGTAATCGTATTTTTGCATATTGCAATGCTTCAAACATGTTTTCCCGTAGTTTGTAGATACTGTTTGAAAAACAAATTCGCGTTTTAGCGTCAGAGAGAATTTTCGTGAGGCCTATAATTCATGTAATATTTATTATAACATAGATCTTGAAAAAGATTGCTTTATTTTGAAGTTATTTTGTTTTAAAGTATTTCATTTTTAAATGAAATGCTATAGCACTTTTGAAAAGCAGAAGTTTTATTCAAAGAATTAATTTGTTATTTTCGTTTTAATTTACAGTGGCTTATTGCTCGTTGTTTTCTATGAGTGAATTTTGAAGTCAGTGAAATTGTTAGTACCCTCAGTTGGTATAGAATAGAAGACTGCTGGTCGGCTTTGTATTTGTGTCGATTGTGATAGTGTGAAAAAATAAAGAAATAAAAATATAAAAATACAATAGTCAATTATTTTCATTATTCAAGATTTTCTAATAAAAAGTAATTTAGCAATACCTAAAAAAAGTAAATTTAACCATATTTTACTGATTTGAATTTCTGGGGCAGACTTTCTATACATGCTCTTTTATAATAAGATTGAAAAAATTTTGTTTATTGCTTTATTATGGTTCAAAAATTCAAATAATCATCTTAAATTACTTTCATTTCGTATTTACTTAAAATAATATCCTTCTCCTTAAATTAGTTTATTAGTGTTCCGAAAAAATAAAAGAATAATAACTCTTTACAAAAAAATATTAAGGTTTTATTACTATTTTACAATTACTCTTCCCCATCTTGTTCTGTCTCGTTGGTTTCCATCGGGGCACTTTCAACATCTGGTACCATATTTTCTATTGGTGCTATTATCGTTTCAGTATTTGGTGCATTCTTCGTTTCAAAATTTGATTTTTCATCCGCATTCTGTGTTTCAAGATTTTCAGTCGTCGGCTTTATTTCTTGCTCTTCATCGGAATCGTCTCCCGCTCCAGGATGAGCATGTACATAGTATACTGGATTTGATGATTTCACATTTGTAGATGGCCATTGCTCTGGCGGTACATCCTGAAAGTTAAAATAATTTATTTTTATCTACAATATATTAATCGCTTAAATCAATGTAAGAAAATAAATCTTACTCACTTTCAAATTTACTTTTTTTAGATAGAAGTCGTAGACAAATTTTGCCATATGCGGCATGTCTTGAATCTCGAGCGTTGGCTCTTGAGGTTCCTCGCCGTTCAACCTCGTCGTAGGATAAGTTTCGGTCGGAATTAAAAGTAACTTCAATGGCCGACGCATCAGTTGATCAAAAGCTGGTGTAAGCTCGAAGCAATTTTTGAATAATGAAACTCGAGCAAATACGTATAGACCAAGGCGAGCACGAGACATAGCGACAACAAGACGTCTAGCATCGCGAAGATGACCTACAGCTCGGGTTTTTACGAGAGATAAAAGAATGTAATCGTTTTGTTGACCCTGATACTTGTCGACTGTCGTAACTTTGGCAGGGCGTCCTATCAACGGATTACTGGCACACCTGATGTTTATAACATCACGAATCAAATGCTTCTGGCCATTGTAAGTCGTGAGAATACTGATCTTATCAGCTGGATATCCAAGCAATCTCATGTACATAAATACAGCCACGCAATATTCAGCTTCGGCAAGATTTTGATAAAAGTATGCACTGGGCTCACTTTCCCCAACTCCATTAAAGTCTTCGACATTGATCAATTGGAAATCGTGTAAAAATCCAGGATTTGCGACGAGATACTCGGGACTATTTTCCACATGACGAAGATTGCCCAGTTTCTTGTAGCGCCAATTGTATAAATTACAAATGTTAGGTCTAGCACGACCTTGGCCATCAAGGTCTACTGTAGGTACACCCAAGCGTACAAATCGTGCGAATAACGATTGCTCCATATTGGAGTATTTCTGGAATGCCATATTCTTAATGACAGGCGGTAGCTGATGATGATCTCCAATCATGATCCATCGCTTCAAACGATTATAACCATCTTGCGGATTTTGCAACAGGAGAGGAATGAATGTTTCGATTTCCAATATCTGAGCAGACTCTTCCATGAGAATGTTATCGTACTTGAAACCCATGTCCACTAATTCTCGTCTTTTCAATGCTGCGTGCGTACAAGTCATCGCAATGACTTTGGCTTCTTTGACAAGGAGATACTTGGATCTATCAAGACCTGATCTGAGCAGTTCGAATGCTCTGAATTCGTCTAATTGAGTAAAAATCCTTTCGATATATCTGCAAATAAATTTATGTATTCAATGTATCATATCAACTTTTCTGAATTATTCGACTAAATTAATCTTCAAAAATACCTAAAGCAACTCTCAGCTACAGCTAGATCTTCCTCGAAACACTTTTTCCGGAAAAGCGGCTGAGGCGCATTATCGAAGAATTTGTGGAACGGGAATTCGTCGTCAACGATAGATGCAGGAACATCATCTGCGCCACTGCTTCTTTGTTTGATACGTGACTCAAAACGTTCCCACCTCGTCATTACTTGATACGTGAAAAAGTAGCCTGCTGTTTCGCATGTATAAGCATTGTCACCTTGCACTTGTAACGATTCCTGACAATGAATCATTGTTTACATTATTTCCAAAGTCAAATAAAATACGTATGAAAGTTGAAATTTATTTCACCTGCAGCCTCTGAACTTCCATCAATAGATCAAGTCGCTTAGCCAGAACATAGTTCACTCTACCATATCTACTAAAATCTTTTTCCGTCTCAAGAGCCTCTTCTCCATGACCAAGACGCAACAGATGCCTCTCATCGATGTCGAGTGCCATGATCTTTTCAAACAACTGATTCAAAGCTTGATTGGAATGCGTAACGATAAGAGTTCTTTGATTTGGAAAGTTGTGGTACAGATTGGAAATAATTTGCACTGCCACGTCAGTTTTACCCGTACCGGGTGGACCGACGACTAATGTTAAACCTGGCTGCATTCCAGCACGAATTGCCTCAACTTGGGTTGGTGTGAACGGAATTTGATTTCTGCAAAAGTACAACACAATCAGTATCATTGCAATTTATGCGTACTTTATATCTTTAAACAAATCATGATGAAAGAAGCATTTTACTTTTTCGGTTCGTTAGCTTTGTAAGGGCCACGGCTAGGTGGCACATGTGGTTCAACAGTTATAACTTTACGCTCTTCCTCGTTATTCTGCTTGTACACTACGTCTTGAAACGTCAGCTTAAATGGTCTAACAAGCTTCTCCGGGTCATCGGTCGTAGTCTCGATTGCGTAACCAGGAAAACTCGCGCGAAGATGATCGATGTCTAGAAACGTATCGTTGAAATCCACAGTTGCAATTTCATCTTGCATCCTATTAAAATTGTTCGTTTTATTAACTGTAGTACATAAAGGTATGAACGAATATATGAACAAATTATTAACCTGAAATACTGAGCAGCGCCAGGATCGCCGTAACCTAATATGATATTGTGTAACCAATCGGGTACCACGCACTCGGTGTTCATCAATTCGCGGATAGTCTCGAGAACAGCTTTGAAGTTATTTTCTTTTGGTTTGCGTCTCATGATAATATTGAAACTCTCGTACACGTCCTCGCCGCCATGACTGGCATTGTCCATATCTATTCTGTACTGATTCGAATCCAGCCAAACTCGATAGGTACGTGTATCTCCAGGCAGAATTGGCCTTGGCTCTGGCCCATCTTCAATAACACGACCATTCGAATCTAGCATACCCTCCACTTCGCATCCTCTTACCGTAGTTAAGCCGACTTGAGGTATGAAGGGCAGTTTGTGACTGTATTTGGTACCTGCAATGAAAGAACGAAAATGAATGAGTACACGCGCACTTAAATTGTTTACTACGCGTGTACTCATTCTCTTTCATTTCTTCACTCAATAAGATTAGAAGCCTTTACGGTTAATCTTATCGTCATTATCGTATAACCGTACGGTTATTTTTATTTAATAATTATCAGCAAACGTAATGTCGTGCATTCGATTAATTGAAAGATGTAGTTTAATGCTCAAATATAGACATCATATTACCGTCTGTTTATTGTTATTTCTCGTTCTTACGTACCGATGGGATTTTGGGGCCTGACAGTGATTAAGAAACAAACATCGTGCTTTCTAAGATTTTCCCACTCAGATTTGATCTCTTTTCGTACATTTAGATTGATGGTAATATCAGCACGCACTCGAGACGGACGCTTTTCACCAATGTTTGGCTTGGCCACTTCAACGACGGCGAACTGAGTAATCGGTTGAGCCATCCGCGCCCAACCACCAAAGTATACACTTCCGTCCTCCGCTCGCCTAGAAAATATGCAAATCGATCATTAGCAAGGATATTGACGTAAATGACAGTTTATTTTTCCAAACCGCAACGCCGTGTGTACTTACCAAGGGCTGAGTCGGCTAACCGCGTCTTCGATGTCTTGGCGGATCTCGTCTGTGGAGAAAGGAAAATTTAATCGTTTTTTGAGCTCTTTTTTTCTTATTTTTTTTTTCCTTTATAATTCCTAAAATTAGAAGTGAAGTAAGCACGACCGGTCGGTCTTTAATCTTTCGCGAGGAAGGAAAACAAAGTAGAAACGACAGAGGCGTAGAAAGAAGCAGCAACAATATCGTGCGCGTAAAAAAATCATCTTATCGTTTTGCGTCACGTACAAGTGGATTCCAGACGAAAGAGGTTGAAGTTGCGTAGCAGGTAGTCATGCAGCGTGAGAAATTGCAAATTGAGCTTGGGCAGTGCCAGGCAACCTTCGCCCGAGAAGTACTCCGTAGGCACAATACTCTCGTTCCAGATGATCTCCTCGGTTGGGTACAACGGCATCTCGTTCAGCTCTTCCAATTGGGATGCTCGCCTCTCGTGCCTCGATATCTGTAGATTGATCGTGATTATTTATCGGAGCATCTCATCCCCTGACTCCAGTATTTTCATTTGCGAGTTTGCGCAAGGAACAGTGAAAGTGATTGGCAAACACTCGATGATACACTTATCAAGAGTACGGCCGAAACTCACGAGTAATTCGCGTAGAAAGTCTGGGTCGAGCCTGAACCAATCCTCATCTTTCTGTCGCTCCTCCGTCGGCACGAGGCTCAGGTAGCTCGCAATAGCTCGGAGCTTCTCCTTTCTAAAAAACAAAAACAAACACGCCAAAGCTATAATACTCATTAGCCTGTGATCGATAAAATTTAAGGAAAAAAACAATGACGCTCACGTGAGCGAACCAAAGTGCTTTTGCAGAGCCTCCCTGGTGTCGACGCTGGCGACATTGGCAAGAGCGAAGCGCTGGAGGTCCGGGAATTTCGCAAAGGCGGCTTTCTGCAGCGACGTGATCTTTGAGTAATGGAGCTCTGTCATGTCGTAGTCGGTCAGTGGATCGCCCGTTTCCTCGCTGATCTCGAATCTCGCGTAGAACTTTAGCATCTCCAACAGCTGCAATGGATTGCGTATTGCGTCAAAAAATGAACGGATGACATAGTAAAAGATAAAGAAAAAAAGCTATCATTTGTCTGGCATTGAGATTCTTATCTAATTGAATTTAGTTTTGTGTATCGTCACTCTTTCCTTTTGCAACGTGTATTTGGGTGTATTTGGCATATAAAAGTTCGGAAGGCCAGTTTCGTCGAATTCCTTTGACAGATGGCGACGTTTATTTATGATTTGCATGATATCACCTCTTCGTTCAATCAAGTTCTATGCATAATGGATGACCATAGCTTATTTGACAGACCATTGTTGGCCTACTCTCGTCAAGAAATAAAGTAAACGCGCTTCGTACGAGATCGGCGCTTAGCTGATTCATTGATTTTTCGTGAATCTGGAGCTGAACGGGGATCGAAGAAGGCGATATTCGAATGGCCCGTCCGCGTAATTCATATCGGAAAGATTGCACGAGAATTGCCCGGCGAGAGATCGCGAGACGGTGCAAGGCGCGCCCTCGAAGTCGCCGATGTAATCGGCCAGCGCAGATAAGAGAATCGCAGAGAGAAACATTGCGATATCGCGGCGAGCGCACAAGAGCGATTAGCGGAAAACACGCGCCTGACGCGCCTGACGCACCGAGCCGCGAGCGCCGTTTCGCTCTGGATCGCGCACGTACGGCCACATATCGGCGATCTGCCGGGATTTCCGCGACGACGCGCGACTTTCCTCCGTCCGTCGACGGGACGTTCCGAGGAGTCCGTGTGTTTTTCCTCGCCGAGCGAGTCTCCCCGCGGATCGACGGCTTGCGCGCAAGGACACGGCAGCGCGCCGCGAGTCGCCGTGGGGTCGCGCGAAGACCGATTTAGGCGCAAAAAGTGCGCTCCGCGGAGAGGAAGAGGAAAAAGGAACGGCGAGGCGGCGCGAGGCTGGTGGTGGGGCGAGAGGCGCGCTACCCACTTGAAAAGCGACTCGCTCGAGAGCCGCGGCCGATTTACTTTTACCGCGAGCAGTGCCCCGGTGCGAGAGCGCGGCGTCCGAACCGCTTCGAGAGACCAACGAAATTCCGCTCCAGGCTTGCTTCGCGTGACGTCGATACCTAACGAAACGGCTGTGGAAAGCAAAGCTCTTCTCCAAAGAGCCTACGCGAGAGAGAGGTTGGTTATCGGTGTTCCGTGAAAAACGGCGTTGCGCGATAGCTGTCGCGAGGCATCGAGCTTGCTATCAGTGATTTCGTGTGCACGCGCGCGCGCGAGCGCGCGAGGGAAATGCCGCGAGGCTGAGCGAAGCATCGACCGACCATCAGCCGGCGACGAGCGACAGGGATACGAGGAGAATGTCAAGGGGTGAGTAGCTCGCTCGTCGAAGCGGTTCGGCAGCTGCGGGGACGACGCGAATCATCCAACGCTCGGCGCCGCCGAGAGCGCGCCCCCGTCGACGGGGGAAGCGCGAACCAGCGATGGGTCGGCCGGTCCGATCAACGGCAACGTGGCGGCTTGCAGGAACGCCGAGCCAGTGCCTGCTCGTCGCGGCGTGTCTGCTGGCCGTGTCGAGCTCGGGCTGGGCGTCGGAGTGCTGCGAGCCGGGGATCGACTGGCGACAGGAGTCGTACATGTGCGAGGACGACAGCAGGGTGAAGCTGAACTGCCAGACGGGACTGTACGCGATCGACCCGAGCGCGGAGGAGCCGGACGAGAGCTACCGCGTGGACCGCGACTCCGGCTGGCTGGTCGTCGCCGACGGCTCGAACAAGTCCTCGTACAACGTCACGCCCGCCAAGTGAGTCCACGCTCGAACGGGCGTCGCCGCGTTGTCGGGCGAACGCCGCGAGCTAACCGGGCTCCGCTCGCGTCGCAGGTTCTGCCGAGCGCAGCTGGCCGAGCAGCGGCGCTACCTGATCTGCTTCGCGGACGAAGCCGAGGAGTCGGCCGAGCCGCTCTGGCGCGTCACCTTCTTCGGGCTGGCGAGTATGGCGTCGAGCGCGTTCCTGGCGCTCACGCTCCTCGTCTACCTCGTCCTGCCCGAGCTGCGAGACCTGCAGGACAAGGCCGCGATGTCGGTGTGCGCCTCGTTCATGGTGGCCTTCTTCCTCAACGGCGACCAGAGCCTCGACTTCCCGGCGCGGCTACACGACGACGCGCCATGCCTGCTGACGGGTAGGTGACGAACGCCGCCAGGCAACGCGTCGCGATGCTAATCCAGCCGCAACGTCGTTTTGCAGCCTACTCCATGTATTACGCCTACATGTGCGCCTTCTTCTGGCTGAACGTCATCTCGCTCAACATTTGGCGATGCGTCTGGTGAGTCGAGTCGTTGGTCAAACCTTATCGGCGGACGCGAGCAGTCGACCGATCGCGGTTCTCACTTGGCATTGTGCTCGACTGACGCAGGTTGCCGAGTCTCCGGGTGGAGAGCAACACGCTGTTCGTCGTCTACTGCATGGTCGGCTGGGGAGTGCCGCTGTGCTTCCTCGCCCTGGCCGTGGTCGCCCAAAACGTCGACGGCTTCTTCGTGAGCCCTGGTTTCGGCCAGTCGACCTGCTGGTTCGACGGTAATTGCGCGACGGTGACGTCTCGGCAGCAGCAGTAACGAGACGATCGCCACGCTTCTTTTCAGGACACCACGCGACGTGGCTGTACTTCTACGGGCCGATACTGGCGCTGCTGTCGATGAACTTGGCCTACCTGGGACTGACCGGCTGGAAGCTGTGGCACAGGTACAGGCGGCTCGACTGCTGCAAGATCAAGGTGCTGCGAGTGAAGTGCGCCATGTGCGCGAGGCTCGCCGTCATGATGGGCGTCACTTGGATCTTCGAGGTCGTGTCATTCGCTTTCGAAGACACCAACCCGCTCTACTGGTAAGCACGTGGTGGCGCGACCGCGTCGGACTCGACCGCGCCTGACAGCGAGCCTTGGCCAAATTGCAGGATACTGCCGGACATTCTGAACGTGATGCAGGGCTTGTTCATTTTCGCGCTGTTCGTGGTTTGGCGCAAGAAAGTGCGCAAGCTGCTGGCCGAGCGACGGCCCTTCGGCGTCCCCTTCCCCAAGTCGTGGGCGGCCTGCAAGGACCAGGAGCGCTGCCACGAGGACAACGAGGACGAGCTCGAGTTGTCGCAGACCTCGTAGCGACTCGCGTACTCCTCGCGACTAGTGCCGCGCCGTGCACCAGTATTTTTCTACTCCGCGACTCATTCCCGATCGTTTCTTTCTTTCTAACTCTCATTTTTATCGAGTACCAGTGGAATACTTAGCACGCTTTTAACACCTGCATTTTTCGTATTTATTCGCGGACAGATAGTGCTATCTGCAATATTTTAAATCGAGCGTTATCGACGATCGAGTGCTTATCGGATTTTGGGCGAAAATGAGCGTCGTTTCGTGACGAATCTCCCTAGACTAAGAGCGCGAGAATCAGGCTGAGCTGCCCCAGATCAAATGGCGAATCGCCGTTATTTGTTGATGCGGTTATTTATGCGTCGCTCCGAGTCCCTATATTCTTTTGTCCGTCTTTTCCTTTTCTTTTCCATTTTTTACGTAATCGTGATTTCCTCGACCAAGTGCCCACGCGCGAGATGTCGAGCACAGTTCCCGTCGTACGATCCAATGAATGAATATTATTATGTACATATACGAAGGAATGCGCGAAATAAAAACGTTGCGCTGAACAATTTTCCTTGCGAACGTCGATCGAGATGCCTAATTAAATGAATATGTCTAGTGACGCAGGTGATTCGAGTGCCGATCTATTCGCAGATAACATTTTTATTTTACAAATTTGTTGGCTCTTAGTCACACTGACGCATGCCCGTGACCTAATAAAACTAATTTATTTTGTCATTAATGCGCAGTAAGTGAATTCATTTGATTGAAGAGGTTGGCATTTCTTAGTATTAAAGGTGACAATTCTTTTTTCAAGAATGCTAAATTACGAGAAAAAAAAAGAGAAAGAGAAATCGCAGCGTAAAATTTGTTCATTACTTTAGAACTCAAAAGTAACAGCTTGTTTCTTTACGTCATTAATAAACACGGATAAAATGATGTGCTCGTTTTTCCACTCGTAAAAAAGAATGTAATGTTTGACCGCTTCAGAAAAAAATTACGATTGAATCTTACTTGAGCCGAGGAAAAAGAAATAGGAATTCTTTTTATCTATTTGAATAACTCTGCTGAGAGCTCAATAATTCCGAGAAAAGTATCACCCAGGATGGTTCGTTTCATTTATACCGATGGTACAAATTTCTTTTTTTTTTCTTCTTTCGTAAGAGCAAAGAGCCCACAGTCATAAACTTTATCGAAGAAGCCAGAGTCTCGGACACTCGAGCAATCGTCAACTTTTCCACGCCACGCGTGTGACCAACATGATGGACCTATAAAACCGGACAACGCGAAAAATGAACAAACGCCTCAACTTCTCGGCCTCTCAGCGAGAAAGGAGTTGATCAAACGAATAACAGCCGCCAAATGGCGTTGACACATTAAGGATGCTGACGAGTGGCAGCATTTGAAGTTCAAGCTCAGAGTTGTTTTCTTATCGCTGGATGAAACAGCGTCATAGGTGAGGAGAGCAGTTTTATGCAAGTAACACGCGGAAGAGGAGGCAACGGTGGGAGAAGACGCACGGGCGTCGCCTTGGCAACTCGAATCCACTTTTCTGCGGTGCGCCAATGCGAGCGCATTGCATTTTCTCATTCTGCTGCGTCTAATTTGCGGCTCGCTGCAACTTGATATAGAATCTTTTCGGAGGAATGGACGAGGAACCGGGAACTTCAGACCAGTGATCTAAGTGAACGTGAAATTTTCAAAGTCCCTGAATATTTTTATCATTGTTAATATCTAATAGACTCAACAAGATAAAGTGTACATTTTTCAAATACGATGCTGCATATTCATCAAGAATTCTTGTGGTAGTAGATATTGTTAAATAACGCCGTTGCAATCGTCAAGAGAAAATGATACGAAATTGGATTTGACCAAATAAGATAAATGATGCTATCATTGCAAGGTACATTCCACGTTTCTTTGATTGTTTTTGTAAAAAAAAACTGTTTTGACGTAATGTACGTTTGGAGAGATAAGTTACTTTGCTATTAAAAAAATTGAGATGACTAATATTTTTTTCGACGGATTCGATGATCAAATGTACAAACATGACCCACACCCACAGGATTGATTTTTTGTTACGTTTATTTTGAGTCAATGTATACTCATTTTATCACTGATAGGTACCGTGTTATTACTACGATTATAGTTATTTTTCAAATATTTTCAGACTTATATATTGGAGGGTACTAAAAGCAATCATACATTTTTTGGGACTATTTTAACGTATAGTCAATGTATACGATACTTGCCAAACGACGCTCAACAGAAGCTGATTTTAATCCTAACATTTACCGAACGTTTTTTTTTTAAATGCTAGTCCAAACAGTGCTAATTAGCATCAAGATAAACCATCTGTATACAATTGTTAGGGAGAACGTAGTCAATTTATATCTTGATTGGTGATGTAAACAAGTGCCTTAAATGCAATCTGTTTAAAATGACTTCCATACTAGATTATATTGTTTAGCTTAGTTAGTGAACAGCTGGCAACGAATTACAATACGTTCATTTTACGATGTGTCGCCTTGAATACGAAAAACAGTTTTTTGAGATCATTCAATTTTTACTGGATTCAAGTGAAATATTTTTCGCTAGCTTGTTGTTCTGAAAATCGTTTAGCTTGGTAAAAATCAAGTAATAATAATGCTATTTAGTTGCGAATGAAAGTATTAGAGACGTCGTACGAAACCAATTACAGTGATTACGCGGTATTCGTACAGCATGCATGCGTATCTATGTTTCGACATATGATTCGATAGGTCATTTGATTTTGATGAACGATGACAGAATATAAGTTCTCGTTAGTACGAAAATCTTATGAGCGTGCAAAACTGTGGTAAAATCGAATTGCTGATCTTCAATGATATCACAAAAACTTGAAGGAAATAAATTTTGATCGATACTTCAGTGGGTTTTTGCGATTGCCATGAAAAAATGGCACACGTTGCTCCTTTGCTCAGATAGAATACTTCAAATGAATAAATATGACTTGAACGAAATAATGAAAGATGACCGTTTTCAGTTGTTCTTGTTTAAAAATATTTTGACAGTGATCACATACGCAAGGCTACTTTTAGCATGCCTTTTCATCGAATTATCGTCTGGATTAAGCTTCGAATGCTGCGAACCTGGGCTCGAATGGATAGGTGGTTCGAATCGTTGCAAGGACAACAGTACAATCCACTTGAGTTGTATCGCAGACAGTTACTCCGTTGATCCAAACGACGACGAAGAAGGATTCTATCGTGTTAACGAATCAAACTGGCTCGTTGTTGTCAACGAAGAGAACATTACCATTGATGCTTATGCTCCTGACAAGTGAGTTTAATTAGTTGGGAAAATCCATCGTCGGTATGTCGTTGAAACTATTCAATTTTAATTACAACTTTCAGATTCTGCCAGGGATATTTGAACGACAAGGTAAGGTACCTCGTTTGCTTTCCAGAAGAGCCTTCGGACGCACAAGAATGGCACACGATACTTTTCGGACTATGCAGCACATTGTCAGGCATTTTTCTTGCTTTCACGTTATTCACATATATAATTCTGCCAGAGTTGCGCGATCTACAAGATAAGGCAATAATGTCGCTATGCGCTTCCTTCATGCTCGCTTTCTTTATCAGCGGAATCCCGAAGCTAAGTAACTTGACAAATCTGATGGACGATACAACGTGTATTGTTTCTGGTATTCTAATCAATATATTGTTCATTGGATTGCTTAATTATTTATCGTTAAGATTCGAATGCTATTACTTTACATTTTAGGTTTTATCATGTACTACACTTTCTTGAGCGCTTTTTTCTGGCTCAACGTCATTTCGCTCAACATTTGGAGATCTGTCTGGTGTGTAAATCTCAAATAAAGTTTCAACTTGGATACTATAACTCCATAAATCAACGCATTCATTAAGAAATAAACGCGAATAAGAACTTAGAATCAACTCCGATACAGAGCAATTGAGGAGTTTCATTTAACAGTATTTTTTAACTGTTTTTTAGGTTTACGCGTTTCAAACTTGCAAAGAATATGCTATTTATAATTTACTGTGCACTTGGTTGGGGTGTACCTTTATGTTTCTTAGTACTGACGGCCGTTGCTCAATATGTCGATAATATTCAAATAAAACCGGCTTTTGGTGACGGTAGCTGTTGGATTAATGGTATCTAGATACTCTTTTGGATTAAATATACAACCAATTTTAGAAATTGGACTAATTGAATCGAATATTTCACAGGATATTCTGCTGCATGGTTATATTTCTACGGTCCAATCTTTGCATTACTTTTGTTAAACATAGTTTACCTGGGCATGACCAGTTGGAAACTTTGGCACAAATACGAAACTTTCGATTGCAGCCATGCTAAAGTACTCAAAACAAGATGCACGATGTGTATGAAACTTTCTTTGCTCATGGGTGTTTCTTGGATATTTGAGGTTATATCTTTTGCTTTTAGAGAAACAAATCAACTTTTTTGGTAGGTAGCTTAATTTATTATTAACTTTTTAATTGTCATTTCGTTCGTTGACTACCTAAGCATTTTTAAATAAGATGTGTAATATTACTATTTATTCGTGTACAATTAGAGGCAATTAATAATTTTTCTTAATGAAGATGTATGAATTATTAATTTAGAAAATTTAATTATTTAATGGTCACAAACAAACTATAATATACCTTCTAATACTCAACTGAATTTTTGATTATCGAAACATATTTTAGGCTTATACCAGATTTGCTGAACGCCTCACAAGGCCTGATCATCTTTATTTTCTTTGTAGTCTCACGAACAAAAGTGAGAAAGCTTTTAGCTGAACGAAGGCTCTGCAAAATACCGTTCCCAAAATCGTGGGCAGGTTATAAGGATCACGAGAAATCTGAAGAAAATTTCATCGATGAGATTGGACTATCATATGCATCATAATAATTACACGCACAAATAGAGGCTCGAAAAATATTTTTTAATGAAAAAGACCCTCTTATAAAATAAGTTTTTTTATTTATAAATTTATTTTTAAATTTGTTTTCATTTATTCGAAAATGCATCGTTTGAAAAATAGGACATTGAATGTATTTAATCAATGTTTATGAACTACTGTGGAGATTACTAAATTGTTTTGAATGAACAATTAAATTATAATTAAATAAATACTCCTATCGGCAACGGAAATTCTATGTTTAAAGTTCACTTGTTTAAATCAATATATTGAACACATTATCTGATGCAACGATATTTATTATTTTATTAATAATGATTATCGTTGCATAAAACAAACGCGTAGCTTGAAACAAAAATGAAAGAGAGTAAAATCGAAAAATGAGAACGGGAGTATAGAATAAGGTGACTTTCACAAATAAATATTAGCATAAAATTGTAAAAATTTTTCTGTAGATACCGAAAGATAACGACGACAGTGTAAAGAATTAAATAAATTCACTGAAATTTGCATTACACAAAAATTTTTAAGCGACAAACTTACTAACTAACCAAACTTGTGACGAATATAAAAGTAAGGTTGCGATTGATGAACAACTGCAAAAATAGCTCTGTAGTTGTAAAGATGTTGACATTGCAAGCTAAGTATAGTTTTCTTTTATTTTTCAATATTCAATCGATCTTATTCGTCCTCACCTGTATCAACTTAATATGACCAAGGGAGTACGAAGTGTATTCGGATTAATCTATGTACTTGCAATAAGCCTGACTACTTGACCATGTTATTGTTCGTCGGTTGAGTGCTGCAAGTTCGAGATTGGTTTGACGAATGGAACGCTTTTCGGCAACGGTGGAAATTAAATCGACTTGAATTGATCGTCAAGAAAATTCGTAGTAAACCCAATAGACGATCCGTTAGATATATAGCTTTTACATAGACAGTTCAGGTAGTCTTATTTTCATCAATAATGAAAATAAAAAATTTTTTCTGTTAATCGAGTTCTTACAGGCGATATAGCAAAGTGAATGTACTTCTATGGACCAGTAACTATAGCATTGATGACGATAAATTTCACTCAACTCGAATCAATTGGTTGAAAGTTATGGCACATATACGGGAAACTGAATGCGGTTGCAACGTTAAAGTTTTCCGAATAAAATGTATCAAATCCTAAAAACTTTCCATCATTATAGGTGTCATGTAGATCTTTGAGATGATTGCTTTTTACTTTAAAGATACGAATATTTCATTTTTATGGCAAGTGCATTTTTTTTATTAATAGAGAGCACGAATCAAAGGTTTGAAACGTTAAAAAATTTTGACAAATTATTTTGCAACTTTATTGGAACAGTATTGCTATTTCATTTACATAAGTTATCTGGATGATTTTAATGATGTAGAATCATTCAATTTATTGAATAATAGATGAAAAATGATTTTGTATTGTAGTGTTTTCAGAGATTTACCGAACTTTCTATAGGATGGTTTTGTCTTTATCATACAAGTAGGAAAATAAGATAAAATTTGTGCTTGCTCAAAGAAAATTGTGTGACTTGCCCTTTCTAAAATTATGTGCTAAATATAAGGATATAGAAAGTGGGACGAGAAGGACATTAACGAAATGCATTTATATTCCAATCTGTTTGTTTCTGCTGTCGATAACGAATAAATTAATCATCCCATTGTGCACGATTTTATTATACACACAGATTATTGCGCACAGTAATATAATATAAAACAGTAGTCCGCAGGCCAAATCGCCTCAAATGCCAATCACTCTACTCAATCGCGTTTTCTAACGCGTATCAATTACAAAAGCATTAACACCCTTGCAATCTAAACTATTTTTGCTCACAAAGAAGCGTCGGACTTGAAACGAATGAACGACGATAACGTTGAATGAGCGTCTGTTCGAGCACAAACTGAAGCAAATGATCGTGGAGAACAGATCGCTTTTGTTAGTTAACGCCAATGAAAACTTTGAATTGAAATGAAGACGCTGTTGCGCGCTGTGCCGTCGTTTATAATTCAAGCTTGTTTCTAACCTTCCAATGAGATCGATCAGCAAAATGCGCTCTCGCAAAGCGCGCACAATAAACGTTCGGCGAATCGCGAAACGCAATGTGGAAAACGAACGAGGAAACGGGGCACGAGGCGAATGAAGCGAGTCGAATTGTCGAAATCAAACGAGCACAATGCAATTTCCTCGGGCAATTAGACGGAGCGAGCTGGCGAGCTACGAGCGCAACGCGGACGAATTCTCGTCGGCCTGTGCGTCGGTATGCGCAGGCGAGCGAAGGCACAAAGGGCAGACCTATATAGAACGGCGCACCGCGGGCTCAGACTGCAGGAGAACCCCGTGGCGACCGGCAAGGTACAAAGACGAACCCTTTTACGCTGCGATGCGCTCCGAAATCACTCGGCTCTCGGAGCTGTCCGCGTGGCCGATCGTCCACTTGGCGCTTCTAACGGCAAACACTAGCTAATCAGATGCATAAGCGACGAGTGCGCGCGTTGCCTCGGAGCTGCCAGCGGCCATCCGAGGTAACGAGCGCTGCCTCGAAAAAAATCATTAGCGAGAACGAGAGAGCGATCGGGGCGCTGACAAAGACGGCTATGCCGCGAGCGAGTGTGGCAATGCCTGGTCGACAAGCGTAAAACAAGCTGTCGGCGCACGGTAGCCAGGCAAGGCAGGCAAGGCAGGCAGGCAGGCAGGCAGGCAGGCAGGCAGGCAGGCAGGCAGGAACGCAGGCAGACAGACGGGCGGACGGACGAACAGGGGGGACCAGGTGGGGGTACACCGAGCGGCGCACAGTCGTATCTGGCCGCGTGGGGCACCGCCAGCGAACGGCGGCGTCCCTCAGTACAGCGCGTAATAGTGTGGTGCGTCAACGTCGAAGGAGACGGACCGCGGACGTCACGGCCATTCGGGTGCGCGTGAGCCATGGATTGAGCGACGATGAGGTTGGCGCAGGTGCTGCAGGTGCTCGCGCTGCTCGCGGCGGCGAGCGCGCGCGACAACCAGGCAGCCGCTGGCGCGCGCGTCGACTACGATAGGACCGATGGCGAAGAGCGCGTGAAGGTGGCCAAGTGCTGCGAGGAGGCGGAGCTGTTCGTTGACGGCTTCTGTGTGCCTGTCAAGGAGGCCAACCAATCGCAGCCCTGGCGGCCGGAGTTCGAGAGCGAGGACGCCTTCTACCCGGGCCTCAGCGGCCACGCGGCCGCCAGGCCCGAGGCGCAGCAGCCCAGCTACGAGCTCAAGTTCGGGCAGCCGCCCTGCCGCAGTAACCAGATGGCCTGGGACGTGTACTCGGACCCCAGCGGCGGCAGCGACACCCTCGTCATGCTCGCCAGCGGCAAGCTCAGGCACTACGTGTCCGACCAGGCCGACGAGGTGCAGAAGGCCAAGGAGCTCTACGGCACCGATTACATGGACTCGGACGACGACGTGCAGGCCAGGGCCATTCACTACGACTACCCCTACGGGCACTACTGCGCCGACAAGGCCATCCTGCCCAACAACAAGGTGGGCACCTACGCCAAGATCTGTGTGCCGCAGCCCGTCAAGTGGGCCAACGCCGACAACCTCATTAGGAAGGCAGTCGACCCGGCCTTCCACGCGGTCGCCATCGTCAGCTACCTCACCGTTGCCATCGTTTACTTCGTGCTGCCGCAGCTTCGGGACCTCGTGGGCAACATCATCACCAGCATGACTTTGTGCTTGATCGTCAACCAGTGCGCCTCGCTGACAACCATCTTTACCGAGTTCGGCAACCACATCAACTTCCTCGTGGCAGGTAAGTTCGGCGATCGAATGCGTGCCCGATCGAGATCCGAATGTACTACCGTCTCCTACCTTCGCTTTCAGACTCGCTGATGTTCATCAGCCAGGTGGCAGCGTTCTTCTGGCTGAACGCGCTGGGCTACTACGTCTGGTACACCTTCCGCTCGAGGAACGTCTTCCTGAGAAGCAGCGACGGGCGCAAGTATTGCTGCTACTCGACCTGCGTGTGGTGTGCCACGGTAGCCATCGCCGTGACTGCCATCTTCGCGCACCTCACCCTCGAGACCAACGTGCCGAAGGTAGGTGGCGTGGCGTTCACCGCTCAAGAGACCATTGGCTGGTTGGGACTCTCCATGCTATTCACCTCCGTGGGCTTCACCATCATCATCGACTTATGCTACGTGTTCACCACCATCAACAAGATCAAGCGGATACGCACTTACGGCAGGATACATCACAAGATGAAGTACAGCTTCAGAATGTTCATACTGATTTTCGGGATAATGAGCCTCGGTTGGATATCAACGCTCTTGTCGATGCTCAAGTACGACGGTCTGGTCTACTGTCATATCGTAGTCAATGTGATTCAGGCACTCTCGATACTTTACGTGTGCGTTTTCGGCCAGAAGAGGGTCACCTTTCTACTCGGGAAGACGTGCAATTGCTGTATCTCCAGTGACAATTCCGAGGGCTTGGATTGGGGCGAGGAGATGACGGCTATCAACGCCGGATATTAACTACTTAATCAAATCCGCGCCACTAACTATCAGATATTCTATTTAAAAAGTATTTTATTTGGAAAATTTATGACGAATCTTATGTCACAAATGCCTTATATGAAGAAAATATATGTATATGAGCTTGTATTTAAATCAGATATGAAACTGTGAATCTATCAACCAGTATTTTGAATTCCAATGAGGAAAAATAACTATGTATATTGCCATTTCAATTATTTATGAATCTCATTTATCCAAATGCTTTTGATATTGACGCAAGTGACCTTACAAATTGACACTTTATGGCATTTAAATATATTTTGTTTAATGCCCTAAATTATTGTAATATTTAGTTATAAGTTATCTTTAAGTATAGCTTTTAATATTTATACCATTTGAAAGAAATGATTTTTGTATAACTCTGTTTTAAAAAATAAACAAGGTTGAAAAACACTGACCTGTCCAAATAATCCACCTTCTGGTCTCTTTAATAAATTTGACAGCTGGCACCTGACAACCAAATGACAATCGTCCATAACAGTGTGAAAGAACCTTCTTGTAGGTAAAAGAGCTTCTAAGTCGATCATAAGTTCTAAAAATCTTTCGCAATAGTGTACTTTATCAGGATTGATTTGACCTAAAATTAACGCACATTTACCTTTTGAATGAAATTGTTCTGTATTGATAATAATTACAGTAGATATTTCCAAAATTACCTTCTAAACGAACAGTTTCCAGGATGGTCATAAACTTTATCATCAATTTGTGTAAAAATGTACGATCCCATTTGAGCCTTTCTTTATCTTCAGGTTTATCTTTCTTCAAAAGTGCTTTCCAATGTTTTTTCCATTTGCTATTTTTTGCAAACTCAAGGTCTCTTCTGCTTTGCTGAAGAGACATCCATATTCCTAGTGAAACAAGTCTTCTAACTTGATCTCTCACAAGCACAACTTCCATAGAATTAAAACAGTGATTCAAAAATACAATTAAAGCAGTCTGTTCTCTTAATTCAAAATCTTGAATACTATCTTCTAAACAAGCTTTCAAAACGTGCTGAAAGAAGCCTGGAAAGTGATCCGGCAATTTTTCGAAAGCTTCCCAAACTTGAACTCTTTCACGAAACTTTTCATTAACCATGATAACAATAGACATTGTGTGTTGTCTTGTAGCTTTTTCAGCATCATAGTTTGGCCAAAGATATTTCTCCAAATACTGACTGAATTCAAGCATCATAATGCGTCGAATTGAAAATTTGGAAACACTTATTTCATTGATATATATATTATCAACAATTTGTGCACTGAATTGGAGATGAGAATCAGCAGTATGTGGAGCCCAATACTTATTGGCCAGCTATAAAAAAATCAAAATCAATTATGAAATAAACGTTAGATCTACAAATAATATAGACGATTTGTTACAAAATGAATAATCACCTGAGTAATCTCATCACTATTAATTTCCTGAACTGTTGGAGCTGGGTTATTTATTTTAACAGGTGGTGTCGTTTGTGTTTCCATTATTGACACCATTTTTTAACTATCCAATTTTTAAATACAATCGTATACAGAAAATATAACCTATAACTAGAGTCGACAAACTTTGATGCACACGTTAATGTTTACCATCTTTTGATTTTTTTAATAATTATTCTACACTTTACATTTAATTTAATTTCGATAAATTACAAACTACACAAGAAAACTTTCTATAATTTCATTGTTTATAATGCAACTGCTGAAATCTACATACATATATACCGCGTGTAAGTGTACGGTGTACGCCTGATGAACAGAGCCTCTCGGAACCTAATGTACTTTTCCTCACTTTGACTTGAGAACGTTTGAGTTTTTGAGATTTCGTATTTAATTTTCTAATTATTCCTTCTCCACAATCTTAAGCGAATAAATGCCTTGCGTTACACTTTACGGCTTTTATTAATTATTAAGATAATCATACGTTCATTTTTTACCGCACTGCTTGCCACCCACCTTACCCCAGCCGGCAAACTTAATTCATAGTAAAAACAAAAAATACAAGTCGAAATATTTCTAACTGCACTATCCAAAATTTCTTCTAATTTAAACTACACCGTCCTAGTTTTTCCAGAAAAAATTTATAAATTTATAGATTTTTCGAACGGTCAAATCTTTGTAAATAAACGATATTTGCATAATTTTATTGGACAAAAAAACTGCACCTTGGCTGATCTTGACTGCACCCTCTTTACTTTTGTGAAATTATTAACATAAATATTAGATAATTAATAAAAACCATATTGTTTTATTAGCCATGCAGCAGTACTAGTTAGAACGCATGCGCGAACGCATAAGCGGGAAAACTAGATCGTTTTAAATTTCCGATAAAACAATGTATTGTCGACTACATCTACATATAGGACATTGTCAAACGGTAATACAATGGTAATTACTAAAAATGGATCCTTCTAGTTATTAATAGAAGCTTTGTTAATATTATCTTTATGGTCATTTAAAAAAAATGTAGTATTTGTAACTTTGCCTATTATTAATTTATTACGTTGAGTTTAATATACATTTACTCGACAACCTTGTAAACATGTTCGCAAGCATTTCAGTTATATATTAGTTTACACGTAAAAATGTTATATATTTCAACAAAGAAGACTATATATTCAAAGTTCAATATTGAAAATTAAAACTGTGGTTCTTGAAGTCATTAGAACTGGACTTTTTAGTAAATTTTAGGTAGTTTGTTGAGGTACTGACAACCTTGGCTACTATATATATCGTCACTCGCAGGTCATGAATTATTTTGGTAACAAACTTGCATGAAAGTGTAATAAAAACAAAAAAAAGACAAAATAAATAAAAACTAAAAAAAGCCGAGAGTTCATGTTGAGCATTTATCTCACAAGTATAAACATATGCCTATCTTTATAGAATCCGCGACCAATGCTTCTTAGGGACATCTGAAGGTTTAATAAGGCAATTGCGGTTTGGGTTGAGGTATCTTGAAAACAAATTATGGCATAGGTGACGATTGATGAATTTGAAAAACAAACTTTTATTGCTGCAAATATTTAATGAAAACAAAACAAATGACTAACAAATATATATTTAAAAGAATATGCGAATACATATCTATATAAGCCGAATATTAGATTACAGGTGCGAGTAGCCGATCAACGTCCACTATCAGTCTCACTCGAATGTCAGGTCGGCACAAGCAATTGACATGACATTCGAGTGAGACCGACAGTGACCGTTGAACTCGCAGTGTAGATCACAGACATGGGCAGCCGATCAACGTTCTCTATCAGTCTCACTCGAATGTCAGGTCGGCACAAGCAGTTGACTTGACATTCGTGTGAGACCAACAGTGGGCGTTGAGCACGTAGTACGTAAAAAATGGCAGGCGCAGGCAGTCCATCATCGGTCACTATCAGTTTTACTCCAATGTGAACTTGACATTAGCAGCTGACGTGACATTCGAGTAAGACCGATAGTGGCAGTCAAGAAGGTAGTATCCCCTGTATGGCGTCGTCCCCGGCAGAGCGTTGTCGATTTGGGCTTGTCGTCGGTGATGTCCGAAGGTTGCGCCGCTGCTGCTATAGGACTGGGCCCACCCGCGCATTCCGAGAATCAGGAAAATGCCACTCTACGTTTATAAATCCTAGACAAAGTCCGGATTTGGCTTCGGTATTTCTGCAACAAAAGAATTTCTCGTCGGAGCTCATTCCAGCGTTATACACGAGGTCTGTACCTCACCTTCCTGCAGTCCACATTTGACTAGGGCTTTTTCAAGTGCGGTGATGATGGGCTCTGCCTGTTCGCATTTTATCTGCAATGTTTTCGCTTCTTCGTGATAATCTGGATTGAACGATACGTTAAAGCAGGTATTAGCTAGACAGGTTACAGCTTCGCCCATCAGCGTCATCATATTGAAAACTTTTTTTGTCAAGTCACTTTTTTCTTGCTCGCCGAGACCTTTTTCGTGCAATACCTCGACCAAACTTGTTATCACCGACATCTGGGACAACATGAATTCTGTCAAATTGATAAGCCCGTTCAGAATCGTCATGTCTAAAACCTAGAGAAACGATGACGCATGCGGATGAGTGGCTGATCAACCCACGACCTATCAGCAAACTACTTGTTCGGGCACTTTTCAAAGGTAAATACCGAAATAACAGAAGCAAAAGCGCTGTTAATTTGTAAATGATTATCGAAATTTGTCGGGTCATTCGAAATAGACGCATGTAATATTCGCGCGTAAACTCACCAAGACATCTGTCATTGTTTGTGTCGTCGACGAGTGAACCAACGTTCGTGATAATTCAACAACGACCTTTCACTTGCCCGCAGAGATCTTTCAACGGCCACAGACCAACCGTGCGTAGCTGCTTTTGTATTTGTATACGGCTGCCGACCAAGTACAATAGCTCGTTTCTACTTTGGCAAAGTGACTGTCGAATCTCGCAGGGTTAGACCGAACAAATGTAACGTATTTTGCGATGATTTCGCGCTCGAATGATAGGCACGACCGTGCAACTTTGCGCCCGTTATAATTAGCTGCAACGGTTTTCAGCAATCGGCCAAAGTTGAGAAGGTGCCCAACTGAAGCGAAATCGAACTCTCTTCAAACGACTCGTTTGTAAATGTACCTTCTATACCAATCAAGTATAAACTAACGATGTTGCTTCCAAGTGCTCGAGTGAACCGAGTAGAGGCGCGTCAAAGGCGTGCAGCGACAACTGTATCGAATTGGAGCGAATTATAGCGAGACACGCATTATTGATTTCGACGCTATGAAGTTTAACGGAATTACCTGTTGGACGCCTGTTGAAGAACCGCTCTGGTGACGGAGTCAATCGTCCAGAAGGAGCAGTAAAGCTTGGTGAACCTTGGCGTTGTCAACGAAGGTCGGCAATAGTCTGAAGCTGCTGCTGCTGCCCAGTCTCGCTAATATAGGCAAATTTCGTTCAAGTATGGTGAGGCCGGTGAGGCTCTCCATCGCAGTGAAATTAAATAGGAAACGAGAAGCGGAGAGGGTAGCGGTGGGGGTTGTCTTTTCAGCCAATCGACTGGCGAATAGCGCTTTACTATATGGCTGTCTCCAGCCGATTGGCTTTCTGTAATATTTTCAATATATAGCTTTTTCAATATGTCTATTTTTCATAAAAACGGAAAAGGGCATAAGTCAGTTAAAAATGTTTTAAAAATATTTCCATTCAGAAATTTGAATGCAGTGTCCTCATTTCTATCGAATTTGTCTCATTATGTAAGAAAGCTTTTATCAAAATCTTAACGTTTGCAATGGTATCTGCTCAATTGAAATGAATAACAATGCAGAGTAAAAAGCTACGTAGAAATCTTTCGGTATTATATTTCTTGTCTACCTTTGTTCAGGTTCAAGAAATATTGTTAAAAATTACATTTTTAAAGAATTGAAGATGTGATTGCGAATATTTATTGGACATTTCAATATCGGACGTTTCAATGCAAAAAGATATATAACCGTTTGAAAAATATTAGATGTAATAAAACGCGTGTTCTTTTGCGCTAAAAACCGCAGACAGACCGCTTGAATTAGAAGAAAAGACGCTGATTTATGATCCGACAGAAATTCAAAAGCGTTACATAAATCGATTTATACCGCATTATTCTACGCATCTTCTCATTACTTTTGTCAGTTTATAAAGATTTATTCGGCTGTAATACGCTTCAATCTCTATTCAAGCGTCTTTATTTTGCTTCTATTATTCATAAGGAGTCTTGTTTACTGCAATTACCGCCACGGAGAAGGTCAACACATCAGTATAGAATAGGCTTATTAGTAAACAATGCTGGCTTATTACCGCAGCAGTTTCCACACTGTAAACACAGCACAGCTCATCAGCAAACTAAAAGTGGTCTTTATTTTCACTGATCTTCGATGCTTATTACAAGATGAAAACATTACATTTGAAAGTTCTGATCAATTTTGATTTGACGTAACGATGTATCGATCACCAATTTGTTCGATATTCTTACAGTAAGAAACATGTGTGCCTTACAGTGACTTACAGTAATAAACATATGACATTTCTTGATAACATAAGTAAGCACGTGTTTGATGGATTATTTAATTTTCTCTAAAATATATTAAGCTACATAATTGGTTATTAACTTAAAACATTGTACATATATTTATTAAATCTTTTTTTTCTATTCGAAATTTTCGAGCAGAATATATATTAATAAATTGTTGAAGTTGATGGCAATTAACTGAATCTGATATTAAGATGTCATTCGTTTAGGTCTAAATTAAATAAATATCATTTCTCGTCGCGGGATTACCGTGTCGTTTGAATTTTTCCTACTGTATATTTTAATAATTCAAATGTTAGTATTAATACTCAATCAACATATAACGTAATAAACTTGTAGAACTTTTCGTTAATAAAGTTATGCGGAATCGATGGAGGTAATTAGTTTACAACAAAATTTTTAAAATAGCAACTCGGGGTTAATTTCAAAAGAGCAAAAAATGAATTTCAAGTCCGCTTAAAAGAGATTGTCAATTGGTAGATTTTAAGTAATTGTCTACTAATCATGAGTGCGGATACAACGGAAAGTCGAGTCTCCCATGTTTAAAAATGGCAGTAGAGTCAGTTTGAAGAGGATAAAAGAGTCTCCTAATTATCTCTTGCGTATATTCATTACTCTGGCATAATGAATTGTGAACTGTTGAAGAATGGAATGAATGCTGGATTGTGCTAATTATGAATAATTAAACGTATTTTTTGGCATATCATAAGTTGCTATTTGGTACGTAGTATTGACGATGCGTTTTTATCCTTGTTTTGTTTTTATTATGTTACTACCTGCATTACCCTTTTAGCAAGTTCGTGAGAGAAAATTCTATATGTCGTGTTAGTCGTGAGTAGAGTACGCATCCTGTAAAGTGAATATTGTTTCGTTTCTAAAAAAATTAAATAGTTTCGTTTATATATTTTTTAAAATCTGAGCATGAGATAAAAATAAAATCCAGGAGCTGACCCGTATGCGTGTATTAATTATCACGGAAATCCAGGGCTATGTGTAGATGTCCAACAAAATCAATAACAATGATGATTTCGTTATTTCCGTCCTTTTTCAATGCAAATGTCGACCGTTGTATTCTTCAATAGTGAACGTTTAATGAAAAAATTTTGAAAACATTATTTATTAACAGGCAGTGTTATAATTATTTTTAAAATAATGGAAATATCCAAAAGAGCTAGAATGGAGTACGATGAATTACCATTAGATTTAAGTATAAAGAAAAGTCCTTCGGATGAAAATAAAAAAGAAGAACCAGAATTATCACACACAAATGCACTTAACGACAGTCACATATTTGCTGTTCCAAGAGTTCCACCTCAAACTATTAGTATATCTGATAGAATATTAGCATCTGAATGTGCACTTTCTCAAAAATTAAGACATATCAATTTCAATTTCCCCGTTGAATATGTATACAATCCTATAGAGTATGCATTTCAAGTTCATGCAATGTATGTAACTAAATACTGCCGTTCAACAAAAAAAGTCCTCTTCCTTGGCATGAATCCTGGACCTTGGGGTATGTCACAGACAGGTGTACCATTTGGTGAAGTTAATATTGTAAGAGACTGGTTAAAACTTAGTGGTAATATTGGTAAACCATATCGTGAACAAGCTGACAGACTGATAACAGGGTTTAATTGTACTCGTAGTGAAATTAGTGGTAGAAGATTTTGGAATCTTTTTAGAGAATTATGTAGTGAAGATCCTGAAAAATTCTTTAGACATGCATTTTTGCACAATTACTGCCCGATTGCTTTGATGGATGCTGGAGGTCGTAACATCACTCCTGCAGAATTAAAGGCAATACATTTGAAACTTTACTTATAATGTGTAATTCATAAAATAATTTTCTTTTTGCACAGGGTCCTGAACAATATACTTTATACGCAGCTTGCGATGAAACTTTAATAACTGTGTTGAAGCTACTTAAAGTTGACATTGTTGTTGGAGTTGGCAGATTTGCAGAAAAAAGAGCGCAAACTGTTATAAAGACTACTGGTCTTCCAATCAAGGTATCGCTTAATTGCATAATCATAAAAGCAGGGTTAGCCATAGAAATCTTACGAGTGCCTTTTTTTTAGGTATTATGTATTCCACATCCAAGTCCTAGATCAGTGGGTAATGAGAATTGGAATGAAAAAGCAAAGCTAAAACTCAGAGAGTATAACTTGATGCAATATTTTCTATATTAAGTTTATGTATTTTTACTCTTTGTTTTATGATCGCTTTGATATACATCGAATTTTTCAATTTTATTTGAGATTCAGGAAAAATATTGTTTCAGATAATTTGTTGAGAAAAATTATTTTTTCGTTTATATAAATATATATTCTATCATGAGCGCTGTTGAATGGATGGACAAGGCTTTGCAAGAAGCTGAAGAGTCGTTGGAAAGAGGTGAAGTTCCGGTAGGATGTTTATTTATCCACGATAATAAGATAATCGCGACAGGTAGTAACACTGTTAACGAAACCCGTAACGCCACTCGTCATGCTGAGCTCAATTGTATTGATGATGTACTAGTCTACTGCCAAGAAAATAATTTAGATTATAAGGAATTTTTCAAAAATATCGACGTTGTAGTAACCGTAGAACCATGCATTATGTGCGCCGCGGCTCTTCATCAGTTGCGCATTCGTAGTATCATATATGGCTGTGCCAACGATAGGTTTGGAGGTTGTAAAAGTGTTTACGAAGTATCTAAAGTTTATGAATCTCAGATAAATGTAGTAGGCAACGTCAAAAGCGACGAAGCAATGCAATTACTTAAAAACTTCTATAAGGGTACAAATCCGAATGCGCCGGAAGCTAAAAAAGGCCGTAAGAAGAAAGTGGACAATAAGTGAAAACTAATTTGTTCAAAGAGCATTTTTTTATTATATTCTATTTATTTGCGCAAACAGATGTGCAGAGTTTAGATTTGATTTTATAAAAATCAAAATCATTTTTAAGATTCACTTCAATTTTAATTTAAGTTATTGTATGCTCTTTTGACAAATTGAAATTCATACAGGGTACTAACATCAATGTCCAAATCATTTCTTCGTCAGGAATTGTTACTTATAGCAAGTTGATTGTACAAAATATAATTTAACTCTATGTAAGGCTATTCTTACATTAAACTTGTCTTTTTAATTTTATATAATCTATAAAATTTTTCTAACGTCTCAATGTATATACATTTTGTAAATTAAATAAATCTATCGTAAAATTTAAGTTCAATCTCTTAGATTTGCAAATCTACTTATTAACAAATACTGAAATGGCACCAATTTTCATGCAACCAGTTTTTCTTAAAGTAAAAACTTATTCACACCATGTTGGATCGAGTTCGCATTTTCCTTGGAACCACCTAATCAATAATTGATTTCTCAGAGAATAATCTTTCAAAACCATGTCTTTCGTCTAAAAAAAGAAACATCTATGAGATTCGAGACTTTAGCAAAACGTTTTGGAAGTATGATCACTTACAATTGGAGGCGGAAAAATTCTCAAGTAATCCATTTTATTTTGGTGCTCCCAGTAACTTTGAGTCAACGTTAATTTCATTTCTTCAGTGAAACACGGTTTGCAAAGTTGGCACTCTACCTTAAAACAATCGTCACACTCAGAGCAAATGTCTGGTAAGACAACCAAATTCTTATCGGCAGTGATCATGTCCTCTTCTTCGACATTTCTAAAAAGTATTTGTCGATTAAATAGAAATCTACAGAATATTTGGATTATTATAACGGAAATCACCTCGCTTTTAAAGAATCTTTCCGGACCCTTTGTCCAACTCCAATCAACGCGAACAAATTATATAAAACTTGTTCATATAACAATTGATTAGGCGGATAATGCGCTGACGATAAGTTGGGTGACATGTTGGCTTCCATCATAAACACATTCAAATCTTCGTCAATGGTAAAGTCAAACCTGACCAGCTCAAAAAAATTTCGAGAAGTCTTAAAACGCTTGACGATATCTCGAATGTGAGCCTCCTTTTTCAGAATAACACTTGTGATTGCTTTGAAACAGTCCTCCCACATCTTTTGAGGATCTTTGCCTTTCGAACGAACGTACGAGTCAAAAGATTCCTTCATCGAGAAGCCAAGGTTGGTGTAATAATTTTTTAGAGAAGGCACGTTCCAAATGGGCAAATAGTCATCGCCGACCACGTATTTGTCAACTTGCTCCGAGTCGAATGGGTAGTATTTGATTGGGCAGAAACGGAACAGTACGTCACCTTTGTACGCGTAAACTCTCAGTGGGTCTATGGACGTGATGACAGTGTAAATGCCAATGTCGAACTTGTATCCGTCAACTAAAAACGGCTTCTCGATGAACTGTTGCACGAACGACCCGTCAGTCGTCAAATTCAGATTGTCGACTTTTTGAATCTTGATTCCTCGGTGCGAATTGGACTTCTGCACGAAAATCATCTCGGGATGCTGCTTTACGTACTCCAGAAACGGCGCCCGTTGCTCTGGAATTTTGAAGGCTCTTGGCATGAACTTGCCCTCCGTTGTCGACAAATCGACCTTGTTCGTGATGTAGCCACATCCTGGAAAATGATTGACTTTCTGATGAGGCTTCAGATTATTCAGCGACGGATACAGCGCTCTGAATGGGTAGTCGTGCGCCCAGAGCAGATCCCAGTCGGATTCGTTGCTGCCACGTTCGAAGCCCAACCTGCCGAGCACCGCGAACACGTGTTTCAAGTGGCCCTCGTTCGAATCTCGACCGTACACCCAATAAACCGGCTTCTTCTCTCTCGCTGCTACTTCTTTTATTTTGATCGTTGTCAAGTGCGATTGATAGTGTAAAAATACGAAGAAGAGAGTGTAGAGCACTGCTGGTCCCACTATCACCACTAAAAATATCTTAGCCAATTCTTTTACTTTGGTGTCGAGTACCTTTGCCCGCATTCCATCTTCGGCCTGAAAATTAATATCACATGGAATAATACGGCTGGCGCAATTTTCAACATTGTTCAAGAGAATTATCCGTAAAACGTGGGTCTGAGGGAATACTTTGGAAAGCTACGTATAGTTTGATTCTCACCTTTTTGCCATTAGCTCTGCATTTGACCTCCTTCATCTCCATCCTGGCAACTAGCGATTTCTCTCTGAATTTTTTTAAATTCTCTCTGATTCACTCATTGCAGCAGTTGTCAAACACGGAGACTGAGAGAGACATGCTCTCCGATAATGGGACGCGCATGTGTTACGCGTGCTTCAAATTACACGTATCTTGGAGTGTCGACGGAGCGGAGAAAAAAAAGTACCGTTATACCGCTACTGCTCAAACGCGCTTGTTGACTTCTCTCCGTGTGCCAGGAGAACCTGTTTCTCCCATTCCCCACTACCCGCGCGATTGTCTTTCTCTAGCCTGCAATTTTTCTTATTCACTTTCATCATTCCAGTAATGGATGGATTTACATGAAAGATTGTTAAATCTTGAAAATGTTATTCCGAAATTTACATAAAATATAAAAGCAATCGTGAAATTAAGTATTTTCCAATTTTTACAGTAACTTTGTGAATTGAGCATAAGTTATCTTCAAGGAAATAATAGACACCATCGAAAACATACTGAAAAGCAACAAAGTTTCGACGAAATTCGCGCCTGAAATGGAGATGTTTACTACAATTGAATTTACGCGGGTTTATAAAAGCGCCCTCTTGGAATTTCCGCGCTAACCTCACCTCGCGTGTGTCGAATGGGAATGGCGTTTGAGTGTACTGCTCTTTCCGACCGCTGATTTTGCCGAGTCGAATTCAATTCGCAAAAAACATGGGTTTCCAGAACATTTGGTATTCGCATCCACGTAAATACGGCCAAGGATCCAGGTCCTGGTAAGAAATATTAATTTTTTTCTATTTTAACCCCTTAGAGATTGATATAAGATATAAAGTTGTCTATAAATTGTATGATTCTACACCACGACTACCCACGTAGTTCGTTAATCGCAAAAATACTATTGGCAATAATTTAAGATCTTGTAGAATAGTGTAATATTCGTTTTTCTACGTGATTCTCTTAATTTGTATTAAAAAGATCCAAAGAAACAATGGATTATATATTATAAGGATTGAAAAACATTTTCATGTAACATAACCTCAAAACAGAATACGTATACACGTGTGAATGTTGAACATCGGATCACTCAGTTGAGAAATTTATTTAAAAAATTAGTATTATAAGTTTAATTAATTAAATATTTTTTTTGTAGCCGTGCTTGTGCAAATAGACATGGTTTGATCCGTAAATACGGTTTGAACCTCTGTCGCCAGTGTTTCAGGGAGTATGCTGCAGACATTGGTTTTAAGAAGGTAAGAATTATTCTCATTTTTCAATAGTAACTCTTCACTTGAATTCATTTTATGTAAAAATAATCTAATGTACTTAATTATTCAATTACAAAAATTCAATGCACTACAATTTCTGAGTCAATAATATTAATTCAGTTTTAAGGATTGGAATTTAATGATCATTTACATTTTTTCTGTTTCAGTTGGATTAAATATTAAAACTGACCGGACTGATATTGTGAAATAAACAGGTGCGATGTTAAATTTTTTATATATAACTACATAATTACTTTATCTAATGAAAATGGCTACCTGTATATGACAGTAAAATCAGTAAAAGGTATAAAAACTCAACAGATCGTATAATTTTAATTACTTTCCTTACCTATAAAAAACTTAGTATATATATAGAATTTATTCAACTTAAATGTTACAATTTTGGTTTTTTACAAAGTATATTTCATTTTTTTATTGTGTGACGTGCCTTGTTTCTTTTTGCTTATGTTTTGTGTGATTATGTTGTATATGTGTGTGATTGTGTTTTTGTTTGTGTTAGTGTATTTTGTATTTCCTTCTCATTTTCTTTTCCATTTGCCTACCCTTTTTCGTCTTCTTCTCACTCTTTCATTCCATCTTCTATCCCATCCTCTCTCTTTCTCTCTCCCTCCTATACTTACCTCCCCTCTTTCTGTATGTCATCCCATTTATAATCATCCTTCTGTTTTCTACCACGATGTCCATTACTACTCCTGCTTCCTGGCTAGCACTGAGGACCTTCTTTGCTGCCCTTACCATTTCGTCCCTCTCTTTTCTTTCTTCAAAGGACAGCCACTCGTCTAAGCTCATTTTTCCTTCTCTATATATTTCTCTTTCCAAGTCCCATATCTTGTCTCTGTCTTCTCTGCTATTAAACTCTACTTTCAGCCTTTCTCCCAATTCCTTTACGTGATTCACTTTCACTTTATGAACATTTTCAAACCATTCTTCTATTTTTACACCTTCTTCCCATTTTGGTCCTTTTTTCACTATCAGTATTCTTTTTTCCACTCGTCCCATTCTTCTCCTGGTGATTCATCACTCTCACTTTCCATTTTCCTTTTTTTTCTTTTGTTTTTCTCTTTTTTTCTCTCTACTTCCTCTTCTGCTCCTTTATCATCTCTTTCTTTTCTGCTTTCTTTTAGGTTTTCCTCAATTGTTCTTAGTCTTATTTCCTGGTTCCTAGCCTCTCTTTCCAACTCTTTTACCTTATTTTCCACATCCCTTCTTTTTTTTCTTTCTATTTCCATCCATTCTTCCAGGTCTTCTTTTTCTACTCTTCTGTCTCTTTCTATCTTTGTTATTTTCCTTTCAATTTCATCCATTTTCGTTAATCTTTTCTTTTGCCTTCTTTACTCTATGAATTTTCTTTTAATTTTTTTCTTATCTAGCCGGTCTTCTCACCTGTCCGTATTAGGGCTTTTACACCTTTTCTGCGATATCCTCCGCTCCCTCTGCTTTCACTCATGCTTACTACAATTCTCTCTTACCAATTTCTTTCTTCTCTCTTTTCATTTTTCTTTTTCTTTCTCTTTTTCTTCTTCTTTTCTTCTTCTTTTCCACTTTAGTTCCATCATCCATGCTATTTTTTCTTTGCTCCCAACTATTATTTCTTCCCACTTTTCTCCTTCTTTTCTTGTCATTTCGCATTTTTCTACTATGTGTTTCCAATCTTCCTCTTCTTTTTGGCACATTCTACATTTCTTATTTTCTTCTTTTTCCCAGTATCTACACCCTCTTGTCTCGTTCCCTAGCCTAAACCTCTCTCTTATTTGTAGACCTCTTATTTTCCCTTCATTTTGTATTTCTTTTAGTCTACACTTCTTCATTTCTTCCTTTATCCCCTTCCACTCTCTTATATATCTTGATTCTTCCAACTTATCTTCCATTTCTTTTTCTTCTTTTTTCTTCAATTCTTCTCTTACTTCTTCCCAGAACTCTTCTCTTTCATCGTCTCCTTCTCTCTCTCTGTATTTTTTACTTTCCCCTAGTCTTTCTTCTCTCTCTCCTTTTTTTTCATTTCTTTCTTCTCTTTTCCTTTCGTTTCTCTTCATTTCTCTCCATGCTTCTTTCTTTATTGTTCCATCCCCTTCTTCTTTAATTTTATTTTCATATCTCATCGCTCTCTCCATTGCTTTTTCTTTTATTTCTTTTCTTCCTGTTTCCCATTTTATCAGATAACTCGGTGTATTTCTGTCCAAACCCAGTACCCATTTTATATATTTCATTTGAAGTCTTTCTATTTCCTCGTATCTTTTCCATCCCCATATTTCTGCTCCATACATTATCACGCTTTTCATTAACGCGTCAAATAACATCATCCTTAGCTTCCAATTTTCTTTAAATAATCTTTCTCCCAACCCCCATACTTTCCCTAGTCCCATATTTATTTTACCATCTGTTTTCTTTATATGTCTCTTATTCCCATTATTTTTGTTTATTATGTATCCCAGATAGTTATATTCTTTTACCATTTCAATTTTCTTTCCTATCCACTCAAAACTTTCTTCTTTTCCTCTTCCTCCTCCTTTCTTACATTTCATCATTTTTGACTTTTCTACGTTTAATTCCAACCCTCTTTCCTCTAAGAATATCCTTAGTTTTTTCAGCATCTCTTTCATCCCATTTTCATTTTTTGCCATCATTACTATATCGTCCGCGTATCCTATCGTCCAAATTTTCTTTCTTCCTATTACCACTCCTCCTTCCTGAATTTTACTCATTTTCTTTTCTAACTCCGCAAAGGCAAGATTAAATAGCGTGGTGCTCAGCGGGCACCCTTGCCTTACTCCCTTTTCTGTGTCGAATTCCCCTATTATCTCTCCTCTAATTTTTATTCTGCATCCTGTTTCCTTGTATATTTCTTCTATGCTTCTTCTGGTCCTTTTATCTATTTCTTTTTCCTTCATTATTTCCCATATCTTCTTTCTTCTTATCCTGTAAAACGCTGCTTTCATATCAGCGAAGAAGACAAACAATTTCCCACCTTTTTCCCTGATATCTTTTCCTATTGCCGTTTTTAGCACGTATATTGCATCTGTTGTTCCTCTTTTTAGTCTGAATCCCATTTGCGTATCGCTTAGCATTCCTTTTTCTTCTATCTCTCTGTCTAGTCTTTTCCTTACTATTTCTGCATATATCTTATATCCTGTGTCCATCAGCGTTATACCCCTATAATTGCTTACTTCTTCTTTTTTTCCTTTCTTGTATACTGGTATTATTATTCCCTTTCTCCATTCCTTCGGGTATCCTTCTCCGTTCCATACTCTATTTAGACATTTTGTCAGGTCTTTTATTAGGCTTTCAGTCCCAGCCATCCACGCTTCATTTGCAATCCCATCTTCTCCTGTTGCTTTTTTCTTTTTCATTCTCTTTATCGCCTCTACTACCTCTTTTACTTTTATTTCCCCTCTTTCTTCTTTTTCCCCTCTTTCCCATTCTTCTCTTTCTTCTTTTTTATTGTAGTCCTTTTCTTTTTCTCCCAGCTGTTTCTTGAAGTGTTTTAGCCATTCCTCATTGCTTATTTTTTCGTCTATTTTTGCTCTTTTTTTCTTTCCTCCGCTCACTTTTTCCCAAAATTTCCTTCTCGTTCTATCTTTGCTTATTTCCTCCGCCACTTTCCTTCCTTCCTCTTCTATTGCCTTTCTTATTTCCTCTCTGTATTCCCTCTTTGCTTCCAGGTATCTACTTCTATCCCCAATTCCTCTTCTTAGTTCTTTCAGAGCATTCATTACCTTGTCTCTTTTTACCTTACATTCTTCTCTCCACCAGCTTTTTCTTGTTCCTTTTTTACTTCTTATTTTCTTTTTTGTTATAGCGTTCTGCACTCTAATTTTTATCTCTTCCCATTTTTCCGTTCCTTCTACTGCTCCTATCCATCTGTGATACTCTTTTATTCCTTCTTCGCTCCAGTCTTCTCTTAACCTTTCTTCTTCTCTGTTTTCTTCTTCTTCAACCCTGTTTTCTAGCTCCACTTCTACTGGTAGGTATAAAAAACTTAGTATTTTTAGATATTTAAATAGTTTTTCATTCAAATTAATTGAAGCTTATTGAAGTAATATTGAAGAGATGAAGCTATCATTGATTTTTTTCTGAGTAACTAGAATTATTAAGCGCGCTTCGCGCGCTTTTTTTTATGCTTTCTATGGAACGTATACTTTTTATTATTTGTTTAAATGAAATAAAATTTAATAATGTATCTACTTTTCAAATTCAATACCAAAAGATTAAAAAATAATAATGACACTGTACTAAGTATTATTATTACTTGTGTAATTATGTTTATCGTGAATCTGCTATTAAAATTATACATATTGCATATATTTCTATATACTATTAGTTTAACTTATATAACAATTTTTTATTCGATTAGATTACAAATCTCATTTGTATGTATTATTTAGATTTCAAAGAATGAAGAACATTTTCATAATTCTGTGTACAATTCTTTGTAAACCCAATTTTTAACTTTTCTTCTTTGTATTTGATTCCGCAGATATACTTTGACAGAATTCCAAGATCTAACTCTGGACATTACAATATAAAGTTGTCCATGATTAAATACATCTCTTCTTAGATCAATACCAGTATTTTTAAAAGTTTGACCTTGAGCTTTGTTAATGGTCATTGCAAAAGCTAGTTTTACGGGAAATTGTCTTCTTTTAAATGTAAATGGATAATCGTTTTCAGAATATAAAGTTATACGATTTAAAAAGACAATTTGGTTTGCTCTGTCGCCTGTCAAAATGGTACATTTTATTAAATGGTTTGATAAATCTATTATTTGTAATCTTGTTCCATTGCATAAACCTTCATTTATGCTTATATTTCTAATTAACATTATAATACAATTTTTTCTCAAGCGTAATTCGTGAGGAGGTAAACTTGGTGGATTTAAATGATTTAAATGTTCTGGTAATATCACATCTATTTCACCATTGTTATGAACAACGAAATCAACAGCAGTATATATACGTTCACAGTCATTATTCAATAAATTAGTAATTTGTTTATTAATCTCATCTACGTCAATATTTCTAGCTGATAATATAGCACATTTACTCATTTCTTGGAATTTCTTTTCTTTAATTAATTTTCCAAATATAACGTCTATTATGTCATCATTTGGAGATAATATACACTGTTCAGGAAGAATTACTTTGTAATCTTCATCATTTAATGTACCATTACCAAGATCTAATAAAAATTTGGAAAACTCTACTTCATTTGGTAAAACTCTCATGTTTCTACTTAATGAAAATTTAGTAAAATTTTTCCACACTGTGCTAATATTTAATTATTTGTTTGAATGAAATTTAAACAAATAAGTTTAAATGAAATAAAACATTAATCAAAGACTTAATATTTCATTTCGAGTTCCATGAACTTTAATTGGCTATAATTGTCTTAAATCTCCTCCTACTATAATAACTTTCTCTCCAAATGGTAAATTATTGTTCATGAAATTTTGTAAAGTTTTATTAACAATTTCCAATGCATACCGTGGAGCTATCGAAATTTCGTCCCAAATAAATACTGTAGTTTCTCGTAATTGTTGAGCTTCTTTAGATTGTGCTCTGATATTGGAAGAAGAATCTTGAAACATAGGGACTGGCAACCCAAATGTTTTGTGTACAGTTTTTCCCTGTGGAAGTAATGTTGCTGCAATTCCCGTATATGCCATTGCGCATATTTTGATATTTTTTAAAGTTAGCTTATGATATATAGTTTCATAAACATATGTTTTTCCTGATCCTCCTGGTACATCCATATAAATACATTTTGGACCAACATAATTGATATTATGAACAGCTTCCAAAACCGTATTAACTATTTGTTTTTGTTGTGGATTTAAATTAATATAATGTTGTTGATCTTGGTCTTTAATTTGTTGCAAACATGTAGGATTTGTTGTCAATTGTACGGTATTTAATAAAATATCGTTATATGATTGATTTGGACATGGAAATTCTGTTTCAACAAATTGATTCATTGATGCATAAAATATTTAAATAACAATTACTACTGTAATATAACTAATATTTTGAAAACTGAAAGAAATAAACCTATAATAACTTTATTCTCAATAGTTGAATTTTAAATTATTGTAAAGATTTAACAAAAAGAATAGAGCTGTTACAAACTAAAGTAACTATTTTATAGTGAATATGAGCTCGTAATGCTGTGATTAATTGTTTCTTCTTAGTTATTTTTACTTTCGATTAAAGAATTATTACAAATCCATTGCATAATGCATCAATGTGAATGCTCAGTTTAAACAATCATAATTTGTACAATTTGAAAATTGATGGTTCTGCAAACTGTTCTTTTATTAAGCTTTCGATCACACAAATTTAAATATTATTTTTTAAATAAGGTTTAGTATCGCGTGCAGAAACTGAAATTCACTTTGGTCAATATATGCGATTTACGAAAAACGCAAAACTACAAAATGTAGCAATTATGATTATGATCTAACCATTCAAACGTTCATAGGCTTAATAGGCACGAAGCTTATAGCATACGAGAAGAAAGTAGCGCATTACTTACGCTGCGAAGAAAACGAGTTGCTCCATACATTTTGACAGGCTTATCAGTGTTCTCGTTTCCACGTGATTAAAAACGCAAATTAAAAATCAGAATTCATATAAGAGAGTTTATTGAACTTAGCTGTTTTTGATTATAAAATTCATAAAATATATATATATATATATAAATGCAGATTCATTAGTTATTGGCGATCACAGTTTAACAGTCCTTTTGCCTCCTTCAGTTATAATGATTATCGAGAACTAATTGAACTGATCTTTTTAACCAAACGTAGCTTTCACATTTGAATTTGTATCGTTAAATAGGTTTATTCAATCAGCGCTTCGATAGATCGGTAAGGCAGTTCAGAAAACTTGAGTCACGATTAAAGCATTTCTATCAACCTTTGACAAATCTCTGCAAAAGAAGAATGTTCGATTAGTTGGAAATATTTGAGAGATATATATATTTATATTTACAACTTATGTTACATTTGGTTTTTTTTATTTCTTACATTACTATTTGTATCTCGTGTCCAGTTTGTGTTTGTGTAGTTGATGATGTATGTGTTTTGTGTGTGTATGTATGCATGTGTGTGTATGTTTTGCGTATGTGTGTATGTATGTAGGTGTGTCTGCAACTCTTGTCTCTCTGTCTTCTGCGCCTGTCTGTTCCTCTTTTCTTCCCTTTTTCTGTTGATTAATCTTCTCTTCCTCTCTCTCTCTCTCCAAGATCTACCTTTTCCGCTCTTCTGTTTTTCTTTTTCTTGCATATTTTTTTTTCAACTTTTTCCTTTGTTACTTTCTTTTGCCTTTTCACCTTTGCCTTTCCTTTGCTTTTGTTCTCATTCTTGCTAATCATTTCATCTATCTTTCTCCTTATTAGGGCTTTGACACCTTTTTCTTATTTCCTATTGCTCCCTCTGCCTTTCCTTTCCTCAACCTCACTTATTTTTCCTTAGTATCTTATAATTTGTCTTCTAATTTACCTTTTTCTTTCTCTTCTTCGATTCTTCTTCTTTTCCATTTTGCTCCATCCTCCAATACCTGCTTCCTCTCGCTTGTGTAGTTGCTAGTACTTGTGTTTTGTGTGTGTGCATGTGTATGTTTATGTTTGCGCGTGTGTGCGTGTTTTGTGTGTATGTGTGTATGTGTGTGTATGTAGATGTGTCTGCGAGTCTTGCTTCTCTGTCTTCTGTTTCCGTCTCTCCTTAGGGTCTTGCAGTTTCGTCTTCTTATTTTTCTTTTTCTTTCTTCTCTTCGTTTCATCTTCTTTTCCATTTTATCTCCATCATCCACGCTATCTTTTCTTTGCTTCCTATTATTATTTTTTCTCATTCTTCCCCTTCCTTTCTGCTTTTTTCACATTTTTCTACTATGTGTTTCCAATGTTCTTCCTCTTTCATACACATTCTGCATCTCTTATTTTCTTCTTTTTCCCAATACCTGCTTCCTCTCGTTTCATTACCTAACCTACACCTTCCCCTTATTTGTAGGCCTTTTATTCTTCCCTCTCCTTGAATTTCCTTTAACCTATACCTTTTCATTTCTTCTTTCAGTTCTTTCCACTCGTTTATGCTCTCTTTGCTTGTAGGTATTTGCCTCTGTTTTCTTCCCCTTTTCTTACCTTATTTAACTCTGCCATCACCCTAGCCCTTTTTATCTTACATTCTTTTCTCCACCAGCTTTATTTCGATCCTTTTTTTTTTCTTATCTTCTCTTTTACAACTGCGTTCTTCACTCTATTTTTTATCTCTTTCCATTTTTCTGTTCCCTCTATTGCGTCTATCCATCTCTGATACTCCCTTATACCTTCTTCGCTCCAGTCGTCTATCATTCTTTCTTCCTCTTCTTTTCTTTCTTCCGCTATTTTGTCTCCCAATTCCACCTCTGTTGGTAAATGGTCCGACTTTACCCTCACTTTTATTTGAACCCTTTTTATTGCCTCATCACCTTCCTCGTTACCTACTACATAGTCTATCGTTGACATTCCTCTCGCTCCTATATATGTTATTTCTTCCTCTTCATCTCCTTCTTTTCTCCCATTCGTTATCACTAAGCCCCTTTCTCCTAGCCATTTTATCATTTCTTCTCCCTCTGCATTTAACACTTTATTCTTGGCCTTTATTTCTTCTAGGTTTTCTTCTGTCTCCCATTCTCTCCCTTCATTTCCTGTTCTTGCGTTGAAGTCTCCTCCTATAATTATTGTTTTTTCTCTGTTCTCCTCTATCTCTTCGCTTAGGTATTCATAGTTTTCCTTCTTCTCATGTTGCATATACACCGATGCTATCATGTATTTCCTCCCTCCGATCTTTATTTCTCCTACTATTACCTCACTTGTTCTTTCTTTCTTCCATTCAACCTTACTCATCCCTTTCCTCTCTCTTACCGCCATTATTCCTCCCCCTATTTCTCTCCCCTTCTTCCTTCCCTTCTTGAGTCTCTCCACTCTATGTTGTACCCTTTCAGTTGTTTCTCCACACCAGTACCGGGGATATTTGAGAGATATTTAAAAAACTCACCGAAGTAGCTTGAACGGCCAGACCCAGCAGAGATCTTTTCGGCGGTCGACAAACTTTATTTGATCCTTCTTGGCAACACAAATTTGGCAAACAATCCATAGTCCTATTGCAAGGACGTGCGAATATGTCGATGACAACTGGAGGAGCCGCTTGGCACTGCACAAATCCAGCCAACGATCTGAAAGCTGATAAGCGAAGTGAATTTAATCCGAGTTTAATTGACATTGAAAGAGAAGAAATTTTTCTAACTAACTCTGGTGATTTTCGGGAAAGGACAGGGCGGACCAAACTGGAGCTGCTGTCCTACAGTAAAGTTTGTTGTCTTTTTTGTCGGGACAGCATATTCTACTTCCGCTCTCGCAGTCCTCGTCCTTTGCACACCTTTTCACGGGCAATCTTTCTGGGAACGCGTGCACTGGGCATTTCCTTCGGAAACCCAGCAAGTCTGAAACGAAATTGAAAATTGTGTGCCTCAATTACGATAAGGAAAATTCCGCAAATACGGAAAGGAGCATAAACTCGATCAGCCGAGAGCGATGCATCCAAATGAAGCACGCGAACGAAGGCGTATGGGGAGGTCAGTTGTATAATAACAAGCGCCCGATCGACAGTGCGAATCAGTCGAGCCTCATCGTCGCAGTATGGAAATCGTGAAAGTCCGATTGACAATGTTTGCATAATTGTCGAGCGCGAGATTGTGCAGCGCGCACTCGCCGAGAGAAGTGGAGCGCGGATTTGCATAGAAGCGTACAGAGCGCTCGCTCGCAGATGGCAGCACGGCACGGCTCAGAAAACACTGCCTCGGCAGCTTCTCTTTGCTTCTTTTCGATTTCGACCACCTCGGCAGGGTTGCTGGCCCTTGGCTCGAATCGGACTGTCGAAAAAGAAAAACGAAAAAAAAGAGGGAGTCTGGCGAGAGACCGAGCCGTCACACTGGGATTCACCTTAAGGCCTGCAGCACTCGCGTGTGCCACGATGGAGCGAGTGTTTGATCGATCGCTCTTTCTTTCTCCTTGTTCAGTTGCTTTCTCTCTCCCTCTCTCTTTTCTCTCTCTCTCTCTCTCTCTCTCTCTCTCTCTCTCTCTCTCTCTCTCTCTCTCTCTTCGGGCTTACGAGCTTACGCAATGATTGCCAGGCGCAGCGTATATGCTCGACGTTTTCTTTGACCGTTAGCGAGCTGCCTGCTTTAGAAACCGAGGAGCGAGATCGGCTAGATGGATTATCAACCGGTGATCGCCATCGTTATCGCTCTCGCGGATTACCAAAGTAAAGTTTATCGATCAGTGGAATGGATGCGCAAAAATGATGCGGTGGTATATTTATAACGCGAGTAGTTGTCCATCTGTGTGCACGCAAAAGACGCAGCGCTCGCTCTCGGCGGCGCCAATTTCCCGTCGAAGGAAAGTCGACGGCCGCGCCGCGCACGCTGACATCGATTCGTGCCGCCTTTCCTTTTCTACTTGCGCTCGCGAGGAAGCCGTAGCCGCGCGATTCCGCATGCATGCGCCAGCCAGGCGCGCTTTTCGGGCGCAACTGCAGATATCGATTTGGAAGCTCGAGCAGTCCAGTCCCGTTTAAGGGCGATCAGACCTTGGCGCGCGTGGGGCGTCTTATTTTACAGCTTGGCGCATCGGTTCCTCACCGAGGGCGAGAGAGAAAGGACAACAGATTCAAGACCCACGGTGTCCCGCATTCCGCGCGATCTCGCGGATACGCGTGCACGGCGAGAGCGAGGGAAGTGGGACGCGCTAGTATACCGCGGTGGAAGTGAAAATTCAGCGATGCGCGCCGGCGACGTGCATCGCGTCTTCGCGTAGGCTGCAAAAACACGGCGAAACTCCAATTTTCAATTGGATTCGCGTTGGAAAACTTTCTTCCGCTCGTTCAATTAGCCTTGCCGTGCTTCTCCGGCTGAAGACTGACGTGAACGCGGGCGCTGTTCGCGAAACTCATCGCCGTGCCTTTCCCGTAAACCAAGCGCGCCGTGAAAACTTGGTTGTCGGATACCATAGCGCGACGGAGAGAGGACTTGTTTGAAAGTGAGGACTCTGCGCGTGTATATCCGAGTACAAAAGAGAAAAAGAGAGCAGCGATGAGAAGACGCAATAGACAGCGTATCGCTCGTCTGACGTACCTACGCGAAACACCATAAGAGCTTGTTCTTTTCCCGATGAGTTTACGATGTCGACTTGGCCATATACGTCCCGAAAAGTCAAGCGAATCCCTTCTCGTTTTCATCCCCCCTACCCCTCTCTCTTTCTCTGTCGAAACAGCGGTCCTGGCTCACGCGACTCTCGCGAGCAGCCGAGAAAAGTGAGCGGTGCGAGCAGGGGGCGGCTTTTCCTCTCGACGCGAGAGAACGGCTATGCCGCGTGAAAGCTCGCGAAAGCGGACGCCGCGTTCGATTCTCCCGAGTGATTGGTCACGGATTAATTTACTCGCGAGCGCGATTGCTCTACGGTGTCGTTGACAGCCCTGACGTCGACGCGTATACGGATCGAAAAGTCCGATTGTCCGTGGTATATCGCCGGCGAATTCTAGCAAAGGAAAATCCACACCCCACTGGTTGGCCGATCAAGCGACTATGATCAGGGAAAGAGAAAGAGAGAATGTCGAAGCAGCGATTATCACGGCGTTCCGCTCCGCTTCATTTCGCGTGATCGAAACAAATCGTCACGATACGAAGGGGCGCGACAGCCGATCGCGCAGTGCCGTGTGCTCGCAGACAGACGACGAAGACACGACAAAAGAGTGCCAAGCTAATGCAGAGTCCGGGCAGCGAGAGGAAAGCATACAAAATTTGTATTCGATGAGACTCTATTGTACTGAAACTCAATCCCACTGATGTTGTTTTCACGCTCGCGGACGGTGAAATTTGTTTCACCGATGATCCAGTCTCTGCCCGTTAATTCGCCGTCTTCGGTTGCGTTACATATCCTCTCTTCGCGAGGAAAGACGATGAGTTTCTTTAGATCCGTAACGCCGTGGAATCGTGATTCGACCTAGAAAAGGCGCCGATTGTATCCGCGCGGGCGATTGTTTTAGACGACAGTAGCCGATGGCTATCTAGAAGACGGACCGTCACGAGGGGTGGATGAAAGGGAGCACAAAGCCGAAGGCGACAGGCCTCGCGCACCGACAAGAGAAGAAAGCCACTCGTCGGCGAGAAGCTCGGCAAGCAGCGGGACAAAGCAGTTTTCGGCGGTTGAATCGCGCGCCTCGGCGCCGCGAGGCCCGTGTAACGACGATCGCACGGACGTGCGTGCACGCGCGCGTCCCGGACGGGTGGCGGGGTTGCCATCTGCTTTTACCTCTGTCGCACTCGCGAATCGGTCGGTGCACGCGCGCGCGTGTGTCTCGCTTCGCGTTCGCTCGGTTTCGTACGATCGATATTTTCACGGCACACGGCAGGCTGCCCGCCTGCCTGCCTGCTTGCGCGCGCGTTCCAGGCGCAGCAGCTACGGACAAAGCGTAAGCCAGTCGCGGCGAATTATTTTGCTCCTCGAGCCAGATACAATCCAGTCGGGTCACGCGGGTGAAATGCGACCCGCCGTTTGTTTTTCGTCTGGTCAGCTGCACGACCCTAGCGGGTGTTTTCGCACGAAATGGAAATGCCGCAGTCGAACGTACTCGATTCTGAACGCGCGCAGTCGAGTAAGACCGGTTCTGTTTCTTACTTGGAAGACTGTTTGCGTTTGCGAACGTGCGCTCGGACAGAGATATGGCCATTGATCGAGCTCCAGTTGTTCTCTCCGCGACGGCGAACAAAAACAGCGATCTATAATTCCTGCGATCGATCAACTGCTTATCCGTGTGTGGGGAGGTAGAGAGAGAGAGAGAGAGAGAGAGAGAGCATCTAAGTGCAAACTCGTTCGTATCTCGAGTGGACTGTCTTCGGTGAATCAGTACAGCATACTGGTCACGTTATGAATAAATCCCGAGTTTTAATCGTACATGTCTCATCCGAATATCCGAGGACCAATCGATGCACTAATTCAAAACCAAGATTCCGCTCAGCCAACTTACCAGCGTCCATTGGAGCAGCTCTCAGCGCGAGAACGCTTTCCAAGCCGCCTGCGCGTATATCTCCTAAATGATTGAGTGCCGACTTTATCAGAGGCTTACTTACCTTCGTGCGGAGGTTCATTGAGCGGAGCGTCCACGGCGCGCCTACAGATCTTCTTGCAGCAGCGATGATCGACGCCCAAGAAGTTACAGTCGGCGTTCCTCTCGCAGCTCACGCTCAGTAGCCGGGCCAACGCGTTGGCCGCGTCCAGCGGGCATATCACTACTCTCGATGACGACGACGACGACGACGACGACGACGACGACGACGACGACGACGACGACTCGGTCATTGCGTTGGAGGTTGGTTTTTCTTTCGTCATAGCTGCCGCTACTGGCGATGTCGCCTTGCGCTTTGGGGCCACTGCAATTCGAACATTTCTCCAAAATTACGATCCAAAATTACGAAATGAGCGAAAGGACGATTCGGCGATGATGAAATGAAAAAATGAAAAATTGGCTACCGGAGGATCAGTCGCCGGAAAAAAAAGAAAAAAATAGGAAAGAGTCGAACTAAACGTCGATAACTCGCAGCCTTGACAAATTCACCCCCTCCCCCCCCCCCCTCCCCTCGTCCAACTCCCTCTCGGGTAACAGAACTAGCTTGACGTTTAAGGTTTTTAGTCGAGGCAACAGTGTGGTGTTTTAATGAAAGCTATGCGAAGAACGAGCAAACGAGGCGGGAGGCGCGACTTGCTCCTCGCGAAGGTAATCGACTGCATGAAATCCGAGTGTACGTTCGAGCGTGAAGTACACGCGAACGCACGCTGCGTCCGCGCGTTCTTGTGACACACCGGACCCAAGAGTATTCCACGCCGAACAATCTCGGAAAGATGCTGATCGCTTCGACGTAACGATCGGTGCGTGAACAACACGTTCTGCACCGTGATATACTCTTTTTCCATTCGACGAGAGAAAATCCGAGTGAGCGTAAGAGAGGTGAAATATTTTTAGAAAGAGTGGGGGGGGGGGGAGCTTTGTCCAAGGGCGCGATCTGATCATCCGCCTAAACGGCGAATAGTCTCGATCTAATGAGAGCTGCGTGCGCGTTAATTGCAAGAGCTTCGCCGGGGCTAATCTACGTGGCACGAGGGTGCATAATTGACGCAATTTATCGGAGAGAGAGAGAGCTCTATTTTGCGCACGCGCAACCGAAATCGAGTTTCATCTGCGATTTTCGGCCTGAGTGCGCAAATAAAGCGATCGAATACATTAGCGCGCCTTTAGCCGTGTGTCCTCGCCACTCGGACCATTGGGAAATTCGACTCGCCATAATCTACGCAGGCAGAGCAAATGGTTCGGCGAGCCGCGCACGCACGCACACACAGACGGCCGGCCTCTGTGTACGCAATATATTAATTTGCATTATCTCGGAGCTAAATTATCTTGAGCGCGCCACGCCTACGCGGTTAAGAGCGCCTTCGCTTTTTCGTATACGCGTAACGGCACTTGCTCTCCGCCGAAACAAGAGTTCGACCAAGAGTTTTCCGCAGCAGAGCTTACGGCGGCCCAGCGATAACTCGGGCCTCTCGTTGTTTGCCCACCAGGGCTTTCATTTTTTCCGAGTAAAGTGGGTGCGCGCGGACTGGATCGATTTTTTCGCGGCGGTGGAAAAATGACTCGCGCGGCCTACATCGCGCGAGTGACATACGCGCGCGGTGCGCGGAAGGCCAGCCCTTGACTCACAATCCGTGTGCTCCGTCGCTCGGCGATACGTGCGCACAGGCGGCAGTCGGACCTGCCCCGTTGCGCGGCTCGGGCTTTCGTCGGTCTCCGTGGTCGCGCGAGCAACCGGAGGCGCGTACGCGGCCGCGCACAATTCCGCCAGTTATTTTTCGGACTCGACGCCTGCCGCGATTCAAATCGCGAAGCGAGTCGCATCGACTGGTCGCTCCCGGGGGAATTAGGCTCGCGTGCAGCACAGAGGAGGCCTGCACAGCTCTCTCGATAAAGTCGTTTGGCAGAGCGCACACAAGCACTTGATCGAACGTCATCGCGACCGTAAAGAAGCTTGTGCGCGTGCAGGATGATAGGCGCGTTGAAAGTCGCGAAAAAATTAGCGGCGAGTATCCGCGGGGGAAACGCGCGCGCAGTGCAACGCAAACGGGCTGACCTACTGAGAGTGTGTGAGAAAGGCTCGCGCGGAGATCACGAAAGTGGCAACAACACTCTCCCGCGTTGTTGTCTCCCCCCGCGGCGCTTATTTATAGCACGCGACGTCGCTCGCGGCGCGCGGTCTATCTACCTTTCTCTCTCTCTCTCTCTCTCTCTCTCTCTCTCTCTCTCTCTCTCTCTCTCTCTCTCTCTCTCTCTCTCTCTCTCTCTGCCTAATCAGCCTAAAATATGCAATTAAGCCAGCGCCGATTATTTATCCGACCTGGATTCTTCGCGGCGAAACTGCGCTATCGCTTTATTGATCGGCGTGGTCTTGTTCATTAACTGACGGAGCGGCGTTCCGAACTCTGGTTGTTTGTCGCCTGGCGCAGGATGCCAACTAGAGGGCAGCCCACTGCTCGCGGTGGATCGTCGCCAAAGTTGCGAGCCGTCGGGCGCGGCCGCCGTCGTCGTCGAGAACGCACTCTCGAGATGAGCGGAACCGCCCGGCAGATGTCGGAGCGCACTGCATTTCATCGACCTCTCGTCCGCGTACGCAACGCGTGCAGTCAGTCTCGACGATCTTCCCGCACGGCAAATATGTCTGTTTCCGTCAGCCGTCGCTGCTGCAATGCGTAATTATCTTTCTCTGTCTCTCTCTCACTCTCTGCGGCTGGCTGCACGCGGCTGACGTCACGCGTGCGTAGTGCGCCTGCGCCCGTGCACACGTACACCATTACCACACGAATGCAGCCACGAAAATACATCGAGCTTCGTCATCGGCGTCACTGCGGATGTAATAACGAGCCTTTCAATTATGTACATCGAGCCTCGTCGTCTTCTCTCGGCGCGTACGACTATTTATGCAACAACTCCGACTGGGATATACGTACAAGCGCGCGCGGGCGCCTGTGTTGTCGTTGCCGCGTCGCCGCTTGCTACTACTTCTGCTCGCGGCTAAAATAGCCCTGCCTCTTTTATTTTTAGACTGAGCGCGCCGGAACGGCTGTTCGCCCTATCAATCCGATGGGGATGCGTATCGAGCGAGGCGGAAAATCGACCGACCGCGCGGCCTTCGCTGTGCCACGGCTAATTTTTCGATCCCCGGGTTGGCGCGATCGCGTCGGTGTATTACACTTGACGACACACAGGTGGAAAGCCGCGCTTTTTCGGACAACGGTCCGAGCCAACTTTGTTGCGCGCCGGCAGGCCTTTGAAGGACTATCGATTATTCGCGAACGAGCGCGCGCAACGGGGAGATGTTTTCATTCCATTTATTTATTATTTTTCTTCGGCTTTACCGTAATGACTTGACGCAAGACGCGCAGCGGCCTCCAAACGATCCGTAACGCTTATTTTCTCGTCGTTTCGAGCAGTCCAACGAACGCCTGGTGCACTACATTATTCCGAGAGTATCGAGTCCCCTCGGTTTCGCCGTGGCAAATGCGTTTCACCGTCCCGACAGCTCTCATTCATAATGAAACAGCTCTCGAGCGCAAATATTATTCCTGAAAATGTATGCAGCGAAGTCTAAGCAAGCGTGTCGCGTAGCGCGCACGCAAACATCAGCTGATAATCGCTCTTGCTCTCTCGCGAAAGCACGTAGGCTGCCAAGATAAAGAGTCCCGTAGCGCGACTGCACTCGCCGCGAGAACGCACGAACAATCGTATCGCTCGCATTGAGGTGTTCGTTCATAAAGAGAAAGGAGAGCCGCCCATGAGCGAGAGGGTTATGTCCGTCGCGCGCTTATCTGCGCGCACCGCACTTGGACAGTTTTACGAGCTGGAGCTGCGTGTCAATTCGCCAAAGGCGATTGCGCAAGCCACGGGATTATCTGCATCGACAGTTCGCAGCAACGGAGCGCTCGATGCACTGCAGCTGCGGCCCGCGAGAGAGCGGGAGAGGACAGAGCGAACGTATTCATGAGCCAGATTCAAACCACGGCGAGGTCGTATCGATCTGCTCTTCGTTACGTATACACAGCGAGTTTTATGAATGGATGTCGCGCGCACTCGCTCGCATTTGGTTTATATCCTTTTCAATATCGGCGATGCAAGTTCGCCTGTTCTTTTGCTTCTTCCTTCTTCACTGCTGTTGCTGCGCTAGTTTCGCGCGAATTGCGTACGAACGGGACAGAGCGACTCTGCGTTGTCGTAGTCAAGCTAAAATTAGCATGTAAATGCACCGCGGAAATTTTTCTATTTATACAGCCATTGGGTGTCAAGTGGAGTTTGAAGATAAACGAAAGAAGGCAAGGGGAATAAATGAATAGTAATAGCGAAGATTCGATCGCGGGTGTGTGCTACTGGAGAAGCCAGCAATCGTCGTTTTCGTTTGCATTTGTCCCTCGGCGCTCGCATCGGTGCTGCGCCCCTCGGCCGCTTGCAAAACGGTGCGCGTATTCCGTAATGCCATTAATAAACTGTTGCGCAACGCGGCGAGTGTCCGCGCGCGAGCGCGAGTGCAACTGCCACGGGCACGCGAGCGAGAGAGCACGTCGACCTCGGTCGACGCGTCGCCGCGCGTCCTCACCTTCGTTGGAGCTGGCGTCCTGGGCGCGAGACGCGGCGGCGGCGGCGGCGGCGGCGGCGGCGGCGGCTGCGGCGACGACGACGAGGCAGGCGGCGAGGGCCGCGCGCCAGCCGAGCGTCCTCATGGCGACGCGTCGCGCTGCCGCAGCTCACTTCGGCGACTGCACTGGGGCTCGAGCGCGCGGCATCGTCGCCGCGGCGGGACCGCCTCTCGCGCACAACGCTCTCGAGCAACAGCACCACCGCGACTGAGCGCAGTCCGCGGCAAGGGCGTCGCAGGAGGCCGGCCCGCGTCCTGCCGCTCGCGGAGAAGGAGAAAGGCCGACTGGTCCTGCAGCGCGCCGCGGATCCGCGGCTATATACGCGGCAAACTGGGCCGTCGTCGCCGTCGTCCCGCGCTTGAATAATCGATTGCGTCGCCTTCGCGCGTTTCCCTGCTCGGACGCGCGCTCGCTCGGCTGTCGAGTCCGCGCGCGGCCGATCTGTCCGAATTCGAGCGCCGCCACCGCCGGCCCGCTGCACTCTCGCGCGAAGCTCAATTGGGTCGGCGCCGCCCGATCGTCGTCGCTCCTACACTCGGCGGAGGGCATTTTAAATCGCGGCGCGCGGCGCGGACAATGGAGCAACGGCGCTCGTCTCGTTAGCGGCGCTCTCGCGTGCCCATTGTTCGCGGCTCGCGGGTCGCGGGGCGCAGTTTTGTCGCGATCGCGTGGGGCGGGGAAGGGGGGCGCATTGCCGCACACGGCGAGCGCAGCGTGGTTTCAGAAACTGCGAAAATTTCGTTAGACAACGACGACTGCAAAGTCGAGCCGCGGGAAAGTCGAGAGAGCTAATTACGTGTGGAGCAATTACACGAACCATTGATTTGTTCTCTCTCTTTCGCTGGGTTGTGGCATCGAGCGTCGTTGCGGACTGCGCGACGATTGCGAAAGACACGCGCACGCGTTTCTACATTTTTCATCGCGCACAGTCTGCCCCCGCTTTTTTTTTTCTTTGCGAAACATCATTGGCAAGCGCGTGCTGTCATCCGGTGAATCGATTAACGCGGAATGAGAGAAGTACGTGGAAAACGCGCTCGATTGAATTTGCCAGCCCGTCGCCTCGAGTATAGGACGAACGTTCCTGTATTTTTAACGAGAAAAGCAAAATGCTCCGATTACCTCCGCCTCTCTTTGTTCTACAAAGCGCGCACGAAGCAGGAAGATGGGCCACGATTAGCCGACGAACGTGTACAGCTAAGGAGTGACACCCGTACGCGTGGCCCGTATTGATTTGACGCGCTGCAGTGCGCGCGCTAGGGGCCGAGCGGCTAAATCGATCAAAGGCTTTTTTGATCCGCGCGGCGCTGCCTCCGGGCATTGTCGTCGCCTTGGCATTGTCGCGCGCGGGCCGATCCGCGAAAGCTCAGAAAAGACAAGCGACGCGCTGTCGCTCGTATTGATTGCGGCGCTGCGGCCGCGCGCATTTGCATCCGAGGGCTGGGCCGACGCGCACTCGGCCCCGTTCAATTACATACCCCAGCGTGGCAGCCAAGTGCTCGTCCAAATCTCATTACTCGGGGAAAGTAAGTATTTGGCAAGTTCGGCCGGTTGCCGAAGGTATCGCGCTCCGGCGCTGCGAGGCGCAAAACTTCCGCAAAAGTTCCCGGCGCTATTTTTAGCTGACAGTGGCCGTTTGGACCTCTTACGGGATCGACCTTTATTAGCCAGCCAAAACAACCGACTACGAGCGTCGCGGCGAGATTAGACCGTCGGAGCTAAACTTTGACCGTTCAACTAACAACTCTGTGCTATTTCTGTCTTTTCGGAGGTATTCCGCCTTCGCAGTTCTCCCGTCGGCGAATCAGCATGCATGCTAATTAACGATGATAAAAAGAGAACCTGCCTTTTTCTCGCGTTCAACGCCGACTGTAAATAGCGCGCCTCGCTAGTTGAGGGCCTACGTTGGATTTAGTCGGAGGCGCAGTTGAACTGGTGGAAACGTCGTCTATTTACGGGAATGCCCGAGTCACTGCAGGTGGTTATATGCTTCAAAAACTTGCCGATGCATGAATTTTTAATTCATGCTCCCTGTTTTGCTCGCTGATTTATTATTCATCGAACGCGAAACTTGCTGCTATACCTATAAACACTTTGACAACTCTATTTATCTCTCTCTCTCTCTCTCTATCTCCAGCACGCTAAGTCATCAATATTATACAATAGTTGAAGTATATATGGACGCCGTTAAAAATATACAAAAGACAATGAAGTCATCTTGCCTGCAATCTTACGTACAATAGATCTGTCAAAGAAACAAGAACAAATTTTTTTTCAATTTCTCAATACCCAGTGCAGCAGCCGAAAAATCGCAGTCATAAGCTTTGCGAAATCTCGAGGGAAAATGACGTGGTCGTAATCCCCGCGACGTTCGCCGTAATCATCATGCAAAAAATTGTAATCGGTCTGCAATCAAGCGCACACCGTCCGACGAAGCGTCACGCGCCGCGTCGTGTCTCATCGTCTTCCAAATAAGACCCAACGCGAGCGCCAAACGTCAAATTCATCCGTGATTCATTCGTGAATAAAACAATGGCAAAAAAAAGTGCTCGCGTACGGTATTGTCGCGATCGTCCAAGAGGTAATCACGCCAAGTCCCAGTGAGGCTTTCCGCGGAACAAACAAACGAGAAAATAAAGTGCCGCATTAAACGGTACTACAACCGCGGAGGCAGTATCGCATCGAAACGTAGCCGGGATGCAGTGGAGTAGTACTTTAATGCGATCATCCGGTCGACTTGCGGCAGTAGCAGCACAACACTGAATATAATAACGCGAGTCGCAATAGTGACTCGACCGAGAGCAGAACACTCCTCGTGGCTTTGTGCGCGAACGCGTCTATATGTACGTAGCCTGGCGAATCGACTGTTAACGCTTAGCCGAATGTCAATGACGAACGCGCTCGCAAATGGTCGCGCGCAATTAGTGGTATATAGCGCGGAATAGCGGTCCACGCTGAAAACTCAATTAGCGATTGAAGACGGCTGGGAGCTTGTTTGTATAGTTCGACGAAACGAGAATCATAAAAAAAGTACGGCGGTCGCGGCGCAGAGGCTTTTATTACCGCGAAAAGGCCGATTCGCGTCTGAATGCAAGACCTACCGTGCTGGTACGAGCGCGAGCTACAATTAAACTGCGCGGCTCTGAACTACGTGTGTTAACATGTATATACACGCCGTCCGGTTGCTTGAATCTGCACTCTCTCTCTCTCTCTCTCTCTCTCTCTCTCTCTCTCTCTCTCTCTCTCTCTCTATCTCTCTCTTTCTCTTGCCCGGTTGTTTTTCTGCTCGACTGTAGCTGTAATTTTTTCTAGTTTTTTACTGGATACAGAATCATGAGGTTATTTATACGCGTGGTCGCAAGATATTGGTCAGTCAGGCTACGCTGCTGTCAAAAAAAGCAGCAATGTAGACCTTTCACCTCGCTTCTGCAATTTTGCCCCCCCCCCCCCCCCGGGCAAGTAGAAAGTATTACAAAATTAACGAGCCTCTGCGTTCGACGAACTTTGCATGCGATGGAGGAATTTTCCTTTCAATTTGTTCAAAGATAAATCATCGCCGCGGATGGAACAAAAAGGTTACATAGGATGGCGTTGTAATTCGAGCGAGAAGCAATGCAGTAGCATTTTTCGAGGAACATCAAACCCTCGTCAAATCAGCACTAGATAGGGGGAAAAAAGCTCTCTCTCTCTCTCTCTCTCTCTCTCGAGTACTCTCAAACACGAACGTGAACGAACGAATGAGGTTCGATATACACGTACATACGCACACATAGCCACGGCAAAATCGTGACGCTTTGAGGGCTATTTAGACAGGGTTCCTTTTTAGACACGGCAAAGAGCCGTAGCTTTTTTCCCGCGGCGAGTTGCCTTGTCAACCTTACCGCTGAAATAGCTGATTTGTTCGTTCCGTTTCTGAAAAGTAAATTAATGCCGCAGCCGCGGTATGTTTACGAAAAGGAAGCCCTAATGAATTCCAGTCGTGTACCTGAATGACAACACGCACTGTGCTGCTCTTCAGGATAAATTTGAAACCGAATATACAAGAGTCATAGCGAGGCTAAATCAGATGTGATGCGAGGTCGTACGAGGATCATTAGCGAATTCAATGTGTACGTGTGCGCGCGCGGAAACTTGCTCCCTTTTTCCGCGAACGAACCGTCGGCACGGGGATCTACACTTTAGCACACTCGGGATTCATTGTCAGTTGTCATCGGAGAAAGGGAGAAAGAGAGAAAGATAGCGTGTGAGTTAATCGAGATAGTATCATGTTTATAGTACTGACCATTGGCCAAATCTTTTTCCTGCTGGTATACTTGCTCTACATATTCTGCGACGCCTTTCTCAAGTTTTTCCGTGAGTATTATCATTGTACTACAGCTTACATCCAATTATTCACGAAAAATTGCGCGTATGCATGTATGTATTCGCTGCCGTGCACAGCGGTATAATACCGTAAGACTCTGTATAACTACAGCAAAAGCTGTGGGAGAGAGAAAGAGCGCTTTATATTTATGAGATGTGCACTCGTAAATATCCCGTCATCCTACAGCGAGAGAGAGAGAGAGAGAGAGAGAGTAAAGAGTAAAGAGCGTAGGCCTCCAAACGAATTCGCTCGTTAATGAAATGCTATTTGCACAAGAGAGCGTGCGATAGGTCAAGGACTCTCTCTCTTTCTCTCTTTCTCTCTCTCTCTCTAGATATAATTTTCGATCATTTCACCATGGTCATCAGCAAATTCGTTCTCTTAGCGCTTGGGGCAATATGTTTTTGCTCGCAGGCCCTTGTGTGTCTGTGTTATTCGCTGACAAAACCTGTTTCCTGTGTGTGCGAGTGCCGTACGTACAATCGTTCTCGCGGTACAACACGGGAGGGTATATTGACTACATACACACACACATACATACATACACACGCACACAGAGGGCCCAGCTGTTTTTCTCGCGCGCCTAAGTTCTCTATACATAACGTTCACTACTTCTGTTGTCTCCGCTATGCGCTTCCTATTTTATTCACAAGACAGGTAAGTAGGAGGAACGATCGAGAAGAGTCGTTCGTTCTTACTCACGCGCTAGAGCATGCAGTGCCGAAAACAAAGACGTATAAACACAACGGGAATCGCGGGGGGGGGGGGGGGGGGGGGGGGGGGGGAATCACTTCCCATCTGCGATGCGCGCTCTTTGCAACAGCTTAACATGCATCCATTCATAAATGTCAATGTTGAGGCGGGAGAGATAAGCTTTGCAGGCGCATAAAACGCCAAAGGGACAGCAGCAATGGCACAAAAGACTGTAAAAAAAGGGAGGCAGAGTTTGAATATGTGATCACTTGGCGTATTGAACATTTTCTCTTGGCTGTTAATGAATAACCGTATGCTGGCTGGCCGTCATGCACGCTCGCACGATATTAGAGTTATATTATTCGGTCGCGAATTCTCTCTCTCTCTTCTCTTGCGGCATTGTGTATATATACACACGACGCAACACTCGTAATCGTCGACGCGCACACGTACACGAGGAGACCTCTCGGCAGAAGGAGAGAGAAAGAACGAACAAGAGCGAAACAGAGCACGCTTTTAAGAAGCTCTCTCCACCGAGCTTGTTACTAAAAAACTCGAGGTCGCCTTATTTAGAGAATACGAATTTGCTTGGTCGAGGATTCGATAAATCTTGCTCTGAATCATTGGAAACTATAGAGATTAGAAAAAAGAAACAAAGCACGTTACGTTGAGTCGACGTGGGGCATCGATAAGGCGATTGAATAGTGGAAAAGCTTCATAATCAACGATTCTGTCTTCTTCTGGCACACGTGCTTAGTATAGAGAAGCAGACAGTGGCGCTCGGAATCACTGGGCGAAATCAAACATGGCGATGGTGGCGCAGCTCTCGAGCTCGGCGCTCGACGGCGGCGGCATATGGCTACATGGACGTAGCCGGCGCTGCACCTCGGGCTCAGCACTCAGTAGACTTTCACGCTCGTAGCGAGCAACAGCGGTCTCTGGGCTGCGCCGAGTGAGACTCGAGTAGAGTAAGACGGAAAGAGAGCGAGAGTGAGAAAGAACGAAGCATTGCGCGTGCGCGACAAGCAGCGAGTCACGACACACGTATACGTACGCACACACAGATAGCAGAGAAAGAGAGCGAAGTATGAGTGTGGTGAGCGCGGTGCAGCCAAATGTGGCGGCGCTGCAGAACATGGAAGCGGAGGAGGAGGAACGAGTCGACATAACCGAAGAGGAGCTCGTCGAAGATGATCCTAAAGCCAGACAAGAAGAAGTTATGCTTTTGGATCCTGTGGTCAGTGAGGCGACTGTCAAAAATGCAATCAAGCCTGAAGTGCAGGTAACATTCGATAACGAGGAGGTCGACGCACAGCTCAGGGCGATGGCAGTCTCAGCGGAGACCGGCACCGCAAATGTCAAGACCTCAGCAGCGTGCGCGCACCAGCAGCAGCAGCAGCCGCCCTCCGCTGCTACCTCGACCGGCACGCGATCTGCCGGCGAAAGCCACGACGACCTCAACAGCAGCATAGACGTGAGTACGAATAGAGAGCTGCCGAGAGAAAGATTGATGATGCCTTTTTTTCCGGCGCTCATGTCAATCGATGCTTTTTTGTTTTGCTACCCTCGATACGACTAATATGCATATTTTTTTTATGATTGTTTCTCTTTTCGAGTGGCAAATGAGTTTTTTTTTGCTTTCGCGGCGTTGAGTGATTTATTTCCGTAAATCGCTGTCGTGCCATCGATTGGTAAAGTGCCAATTCGATGCGCGCTTTTCAGAGTTAACGTGTCCGCGAGCGCTGCTCGATTTCAAAGTATACAGTTCCAAAACACCACGACTACGGCTTGTTACGCGGAAGATTGATTGTCTTCTTGATGGCCTCCGATTACATTGTCATTTCTTTGTTGGATTACTTAGGCGATCGCGTGTGTTTAAAAAAAGGCGATCTTATCGAAGTAAATAACTGCGCTGTTCGCATGCTGTTAATTGATCAATTTGTTTCAAATGCTTCGATTATTCATTTGCGAATCATTTGTGAAATGCGAATCGGACCTGAAAACTTGATTTGCTCGCTTTGTTTATTTCATCGTTTATAGATGTGCAGCACGTTTTAAGCGCAAGAGAGGGGAGAACAAAGATTGCTCCAAGATATATCAAAACAAGCCGCATGGTATCGTTACGTAGCTCTTGCTTATTCTGTTTTTTTTATCGCCCGTGCATCGTGTGCTGTGACATGTTTTATTTTCACGGTCTTCTTTACGAGGACAATCAAATCCGAATGAACATTTTATTTTAAATACTTTAACACCATTAGAACAAAACGCACCGTCATTTTGAGAAACACCCTACTCCACGAATAAAGCACCAAACGTATCGTTATCGCGTTTGCATTCGGTCGAATTAACTGGTAATCGACAGTATGCTAATTGAGTAGGACATTTCGCAATGACCCACATATATTTTGTTATAAACGATAAGGTGGCCTTGGGTCCGTTGTTTGAATTGTGTTCTCGCGCTTCCAAAAAACCAAATAGTAGATGACCTTCATCCTGGGTCTGTTTATGTTTGCAGCGTTTGAAGCCGTTCGTGAGGACGTGCAGCAAGTTCGAGAGCGGGAGTGGGAGTGGCGACCAAGAAGGCATGGTGACTACCGAAGACGGCAACGACGTCGCCGCAAAAAAGCGGAAAACGCGACGCGGCAAGCCGAAGCATCGGAAGCTCAAGCCCTACTCGAAGCAGCAGCCTTCTTACCAACAACGTCTACGGAGTCGAGCGATCGGTCGACCGACCAAGATCAGTCGCCAGCCTACGGCTCCGTATAACACCACGCAATTCCTCATGGAGGACCACAACGACCTGCCGGACCTCGACGAGAAGATCGCCGGCGCGGCCACGGGCGCGTCTGCCGCCGCCGCCGCCACCGTGGCCAGCATAACCGCGGAGGTGCACTCGCACTTTTCCAAGCCGGTCGCACCGCCTCGCACCCGTGACTCCAGCTTCAGCATCGACTCCGACGAGGACTACTTTTACTCGTCGCCCGAGGACGAAGAGGAATTTTTGCAGAAAGAATTCTCCAGCGCCTACGAGGACCTACACGCCGAGCGGTTGGGTGCTCTCAGCAAGGCGCAGCTCATCCAGGAGTACATCCAGCTGGAGGCGCGCGTGGACATGCTAACCAAGCGGCTGCGCAACAAGCAGAGCCAACAGGAGAAGCAACTGCTGCAGGCCGAGACGGTGGAGGTCGAGTCTCGCGACCCAGAGGCGACCAAGGCCAAGCTGTGCCAGCAACGCATCGACGAGCTGCTGCAGGAGAACGAGCAGCTGCGCCGCGAGGTCGAGCTGTTGCGCAAGCAGCGTCACGGCAGCCCCATGTCCAGCGTCGACAGCGAGAGCGACAGCGACAGCTCGTGCAGCGCGGCGGGCAGCTCGTGCAGTTGTAATCAGCACAAGGCCTCGCCGGGCTCTTCGCCTGTGCCGACCTCCTACCAGGCGCACCGCGACAAGCCCACCGGCGGCCGCGCGCGCAACAGCTCCGTCTCCAGCGTAGACAGCGAGAGCGACAGCACCACGGGGGACAGTTCCACCGGCGCCACCAGTCCCAAGCCCGTCGCGACTTCCGACGTCGCCAACGGCCACGCGGCCCACCACCAGATGGGCGGTCTGCCCACCTAAGGCGCCGCGCTCCCGCCAACCGCGACCTTTGCTCTGCCCAGCGCTTCGCCCAACAAGGCCGGCGCATCTCGGTCCCGCAACTCGTCCGTCGCTCGCTCTGCTTTACGCTCTTGCGATGACGATATCGGCACGTTGGCCCGGACCTCTCAGGCATAGCGCGGCAGAGCCGTCTCGGGCACATCGTGAGCCCTCGTCACGTTGCGATTCTGACGATGATGATCGGCAGATAACAATCTTTGATGATTGATCGATCGAGGAGATATCCCTATCGTGCTTCAACTTTAGGGCGCGTGGAAAACGAGCGTTTCTTTTTTCCTGCTTTCCAGCACCGGACGTATAACTTTCGAGAAAGCTCTTCGTGATATTTTTTACAAAATTTATTTGAAACGAAAAAAAAGCATTGAAAAAATTATAATATTCTTTCAAAATTTCATTTCGCGAAAAAAAAAATTGTTAAGTATTTATTTTTTGTTTTACAAATAAAAACTTATTTATCAAACCGGATGTACTTGTGTTTGATGTATTGCTTGGTACCGGTAGACGATCGAGTTTCGCATTCCTTCGATATTAAAAAATGTTAAGGATATATAAAACAAAATAAGAGTTATCTCCGATTTTAAAAATGCCCTCCGTTGTCTTTTACTTCTGCCTCTCACCCGCCCCGCTAAGACTGTCATTGTACATAAGAACTGTGTATGTGTGTGTAGGTATAAACGACGATGTAGCTTCACACGAAAATACCTATGCGCATCGACGTTGCGGAGCAGTAGGTCGATTTTTAAACAAGCGATATTCGTATCTACTACTGAAGCTTTACATACACGCACATATACAAATATGCATGTAATACCGTTGCGTCTTCGCCTAGTCTGACGAAGTCAGCCAGCTCTTGCGTTCAGCTTTTGCGAACTTTTATTGTGATTTATCACAACGACATTGTGTCACTTGTACACAGCTCATTTGTAGCTGACTCGCTTTGTTTTTACGCGTACTGCCATTTCTTCTTGAATGATGAACTGTACATTGCGTTTTTACATCGTCAGAGACCAACATACAAAGCTTTACATTTTTAGTACATCAATAATTTGTTTTTTAAATACAAGTACCGAAATGACAAAATGCCTTTTTTTAAAACATTCTAAATTCTTGATAAATTTTATTGGACTTTTTCTACGAAAGTAGTGATCAAATGAGCACGTTTGGAAATACATTTTGTGTACTAAAAATAAAAGTGAATCAATTCGGTGTTCCAAATGCACTATTGAAAATCTTATATTCAATTGAAAAAAAAATTTAGATACCATTTGCACAATACAAATAAATGCGGAGGCTTGCAGACCATCAACTAACGCAAGTATATACGGGTCCAGTGAAAAATAATAAAGAAATAAATGAAATAGCGTTTATTGGACGCAACGAATATTACATTAAGTAAAGAAAAGTAAAGTATTATTGTCGCGATAAAAAAATGTGATGATTTAATACAATATAACGCTTAAAAAGACTCATTGTACAATTGTATAGACTAGAATAAGACTATATAGGGTTAGTTTATGGTCTGAATGATAGAAACGGGGAGCGCCTTATATATATGTATGTATGTTTATGTGTGTGTCTAATGTGTATATATATATATGTATGTATGTATGTATGTATATATGTATATATACACGCACACGCACACACCCTTTACTTTCGATATAACGTAACTTCAATGAAGCCAAAGGATGTTCTCTATTTGTATGTTTTCCGTTAAGCTCCATTGAAAAAAAAACTAAACTCCCACCTTCTTTGTCTCTTGTAAACCGAATAATAGACCGTTCTTAAATGGATAATGTCATCGCATCGGGTCGTCGCACGATTAACAAATTTGCTGTTTAGCCTAGACCTACTCTGTAATACAATGCATAACGTGGCAAAGTCAATGCAAGTTTACGCTTTACTCGTTCAATGAATCTCGTCATTAGCATTTTTTTATATATGTGTTATTTAACTTTTTTTGTATGTACACCTTCGATGAACGACTTTTGCAGAAATATAGCTGCTCTTTACGCAGCCTTATACATTGTAAGGAAATTCGTAAAATGTTTTTCACGTTGATGAAACGACAAAGTACGAGGAAAGTGAGACTAGTTGCGTAAGCCTGTATAGACTTTAAGACATCGAATAAAAATTTTTTTTTGCAATCAAAAGAATTGTAGTAGCAACGCTTACAATGTACTGAGGAATTCAAGCGAGTCTTCCTCCAGTGATTTTTCGAGCACATTATTTGCCATTAATTATGTACGTTATGTATTATAATTTTTTAAAAGAATTAATGAATGAAAAAAATCATAAGTTATTAAATTCTTATTTTATTGTTGATTTTTAAAATTTTTTTACAAAAACTAATAACACGAGAAAGTCGTTAAAAAAAAGCAAAGAATAAAAGATGAACCGAATGATTATTAAACCTAATTCTCCTAGTACATGTTCGATGATCTTTACGATGTCGGACTTGCTCGCTGTGATAAACATGTGTGCTTATAATTATTATGAAACTGAAGACGTTCAATAAAATAACGTTTATTGACTATAAGATAACAAGAGTGTCAATATAATTGATTTCCTGTTCACGTTTCCTACCAACAGCAGTATATCAAAACGATGTCGGAAAGTTAAATTTCATCCTTATCGAGCTTTGACCTACTTATTCAATTTATACATTTGTTATTAACTACTATTATCAGTGGAGTAGCTTGAATATTTGTAATTCAGAATCCACATAACTCTTGACTAAACTTTCAAAATAATTTCATAAAAGATTAGATTGCAAATTTTTGTAAATATACTTTGATAAAATAATGCATTTTTGCATCGATTTCTTAAAGAAGAAATTCAATCGAAAATAAGGTAGTTTGCAATTACTATTACCGATTCCTTCAAAGATGTATTTATTATGTTAATGGATACAATATTGAATATTGTTATTTTTATTTTGTCATTTTAAATGTTATCTGAATTTGTTTAATGGTTATTGAATTAGAATTTAATTGCTACAATTTGAATCGTGACACGTGTCACTCTCGCATAGTAGAATCAGCGCTATCACCGCCTAAATTGTCCAACGAAAATCGAACAAGCAAGGTGTGACCAGTGACAACAAATTGGACAAATATAAAATTAAGAGAGGGCGCCAGTGTTCGGGCAGTGAACTTGCACGCCGCCTGGCAGTCGCAACTATTGAAAATGGCAGACTACGTGATCGAGAGACAACAAATCCGGCATTGAGCCTTGTGCACAGGTGCACCTTGAACCTTTGTATTAATAGTAAAAACTGAAGTATTTATAGTGTTAATTTATTTAAGAATCCATGACACGTATAGTACGTACGAGCTCCTTGAATTCGCAATCATGAAGGAAGTCTGGGGTGCAGACAAACTCGAAGCCGAACTCGAAGCCGCCAAAGATGACTTACGTGGGCTTGAAAAAAATATTCGTAAAATCCTTGGTAGGGATGTTCCCGAGGGTGAAAATGGCACTGCTGCCATAGCTGTTAGGTTCGTCATATTTATTATTCAATAGTATGTCTTCTAAGTCATAGTTTTCTAGTTATTTCAAAATCAAACCTAACCTTACCATTTTAGTATCAATAATTACTGATAAACTCTTATTGCACGATTGCAATTATTTTAACATATTTTGACAGTAGTTTAATTGTTTATTTCTTATTAATTTACAATACATGAGCAAAAATTATACGCTGTAACCTATGAATTCACATTATTTTGTAACAAGTCAAGTTGATAGGAAGTATAAAGTATAGGGATCTTACTAGATGAATTGTTTGCAGAGCACCACAGAAAAGGCCTTTACAAGAAGATAGAAGGAGAGTGAATGCAGAGTTTCCAAATAATAATGAATTTGGAGCAAAAAGGAGATGGCAAAGTAGCAATAATGCAGAACCAAAAACTGTATTTAGTCGATTAAGTGCTCGAGTTCCATCAACTGCTGATGATAGTGCTGATGAAGATGATAGCCAATTTAAGGTAAGCATGAAATAATAATTATAATCCATGTATTAGGTTAAAATTGCTTAAATAAAAAAAAAAGTAAGCATGAAATAATCTTTTGTTTTCTCTTCTGAATGCACACTGATTAATTGTTTTGTGTTTTATAGCCTGCTGTATCTTCCAGAGTTATAGCAACACCCCGAGAAATACCTTCTAGACAAGAAGTTATACGTAGAGAAAGTGTTGATGAACGAAGCAGGCAAAGGAACAGGCGCATGTTTGGAGCTCTTCTAGGAACTCTACAGAAATTTCGTCAAGAAGAAACCAAGTTGAAAGCAAAAGTAATATTATTTCTGTATATTTTTACCAATTGTATTTACAGATTAACAAAGAATAACATTGTCATAGTGCATTTAAATGTTTGTATTAATAATTTTACAGGAAGATAAAAAAGCTGAGGTGGAAGCCAGAGTTGAAGAAGCAAAGCAGAGAGAAAGAGAGCAGCTGAAAAAAGAGAGGCAAGAGCTTTTCTTAACACGCAAACAGCGATTAGCTCAAGTAAAAGCTCTTGAAGTAAAATTAGCCAGAAGTAAACAGTACCAAGAATGGCGCAGTGCGCAAATCCCGCTTTTGAATTTTATTAAAACAAAAACGGCACCGTACATATATTATTTACCTAAACGACCTACACCTGAGACAGATACATTGTTACAAGAGTCTTCAAAAGAGCTTAAAGGTTTGTATATATTTGTGCCTTTTTTTACTAGCTTCAATTATAAAGTGAAAATGATGAATTTGATATTTTTTGAATATAGCTGAAATCGATAGAAGAGAAAAAGTTTTGGTAGAGGATCTACAAAGAATTCAAGCACATTCTAACTTTGGAAAGAATCAAAAGGACAGGAACAGGTCTATGTCACAAAATATGGATCAGTCAATGACTGAGGAGCCGGGCGAAGAAGAGAACCGTGATCCCAATCCAGAGAAAAATGGAGATGTTGAAATGACTGATGATACTAGAGAAGTTCAACACCCATCCCACCATGAAGAATATGGCAAAGGAGAAGAGCGTGATGACAAAGATAAATCAGAAAAAATCGATAAAGAGGGTGAAAATGAAAAACAAATAGACTCTGATAAAGAAAGAGAGACCGAAGTTGATAAAAAAAGAAAAGCAAAATCTGCCAAAAGAAGGAGAGCCGGATTTGATGATGATAATGATTCAGATTCTGATGAAGAAGGAGATGTAGATTCTGACAAAGAAAAAAGCAAAGATTCTGATAAGGAAAACGATTCCGAGTCTGATAAAGAAAGTGAAGCAGAATTAGATAAAGAAAAAGAAAAAGAAAAGGAGTCTAGCGATGAGAGAAAAATGGAATTAGATAAAGAGCAAGAAGCTGAATTTGTTCATGAAAAACCAACAGAAACTAACAATGAAAAAGTAGAATTCAACAATCAAATGGAGGTAGAATCTATAGAAAAGAAAGAAACAAAATCCGTTAAAGAAATGGATGAGGAATCTTACAGAGGAAAAGAGAGCGAATCAGAATCTGAAAGAGAGCAGAATGACGTTTTGATGGAAAAAGATACTAACGTAGAAGATATTAAATCAGATAAGAATAAGGATTAACGTTTATTAAAGACTTTTATACTGTAAATAAAAGTAGCAATCACGTGTGTGTATGTAAGATCGAAAGTGTATGACGTATGCTTCGTACTTGAGATTTTCAAGGAAGATTGTCAAGCTTATAGGCTATCCACTAGGATTGTATATCTAGGTTTTATAAAAGAAATTTTATTAGATTACTGTTGAGTAAGACCGTCAATGAATTTTTGAAAGTGCGAAAACAGTTGTTTTTTTCTTTAAAAACAAGTTAATATTTACATACAAATGAGAAGTTAATTTTAGTTGACAGTTCCATTGTAACACGAATCCTCGAGTAAAACTGCAATAACAATCAAGTCCTTGAAGTCGCACGTTCGTGCGTAAAGAGAAAGAAGAGAACTAAAGAAAAGACAAGAACTAATGAATCTTACAGTAACTTATCTGACGTAAATCTGGAGCGCTTGCAATAGCTATCACTGGTATCGCAACTAAATTAATGATTGTAAGACAAAAAGTAAGACGAAATTCGGCGACGTCTAATAGGGTAAGCGTTATATGCGAAAGACGCTTGTAAATAATGTGAGCTCTATCGGTATTTCCAAGAGTCTCGCGCGCCCGCATGATAACTATTTAGACCATCTCCATCTCCCTAGAGACATGAAAAGGAGCCTTGTTTTCGCTTGAGGAGAATGTGAATGAATAAAAACAGCTAATCCCGGCGCCATAACGCGCTTGAACTGTAGTCGCGAGCCATTAAGTCGCTTCGCCATATCATATGTGGCGAACAGAAGCAGCAGCAGCAGCAGCAGCAGCAGCAGCAGCAGCAGCAGCAGCAGCAGCAGCGGGGAGAGACATGTATAGAATGAGAACGTGCATGCGTCATCGAGCGTATTTTCATACCCCCCGCGCGCAAAGTGAACGAGCTACGCGACGCCCAAGAAAAACAGTTTAAATCACTCGACTGTCGCTTTGATTCGTTGACGGTGGTTGCTGCCGCATCCCCCCTTTCTATTGTAATGTGTTTTAGTTCATGTTCTATCGGCACTATATTGCGATACTAAATGAATGACTATATTCCTTGCGGCTATCTAAGAAATTTCGAATTTTTAATTATAATTTAATTACCTTATTCTAACTTTATAGGTAGACCTTTCAACTTTAAATTTAAAATGTATGTCATTAAATATAAGTCAATGGGAAGCGCTCCATCTTTCAAAATTTTACATTTACGATTGAGTATGCTTTATATGTCAGATTAGAAATGGTAAAACTGATTAATTTTTTTTTTTTTTTGGAGAAATAAACTATTCATAAATATAAGTTATTTTTGATTCACTATATTTATTGAGCATCCAAGCCGACTTTCCATGAAATCACCTTCAAGCTCCGTTGAGCTCTTGTCAGCCCAGAGCAAACATTGTACGGATAGCCGGCATTCCATTCTAGCGTAAAATAGCGAAATCATCGGGTACAGTTGACTGGTCCTCCACGTGTTTCCCGTAAAAGCACCGTAATGTTTAGCAGCCGCCCGCGCGCTGAGGCACGAGGAGCTCTGGTCACTTTGGGAGCCGTTCGCTCGAAATTAGCTTAGCTCGCGAGCAAAAAGGAAGTTAAGTATCCTAAAAATAACCGCGAATATGTTCTCACCCTCTTGTGGCGCTCAGTAGCGTAACGCATCTCGGGGCATTTTTATTGGGCGAAAAATGCCGCCGAGTGAGAGAGAGAGATCCGCGCGTGTTACGGCGAGGGGCTTGTAAATTTAGAGAGTAGCTTGGGCTCGCCGCCAGATAATTGCCTGCTTCGCGACTCGAGACGGCCTTTGCTCATTTCATACCCAATATCCCATAAAGCCGCAAGCTCTGTCGCGATGCCTCCTCAATTACCCCGCGATCTCGACGCTTTCGCGTCTCGTTTGCGCGCGCGCTATCGTGGCTTATTCGTTAACTCGGCGAGACGCGAGCGAGCGAGCGAGGCAGTGGCCGAGCGCCACCTCGAGCCAGATGTTATGTATTGGCAGGTGAGCTTCTCGACAGACTTGACTTGACGCTCCGCGACTGCGGCGCTTATCCTTCCTTCATATTTTATTGCACGCTGTCGCCATTGCAACTTTCGATCATTAATTCAATCTGCACGTTTTTTCTTTTTCAATGCGGTTAATGTCTGATCCATTTATATATAAATACTGGTCCATTCGTACGATCAATCAATGGCACCGACTGATCACATCAGACCGTACACCTAAATATAAACGCGACGTTTCAATCTATTAATTTGTATTTTGGCTTTATTACCATGAGGTGCGAAATCCTTCAGAGAGGCGTTACTTATGCGTCAGCGTGATAAAATAAATCTTAGATTTCCAAGCTGCAAGTTGAATTAACGACTGTGGAGTCAGTTCCGATTGAATACGATCCATGTTGCTATACGGAATAAACGAACGTACAATTATATATTAGCACGGTGACTCGGCAATCGTATTTCAATGATTTATTACGTTGGTTGTTGGTATCTCTTTTGAAGTGGGAGAGTGCACACAACGAAGAGGAATAAATTTGACAATCCGAGCTGTCGTGCTGACAATTTGCCGGCTGACAAACGTAAGCTGCACAATAAATAGCAATAACAGTCGTCGCCGAGTTATTACGCTAAGTTGATGTGATTACGGAAGAGGTTGCAGAAATTGGCGTTCGGGCGCGGCCGCGTGTAGCAAAGCGCGCGAAGGAGAGAAGAAGCCGATGAAGACGAGAGAGGGAAAGCTGGCCTCGCGCGCGGCTGCCAAGCACCGCGCCGAGAGCGCGCGGCTACGTGTCGCCCGCGTTATTCCTATCCATAAGCCGTTTAATGAAAAAGAGCATCGCGAGTGATTCATTTTGGCAGCCGACAAATTTCTCGGGACATTATTCCGCGCTGGCGACACCACGTCGGCCCGCGCGTCTAGTAATTCACGCCGAATTTCCTTTTGATTCGAGCCTCTTGCGCGCGGCCGTTTTTTGTTTTATCGCGACAATTAGCGCGCGAGTTGGCAGCCGCCTCGGCGGCCCGGGAAAGCGCCGCGGGAAGCGTCCACACGACAACGCGTCACAGCCGATCGAACCTTATTCGGCGGCGCCGGTAGCACCTGTCCGCTCGAGATTCGCGCTGCGGCGGAGGGGGCGTGGACGAAGCCGCGCGTGCACGCTACGCGAGCGTCGCCAATGGTCCGCACCGACGTAGAACCGCCTCGGCAAAGGCCACACCTCCCGCGCCCCCACCGCCTCGGCGGCCGTCGCGAGCGAATGGGGTGACGCGCCGTAGCCTCGCTCTTTTTTTTCCCAGAGCAAATCGTCTCTCCCTTTCCGCCGCGCGGGCTGGACGCGGATGGCGCGCTTTGTACGCTCGTCGACACCTGTCCGCGTACGTTCGCGGTCGAGCGCGACGCGATGGCATCGCTCGAGAAGTCGATCGCGCGGACGATCGGGCGCGCATGGGAGGGAGGGTCGGCGAGCTCACGCGGAGAGCGAGTGGCCGCGATTGGGAGTGGTGGCGCGCAACTCGGTGACTTCTTATTTCTGCTCGGGTAAATCTGTCGCGCCAGTCAGTGAGGCGCAGAGCTGTGCCGGAGCGGAGCGTTCTCTCCTCCTCCCTCTCTCTTCTCTCGCGGCCCGTCTTCCTCTCCTCTCATTCGCGCGAAGCCCCCCGAAAGGCTGCCGGGTTGGCGCGGAGAGGCTGCCGTGGCTTGGACCGGCGCAGAGAGAGAGAGAGAGAGAGAGAGAGAGAGAGAGGGCGAGAGCAGAAAAAAAGAAACAGTGTCGACGGGGCCGCGCGCTTCCGAGTCTGCGTGGAGAATGGTTCGTAGGCAACCGGGCATAGCCGACGGCATAGACGCTGTCTCTCTGCTGCCGATGTTCCAAGTGTTCCTCTTCTCGCTGTTTTTCGGCTGCGCGAGTGCCGTGCACTGGTGAAGCTTCCGTTGATCGTTGCGTCGCGCTGCGCCGCGCCGCGCCTCTCTCGCAACCTGCGTGATGCCATTCTAGAGAGTCGGAGGTACACTTTGCCGTCAGTTCCGTTTGCCGACCGACTGGCCCTTTGTGAATGAGTGCGACGCGCCGGAGAAGACGAGTCCAGGATTTTACCAGGTGCGCTCGGATCGTTGTGGTGCGTCGGCCGGCCGAGGAGAGCTGCGCGTCGTCCGACTCGCGATGGACCCGATTTTATTGGGTAAGTCTCTTCGCTGCGTACGCGCGTCCAGCCTTCGCAGTCGCCCGGCCGCGCGCTCTTTTTCAACTTGCGCGACCGCGCGAGATCCCTCAATTTCTTTCTTAGCGATGACCTAAATCTTCGATACGCCAAGCAGTCGACCGAGCAGCTTCCGAGGCTCCCGTGCGAGAAAGCGATAATTTTTTCTCGTTCGCGCGCCGATACGCCGCTGATAGTCGCTTTTCCATATACCTACTTATCTCCGTCGCTGAACGGCGCGGGGGCCTTGGAAACTCCGCTGGTGCCTTGGAAACTCCGCGCGGCAGGAGCCCGCGATAAATTCCCATTGTGAAGCTTCGATCGACCCCACTATCACTAGCTCCATTTGCGAAATTAACAAACACACGGGGCGTGAATTGAGTTCATCGAAGACTCGCAATGAACGGTCGAGCAAGTCGAACGAAACGAAGGAAGATTTCCTGAATCGAACGCCGCTGCGCGTAAAACGCATCCGCGACAAGGTCTCAACAGACAATAGAAAGAGTCATCGACGGTAGCAGCTGATCTCGTCGGGAAAAAAAGGAAAGCCGCAGCTGCGTAGCTTCCGTAGGTAGATTCACGTGCGTTCATTAGCGTCAATTAGTCGTGTTTGCGCGGCGAACGACGTAGACTGGCGGTCAAAAGGACGAAGGGACCGTACGTGTGCGCGCGCGCTTAGTTGACAAAGGACTGATCAAACATAGCCGACGCGCGCGGCGGAAGCTGCTGGCGGACACTAGACCTACGGCCTACTTAGCGTAATCCCAACGAGTAGTACAAATTCATTGGCTACCGATTTTTTCACCGGCGGAGGCGAGCGTCGGTCCTCGCTGTTTGTTGTTTCTGGAGCCGGCGCCACCGACTTCGAGGCGACACACGAGAGCGCCGTGGACGACGGGCTTTTTAAGCGCCGGGGCGCTCGCTGGCTTCTGTCTTCGAGACGATGGGCCATCAAAAACTGCCGATTCAGAGAGCATTGTGCAGCGCGTTTGGCAACGAGAACGTGCCAAACCACATCGACATTTCAGTCGCAATCGATACTTTTATGTGCCACATACAAAGCGGTCGCAATGCCGTTCGGAGGAAAAAAAAACCAAGAGAGTTATGCGAAGCTAGTCATTCGCGATGGGCCGAGAAACTCCAAACGTTGCGGTTAGTCGAACCGTAGCAGACTGCTATTATCGATACTGAAAAAATTGTCTTCACGGCAACTTTGTTCGGCAGGCGATGCGGTGCCGCCGATAAGTCATCGCGCTGCAAACGGAGAAATAGACGGGCAATAGCATCGCGAGGTGCACGCGGAGGTTGTATCGCGCACTCGTGGAGGTGGAACGTTGAGTTTGTGGCGCGGAGCACGTGTCGCGCTCGGCTCGACAAACAAGATCACCGCGGCTAACGAGGTGAATCTGGTGGAAAAATGAGGCGTCGAGCCTAGACCGCGACGCGCAAGGCTTGGGGAGGGGGGGGGGGGGGCGAGTCATCGTTACGCCGGCTCACCTCGGTGCGCTTGTCGCCCACGCGCATCGAGCTGCGGATGCGGGCGTGTAATCATCCCGAGCACTCGCGGCATCAATCTTGCCCTTAACGCGCGATACGCGTCCGGAAAAGTATGTGCGCGCAATTAGGCTGCGCGCGCCACGTGCGCCCTCACGCCCACTTTGTCGCTCGGTCGCGTCTACCCCTTGCGTCGGCGCGCTCTCGTGGCACTTTCCATTTTTCACGCGGCTTTCCGAGGGCCGCTAGCCAGATGAGCGCGCGCACGCCTACCCGGAAGTCGGCTTGGGATGCTTCGTTTTGCGCGACTCCGTTACCAGGACGTAATTGGGTGCAGGCTGTATTGCCTGTGAAATCGGACCAAGTGGAGTAGCGGTAAGGGGCCACGCGCGATATTGCTCCATTCTCGCGTCGCCAACTTATCGGACGAGCTTCAATTGATAGCCCGAAGCTACCATGCGAGAAGATCTACTGGAACGACTAACTCGAGCGGAAAGTTTCGTCGACAAAACGCGTCTCGGTTTTCGAAACGTAAACGCGTACTTCAATTTGTCAGTCAGTGTGCGCGCGCGCGCGCAGCGAAAAAAGTCTCGTTATTCAGAAAGCCATAAAAAACCGAAGGAGAAGAGAAAGAGAGAGAGAGAACCGAGCCACACACGCCCACTATACACACCACATCCATCGTCAGCCATCAAGTAGCGACGCACTTCACAGAACAATAAGCGAGGCGCAATGCCATTGGGGATATTACGAGCTTTCGCTCGTAATATAGTCTTGCGACAGGCTCGCTCTTTCCACCGCCCCCCCCCCTCCTCTTCACCCCGAACGCGTGTATTACAAGCGTGTAAAGCGAGCGCGGGCGCCTTTGATGTCCGCCCATTCATCACCCCTCGCGAGAAAAAGTCTAATAATATACGCAAGCTTCTTTTTTTACACGGGGGCCGTGCTCCGCAGTAGCGCGACGCCGCGAGCCTGTCACACGTGCATCCGCGTAGTAGCACGTATCGCCACGAGTGCTCTGCGAATTCCCTCTCCAACTGGAACGACGCCCGTCGTGGCGAGTCGCCAGCTCTTCCTGCGTCTGCGATACCAACGTGGGTAAATTTCATTCTTATTCTCCGACGTGAAATTACGCGTTTACAACTTCGGCTGCGGTCTCCGCGGTTAAGTGAATTCTGCGATGTAAAGAGCGCATGGTCTGCGATTGGTAACGTTAATCGCGGCCGTTCGCCAAAATCCAGTGCAGTTTCGCGCGAAAATAAAGTCAGCCGACACGATAAGACGGTCGCAAGCTCTGTGTCCCTCTGCGGCAAAATGTTCCGGTGAGCGCACTCGCGCGCGACCGTCGGAAGCAAAGTCGCGGGAGTTTCAGCAATTAATCTCGTTAAAATAACACACCTCGCCCCGAGAGCGCGCTCGACGAGTTATGCGCTCGTATGTAGAAGTGGGCAGAATTTGGACAAGGGCGCGACAGGTTCCTGTCCAAACACACTCTTATGCGCGGCTGCGCAGATCGAATGCTCCGCGGGCGAGACGTGAGCTCGTTGAAAGGGCATTCGCTGTGTTGTCGCGATCGTTGCGCCGAAGAAAAATGACGGGACCTCGCAAGCGCGTCGCCGTATTCTCGACGCGACTCTCTTCTCCCTCGGTCGTTTCGTACCTTTCGTCCAGCCTCTCCTGCAGCGAGATCTCGTTCTTATCGTTCGTTACGGGTGCACTTTCGCGCATTGTCGTCGTCGGAGAAATTTCGTGCAGCGTGCACGTGAGCTTTTTTGCCCGGTCCGACGATGACTTAATTCCCGAAGCAATATACCGAGAAAGCGGCGAGAAGAAAAGATCTCCCCCGCCAACAAGTCACCATGAATAATCATTCATGTATCCCTCTCCCCCTAAAGAAAAATAAAAAAACAGCGGCTTTACGGTTATCGATTTCGTCGAATCGGCGACGACGGCTCGAAAATTAAAAATCGGCAGCCATTTCCTCCTCCCTCGCACGCACGGCGAGTTTGTTTGGTCCCTTTCCGGGCCATTTGCCGCACCGTAAAGTCCGATCCGTTCGTAGACCGACAAGAGAAGAGAGAGAGAGAGAGAGAAAAAAAAACGAAAGCACAAAAAGCCCGTCGTTCCGAGAATCGCGGAGACTTCGCGAAATTTATTGCCCGCGCATTGTGCGCAACGAGAGGAATCTCAGCACGCGAGCACTCCGGATTCCATCTCTTTTTGCGCGTGGTTTTTCTCGGCCGAAGACAGAGAGCGTTCTGTGTATAATGAAAATTAATGAGCGCGCACAAGCACGAGGCTCATTGAATCGTTAGTGCATCGCTTCCAAGTGTCGACGCGATGCTTACGATCGTCGATTTCAGCTCGAATTTTTTTTTTCTTCGGGCTATCAAGCCGTCGGAGATTTCTTTTTCTTTTTTCGCCTGCATCGGTGGAAGTCATTATCGCGAGAAAGTTCGAAATACTTTCGCTGAACTTTCGCTCGGCGTCGATCGTCCCAGCACGCGACTTTTGAGGACGAATGAAATATTAATCGATTGCTATCGTCATTCGTTTCATCATCCGGGTAATGCGAATGTAATTTCGTGGCAGTGGCATAAACGCACGCGCAAGTTGCACAAAGCGCGTCGGTCCATCGAATAATCGAACGCTCAAACGAGCTCGGCAGGTCCATGGCAGACGATTCCCAAAATAAAAATCCAATCAACGCTGCTCCATCGAGAACACCTTCGACGAAAATAAAAAAAAGCGTAGCGAGTCAATCCCGTAAACGTCGCCGCTGACAGGTTGATGAATAAACGAGCTCGTGGCGCGCGTGCGCATTAAGCGACGATTACTTGAGCGTCGCGCTATTTCAGCGTGATTCCATTTCACGCACGGCCGCCTGCGCGCGCGCGCGCGCGATATTGCCATCTCGAAAAAGCTCGCCGACGGGCACAAATTAATTGACAGCGCGGTTATTCCGAGGCTCTAAGGTAAATAAGCCCGCTGCATCCGACGCGATTTAGCCGGACGCGCGGGATGCTTTATTGCCGACGCGCGTTTTACGAAAGAGCGCCGCCCGACCATTGTTCGCGGTTTATTTATAAACACGCGGGCTCTGCCGGTACCTCGGAGTGCGCGGCTGCTGCAGCTCCACTGCGCAATCAGCCGATAACCGAGCGACGGCTTCGATCGCTGTTTCAGAGAACAGCCAGCTTAGCCAGAGCCCCCAGCAAAGTCAGCAGCAGCAGCAGCAGCAACAGCAGCAGCAGCAGCAGCAGCAGCAGCAGCAGCAGCAGCAGCAGCAGCAGTACGGCGAGGTAAATCAGCTCGGCGGCGTGTTCGTGAACGGGCGGCCGCTGCCCAACACCGTGCGACTGCGCATCGTGGAGCTGGCCCAACTGGGCATCCGGCCGTGCGACATATCGCGCCAGTTGCGCGTCAGCCACGGCTGCGTGAGCAAGATCCTGGCGCGCTACCACGAGACCGGCAGCATCCTGCCCGGCGCGATCGGCGGCAGCAAGCCGCGCGTGACCACGCCCAAGGTCGTGCAGTACATCAAGCAGCTCAAGCTCAAGGACCCCAGCATATTCGCCTGGGAGATCCGCGATCGGCTGCTCTCCGACGGCGTCTGCGACAAGTACAACGTGCCCTCGGTCTCCAGCATCTCGCGGATCCTGCGCAACAAGGTGGGCGCCGCCGCGGCTGCCGCTGCCGCCGCCGCCGCCGTGGCCGCCATCCATCACCACCCGCACCACCCGGCGCATCACCACCACCACCATCACCACCACCACCTGTACGCGGCCGCGGCGGCCGCCGGGGCCGCGGCCCTCTGCGCCCCCATGCCCTACGCGCCGACGGCATACCACCCGCCGGTCAGCCACCACCATCACCAGGGCGCGCTCGGCGAGGCGCAACAGGACAACGCCACCGCCAGTACCGCCAACAACGGCGCCAGCAACTTTAGGAGGTTTCTGTCGATCGAGGAAGGTAAGTGACAACGTCAGCCTCATTTTTACGCCGTTTGCTCCTGCGACGACACGACTTGGCCATGGAATTCACATTTCCCAATCGCTAGCGACGGGACAACGGACAAGTCCTTTGTCTTTCAGGATTTGCCCATATAGTCTACATTGGCATTCCCGTTTGATTTCAGCAGCCCTACCAAACTCGCCAGCCTCGTGCAAGCAGCAGCAGCAGCAGCAGCAGCAGCAGCAGCAACAGCAGAATACCGCGACGCCATCGCCGCCAGCGCCGAATTCCAACGGGCAACTGACGCCGACGACTAGCAGCTCCTCGTCCTCGATAACCAGTCTGCATTGGCCAAGCTCCCACACCGTGCACGACATCTTGTCAGGAGCGATACCGGGCCTCGACAACCTCGCGCGCCACCACCACCACGACTCTGCCACGGCGGTTCAACGAAACGCCAGCGTCAACGGCAACAGCGAACCCGAGCAGCAGCAACAGCAGCAGCACCATCACCACCACCACCACCACAGGCACCAGCAGTATTACGCCTCGACTCTCTACCACCACCATCATCTGGCGCACCATCAGACGGCGGCGTCGGCCACCCACCACCATCACATGCAGATCGCCGCCGCCGGCAACGAGAGTTTTCACGCCGCCTGCGATTAGTTCGCCGTTGGCTCCTTCTTCATTATGCCCAGTGTGTCTCAGTCCTGATTGTGAATCGTGAACGAACCAATCAAATTTTCTTTTTCATTTGACCGAGTTTCGTTTGCTATCGCCGGAGCAGACCAGATTTTACCGTTCGAGGAGTGTGAATTTGACAGTTTTATTTTCAGATTCTGTTTTCTTGGATTTATAGTCAGTAAGTAATAAGCTTGTAAACATTGTACTAAGTGATCTAGGTATAGAGTTAATTTTCTGCGCGATTGTCGAACATTCAACATTATATATAGGATCTGTGGCGGGAATGTATGGTATAGATATAACATAATTTATTTACAATTAAATAATCCTTCTTTCACATCGATTAACGTATTTTGACTTTTGAATGCCTTCTTCAGTTCGCTCTGCCAGAATAGTATGCGTAGAAATTTCCACGTAGTATTCGCATCAAAAAGCAATAGCAACATTGCACAATTGACACGCGTCGCTCGCAGCGACTAATCTGCCGTCACACGTGGTTTTAATCGTGGCTCGCAGAGCAGCGGCAATTAATCACACGAGCCGGCGGTCGGGAGTGGGAGGGGCAGGCGAATTATTGGCAAAAGGCGAATCTTTCATTAACCCAGAATGCCTGGCAACAAAGGCACGCTCCGCGGCGCGAATCCGAGCGAATCGCAGTGGGCGAGGTGACGAAAGCTCGTCGCGTCGCGCAGATCTTGCCGATACGCGGAAACTAAGCGCGCCTCTCTTCTCGCCCACGAACCCCAAGATTATATACGCGACGATCGGCAACGCGCGTTCTTCTCGAGCGTAGCCGTCGGCTGGCGACCCGTCAAATTCACGGCGGCCCGTCTCGTCCGCGTGGAGACGAGGCACCGGGGAAAATCCGTCGGGCGCCGGCTGCTTTTCCGTCGGTGTTCGCGCCGTCGCGCTGTTTATTGTTCCGAGTCGCCTCGTTGCTGCAATCGCGCGGCTTACTCGTCACCGACAACGGTATAAACACTGAAACAGTATTTGCGCGCTTTGCGATACTGTGGGACGATAAAATCACACTTTTTCCCTCGAGTGTATTTATAGTAGACACTTTTTTTTTTTCGGGCGGCTTGAGCCTAATCTTATCTCTCGAATAGACGTGTAAGCCTCACGCGAGACAAGAATCTACTTTCCCGCACTAGTTAGGTAATGTACGGTTTTCAACTGGATGCCGCAGATGTGTATCAGTGCGTGCAATGACCTGATAAAGCCAATTTTTTTGCGAGAAATAAAAAATTAAGTCGATTAAGAAATACATTGGAGTTGCCTTCGATAATAACTTTAACGCGTTTTATGTATGAATGAGCGAATGTTATGCGATTATACGGGCGGACAGATGCCAAAAATTGTACGTAATGTAATTATACAAGCAAACAAATTATCCACAACAGGAGGTATGAATAAATGTAAAGCTTTAAAGAGAAGTTGAGCTTTACGCGCCAACTAGATTTCTTATTTGTATTCATTGATGTTGCTCCTCGTCCTAACGCATATTTAACGTGTAACGAATGGATTAATATCGAGTGATCTGTCCGTCGTATTGAACAAATATGACTTGGCTGTCGTTTACGATGAACCGCGTTCTCTTTTTCGAATCGAACGCGACGGCTTCTAAAAGAGGATATGACGTTCGAGGAACGCATAAATCAAGGCTCGCGCTCGTGATGTCTGCGGGCTAATTGAATCGAGCGCCGAGAGGGCAATTAAAGCGCGCCACCGAAATCGTGACGGGCGAAGGAGATCGCGTTCCTCTGTGCGCCTCACGTGTTCGTCATTTCTCGTTCTTCGTTATCGCCGACGACGAATCCGCATGTGGTCGGTAATGAGCGCGCGCGCGCGCGCGCGGCACTTTTGAAACACGACCGCGCGGGGCACTCGTCGGACGGCCGACTCCGCCCTCGCTACCGGGCCGATTCGACGTACACCTCTTATTAGGCGGAGGACAGCCCGCCGACACTTTACGTGGCGCTGTGAGTCGCTCGCCTCGCGTGGGAACCTTCGCTCGCTAGGCCTGTACATATTTCATCGCGCGATAGCACGTTGCTACGAACGCGTCGAAAAACTGCATTTGAATCTTACCGATAAATAACCTTCGTTGTGGGGCGGTACTTTTTGCGCATACGCCGTGCATTCGCGACGTAATGAGCTCGGAGCGTTGTAAAAACCATCTTTCTTTCGGAAGTAGAAAAAAGCAGGTCGCGTCGTAGATCAAAAAGTGGCAATAAATAGTGGCGATCCAGCAGTACGCCCCTTCCGTTTCGCGTTTGAAACAAGTGCATCGGCAGCCGACGAGAGCAGAGAGGTGTTGCAGGCTCCCGCGGGCAGGGCACGAGTGCGCAGGAGACGAAAACAAAACAAACAAAAAATACAAGAAAAAAAAAAAAAAAAGGCGAGAACGCATAGATCTCGGCGCGAGAGCAGAAAGGTGCACATGCGGCACGACAGATATTACAGGGCCCTTATAGCTATTCGCTAATTCGTTGCCAGCCGCGCGTCTGCCCGTCTATTTTAAAAAGAGATGCGCTGGGCTCGGTCGTTCGCCGCATGTGCCGTCTCTGTGCCCACCGCCGAAAGGAGACAAAAGCGACGGGGCGGCGGTTTGCACTGCGCGATCCGCGTATGCTATGCGCGTAGGGCGGCACTCCTTTCCATTTCATTTTTTCTTTTCTTTGAGCTAGGTGTTAATGCCAATTTTTTCTCGCATACCGGAAGATCCTCTTCGCGAGCGAACAAACTCATCAATCAGTAGGCTACCGGTAGGAACTCTTTGATGTCGCGTGCCCGACATTGCGTGGGACCTTTTTTTTCACCTATTCGCCACTTGTTGATGGCAAGTCGGTGAAATTTGAAAGACAATTTTTTACATTCAATATAGTCAGTCTTTCGGTCAATTTCACTCGATTTTTGGAACTTCTTAAGCCACGCAAAATACTCGGATGTTCAAGAGCTCAGCTTATCAATTTCATTGAGTTCCATGTTCAAGGGCGAACACAGGAAAATAAAAATTATCGAATCAATTGTATTTAGATATTATTTTACGAATATATTAATGGAATATTATATTTACAATTCTTGTATTTTATACAGGAGTAACTTCGCTTCGCCAGCCTTGAAATGCAAAGTTAAATTCCGAGAAAATAACTTTATATTTAGCATGCTTATCCATATACCTAGTTTTATTGATATCATTCATTTTGATGTATTTTATCAAGTAAACTGAATTTGGTTCATCGTATTAAATAAAAAAAAATTTATAACGAGTCGACAATGCGGTTGAAGTTGCACGATTCGAGCACGTGTTTGTTTAATAAGATGATGCGAGTGTCACAGAGAAATATCCGATAACAGTTTGATGAAAAAAACATCTGAATTACGCCGCGTTCAAGCTTTTGCCAAAAGCGTCGCCATTTCGAAAGTTTCAAACGAAAAGCGAGAGACAAGTTCGATGAGAATATATATTTTTTACGTCGCAGCCAGTGAGTTCAGGATAAATCAAAGGTGTGCATAAAGTGCAGGGAAATACGTCCGAAAATAGTAGCCGTGAGGTCGCGAGACGTTGGAAGAAAGAGAGAAATAAAAGCGCGCGCATCTCGCGCTGCACGGGAAGATTCAAAGATCAAGCGGAGGCGCGCGAGAGTCGCGAGGCCGGATGCCGTAGCCGTCGTCTACACCAGCGCGCGCGCCAGAGAGAGAGAGAGAGAGAGAGATAGCCGATAGAGCGAGCAAAAGGAGACGACGACGGCGGCAGCTATATTCCAGGTTTGCATGGCGGAACGCCCCTGTCCGGAGAGAGATGCCGCTCCCGCTTTTATACCGTCGCTCGTCGTGCTCGCGCGCTTATTATTATTTATACGAGAGCGCGGTGTCGCGTTAAATCAAAGCCAAGCACGACGGCCCGAGCCCGAGATTTATCGCGTTTCGTTTAAAAACCGCGTGCTGCCGTTACGCGAGCCTCTCTCTCTCTCTCTCTCTCTCTCTCTCTCTCTCTCTCTCTCTCTCTCTCGCAAATAAATCGCATTCTTACGAGAGCTTGCGAGCTTTTGGCAGCGGCACGCGCGGCTGTTCGTCGTATATAAATCGTTTTGCGATCTCGATCGAGCGTGGGATAGTCGTGCGTCGGTTCACCGAGTCCGGTAGCTTCCGCGTTCGAATCGCCGCCGACTATCTCACAGGTGTATTCTCGGCCGTGATTATTCTCGGCGTATATCTCGGGATTCGAAGCTGTAGGAGGAAATTACGTTGTTAACCCGCACGAGGGACGAGACGAAAATGAAAAAGACGAAGACGAAAGAAACAAAAAAAAAAAAAAAGAACGAGCGTGCATGCGAGAGCGAAGTGGCAGCTATTTGTACATCCTCGATTTTTTTGCACCGACTGTCAGTGCAGTCTGCAACTTTCTCTCTCCCTCTCTCTCTGTCGCTATTATCTTGACGGCGACGCGAGACTTTGTTAATTACCGCACGCGGGAAACGTTTCCCTCGAAATTCATCTCCCCAAGTCATCCTCCATTTGTCGTCTTTTAAGGATTGGAACCTCGTGCGCTGGCTGCGCAGGCTTTCGGAACCTTTCATGACGACTTCGAATGAAGTCCCGCCATAAGACTCGATGTACCGACTGGGTCTGTGTGGGAATTTTTTTTGCAATAAAATTTCCTTTCATGTTAGCCGTTGAATTGCTGTTTCTCAAGCCCATCGGACAAAGATTGAATGAATTATCGATTTATCGTTGCAAATTATTTCAGTTTGATTTACGGAGCATATCATTTGATTATCGAACGAGTTTCGAATAGAAAGCAGAGTAATTATCTCCAGGTGGTACTTTATTAGACAACAATACTGGAATTGTCAAGGACATGACGTATTCATAAAATAACAAATGTAGACCCGCGTAAACCAAAGCTACGTCGAAACGACGTAAGTATACTCGCTAACAATTAGTCTTGCCATATTTCTTATTGAAAGCGCTCTGCATGGCTCCATTAGGATCTTTTATTCGTCTGATTTCGTCCAAGTCTACCCTCCTATTCTCGCAAAGGTAATTGACAATTTCCTTTATCCGCTCGACATGAGCAGGTAAACACTTTGCACAATTGGTCGCCAACACTTCCGGAGCCAAACCTGTCAAATCATAAATATTTTGTATAACTATATACTGCGTAGCATTTTCGAGAAAAAGCAGAACAAATAGAAAGGATTTTGAATTTGTTGCAATTGTATAGGCACGTCGAAACTACTGACACGAATAAATCGTAAAATTGCTGTGCTCAAGCTTGATTCATTGCAAACTTATTAGAAGAGTAATAAAGAAGCCGGTCACGAATAGATTCGTGTTTCCAAATTCACGTGAAAACTTACGTGTAATATCCATGATAACTTTTGGACAACCCTTTGTCTGCTCGGTCAAAAAGCACACTTTGAACTTGCCGAAAAGTCGGTCGTTGGCCAAGATATTTTTGAAAGGAATTTCAGCCCAGGCGAGAGGATAATGATCCCTCTTTTCGGAGGTGCCAGCTGATTCTGATCTAACGAAACCAGACGGATTTGACGACTGTTCGACGGTAGAACCCGGCACACGCACGACGAGCACTGCGAGCAACACTGCTGAAGCGACGTAGACTTGGTGACGCGACATTGTATGTGATGCAGCTTTGACACTCTGACGAACTTGTTGCCTTTGGACTCTTTTATATGGCAGTCTTTCATCGTTATTAAGTATGCATCGATGATTCGCGACACAGAAATTAAAAAAATTTCATTTTACGACATATCCTTCAAGTGGTCAAATATGTTTGCAAGGAAAATTGGCAATATGCGCAATTCATCGTGTCTTTTATTTAACTTCTCATCGTGCCGACAGCTAGTAAATCAACGTGATTTGTATATACACTCTTTATTTGACGATGCGCGGCATTTTATGTTAAGTGTCAAAAGATTCGTTTACGATTCTTCGTCATTGCGTGTGTCTTGACGTTACTAGTCATTTTCTGAATGTTTTTATCCCGTAATCAATTGGCTAACCAATAAAAGTTGACAAAAGTACGTAGGTGAGTTTTATTTTTCATTCTATGAAGGCACGATAGCCTTGCATGCAGAGCAAACAACTGTTGCCTAAATAAATAGATGTTACCTATTTCTAACGCGGTACTTCTTTAAAAGGTGCTCTCCAAAGCTGTGCGTACTAAAATATGACTTTGTTACTTGCGACGGAAAGCTTAGCAATACTTTTCTTGGTGCACTTTTAGCAGGTGACGTATCCTACAACCATCGCAATACAATCATCTAGAAACCTTAAGAATATCAATCCAACAAGTGATAATAAGAAACATCGTTAAGACATTATAATTGTTTTCCTCAATCAATGCGTGGTGTTACGAAAAAGTTAATATACATTACTTGAAACACGATCTTATTAAGTCGTTAAGCTAATTAAAATTGAAATTCAGCCAGATACAATAAAAATACTATTATCATTCGATTGTAAATGATTGCAATTAAGCGGTTAAAGTGTAAAAAATAACGCTGAAACACAAAATTGAAAGTTATACTTCATGATATCGATTGCTTTCGCAAATAGACCCAATCCAGATTAACAAAGAGCTATCGTGTCTAATGATAATCCCGATTAAAATTTCAGAGCGAAATAATTTTGCCTCTAGAATTAAAAGAGAAAAAAGAGCAGAAGTCTTGCGGAAAGAGGCAGCCTTCGGGGACAAGCGTGAGTTTTTGAGTTTGGCGTTAAGAGACAACAACGCGAGCAGCGCGCGGCGAGAAAGCATGCGAGAAGAGTGTAAGGGAGGCGCAACGAGGCGAGGAGCGATAACGCGCCATGGCTTTATCGGAGCACGGCTCGCGCGCGCGTCTCCGCCGATAACCCCCTCAGACTTGATAACCCTTCGCGTAAGAATACCACACTCGCGCGCCGATGATAAACCGACGACGAGTCATTCTTAAACTTCCTCTGATAATGCCGACGAGTTACACTGTCACGTATGCACTGTATCGGTGTGGCGAGAGGGGTGTGAGATCTATCGGTTTTCTTACTGCCAGATTGATTGGGTTCGCTCATCGCTTGCGAGTATTGCTCTTAGTTTATCGTAGCGCGACATCCAATATCGAGCGCGTTGGTACGATTCACCGTCTAGATTGATTGATATTCCATTTTTTTTAGTTGTTTGCTTCGTCATTTTTAAATTGTCTGGACCAAAACGACAACTTATTCGGATCGAATTTTCAAATAGTTCTACGAAAATTCTTACATTTCTTTAGATGCATTCTCTGTTTTGACCTACTTTTCATGAAAATAAGATGGATAAATGAAATACCAAATGTATTTGTAGGTGAGAAATTTGAATCTGTATAAGAGATACGGAAGTTTTGACTTAATAGAAATGATGTTAAGAGGAGTGCTTTTTTGATAGCTCAGGGCCAATCTCAAGAAAGCATTCTGAATAACTTTTACAAGTTTTATGTATCTGAATAACATACTGAAATAAGAAAGCCACAGTATTCGAACCTGGATCGGACTAAAAATTGATAGAGAAGCAGTAACGTAACTGGGTCTGCACCCCACCAATTCCTTTTCAAGTAGTTGATAATTGTAGATGAAAAATGCTTTTTCTGACAAGGTAGTTAATGTATTTAGACCAATTAGGTCTTTGATATAAAATGGATGTAAAGGAGTAAGGCCATCCGTCTAATGTAAGCTACAGTGAATATCACCTTAGAAGATTAAATGTTGACCAAGTGAGCCCTGTTGTGTTTGGAAAATATATGCTTAATAATTTCATCTACTCAATCTGGGATACGCTACTGAGCGTTATTATTTCATCAAATGTGTTACAAAATCACCGCTAACTTACACACTTAATTTTTGCCGTTTTCATAAAAAAAATCCCTTCTCCTCTTTTCTATGCTACGAGGTGTCTACACCTATCTGTTATTTAGAAAGTGGAAATGTCGGTAACGTCTACCTACTGTATTAACGACTTGAAAGACTATTGAGTATTATATAAATTGCAGATCAATAACAGTTATTTTTAGCTTGCAAGCAATAAGATACTCAAGGGCTTTATTTAAAAAAAAAATTCAAACACATTAAAGAAAAAAAATTTATTTCATATTAATTTATGTATTCACAGATATCTCATGATACCACATTGATACTATAATGTATCATAATAAATTTAACACGATATTGTTAATTCTGACTTGTAATATTAAATAAATACTTTTGTATCGCTTTGACAGATCCATGGAATGAGTTAGGTAATGTCACCTTATATGACCAATGATTCCAACATTATGTAATATTTATACATTTACTCTAATGAATTCAACATCAATAACTGCTTCAAGACTTTGGTTTGACTCGTTTCTCTGATTTCACCAGCCAAGAACATCTCATCTACTACAGTATACACCTGAAAATACAGTCATACTTGAAAATTAAATATTGCAAAAGCAATCACTTAGTTACAATGTTCTTACCTTAAAAAAATTAAACACAAGATCTAATTCACATACATTGTGGAAGTATTCATTTAGCACTTCAACAAAATTATGTATCCCTTCCAAATAACATAAATTATTGTCATTAACATCTACGCATATACAAAAGTAAAGTCCTGCATAACGCCTATACACAATTTTGAAGTTCCGGAACTGAAAAGTAAGTTATGCAGTTCTAGTTATGTAAATATTATGTTGTATCAAAATTAAGAGCTTTTAAGTACTAACCTCAACAAAGTTTGTGTGTTTAGCATCTCTCACAGTCACAACAGCATGTACTTCTTCAATTAATTTCTGTTTTTCATCATCATCAAAGTTCATGTACCATTTAGCTAATCTTGTCTTTCCTGCTCTGTTCTGGATAAGGATGAAGCGAATCTAAACAAATAATTTTTTCATATTATTAATTGTAATATTTTTTCGGACAGATATTGATGATGATTATTTATTTATCGAAGAAATTTGCTTTTATTAAATTAGATACAGACTTCTACTCCCACATTATTAGTAACAATATTTTATAGGTCTGTAATACTTACAGTGATTCTTATTAATAAAAGAAGTTAACTGTTCATCAAAAGCTCTTACCATTGTAATGTTATGAATTATAGAAATGGGGCGAGACCTAATTAATGTGCTTTCGCTGATTCTTAGATTTTGACGTGAGAAATTTCGCCCCTTTGGAAAGTATCCGACTGATAACATACATCGTGAAGTAGGCACAAGAATGTTCGATTAAATCAAAATTTCGATTTTTATCGATAACCGCGCATGCGTTGATTGTGTTACGTCTACGTGTGCGTCATTTTCGAGCGGCATAAAACTCTAAAATTCCAAAACTGTTTGCTAGTTTATTTCGGAGTAATATTCTGATTGTTACGTGTTCTGCAAATATAGTTTGTGCTAATTTAGTTTTATTAAGATGAGTTTTAAAAATAACAAAAAATTTATTGAGAAAGGAGATGTTGTGACACTGTATATTAATCCAAATAACATGCATCAGATAGAAGTCACAGATAAAATAAAAAATAAAAAAGGTGAATTAGTGGACAATATTTTTCAAACGACTTATGGTGCCTTAAAAGTGATAAGCTTAGTTGGAAAAAAGTATGGTTCAAAAATTGATTTGTCAAAAGGATGGGCTTATGTTTTGCAACCAACGCCAGAATTATGGACACTGACTCTTCCTCATAGGACCCAAATTATTTATACACCAGATATTAGTTTAATCAATTATCTTTTAAATTTAGTACCTGGAAGTATAGTTATAGAAACAGGTTTGTCTTAATTCATTGTTTTCTGCAGCTAAATTTTTATTTGACTAACAATTGTATCAACTATTATAATAGGTACTGGGAGTGGATCTTTGTCACATTCATTAGTAAGAGCAGTTCGACCAAATGGCCATCTTCATACATTTGATTTTCATGAACAAAGAGTATTATTAGCTCAAGAAGAATTCAAATCTCATGGTATAGATGAGTTTGTTACTGTTAAGTACAGAGATGTATGCGCACAAGGATTTGGAGAGGAACTTGACAATAAAGCTGATGCAGTTTTTTTGGATTTACCTCATCCTTGGTTGACAATTGATTTTGCAGTCAAAGCATTAAAGAAAAAAGGTTTATTATAAAATTATTTACTGTTAATTATAATTTTATACTGTAACAGTATTTTAAGTGGTTTTTAAATGCAGGTGGAAAATTATGTTCATTTTCACCATGCATTGAACAAGTGCAGAGAACATGTATAATGTTAACAACAGCTGGGTTTATAGAAATACAAACATTTGAATGTCTGCAACGAGAATTAACAGTTTTGCAAAAATCCATACCAGTTTTGAATTTAACTGATTTTGACTATCAGGTAAAAGTAAATTTACTTACTTATATTAAAATAACACATATGTTCTGCAGCACATTGTTAACTACATAATTTTTCAGACTGAAGGACATTTCAAAAAGTTTGAAGATCCTGTGAAAATGACAACAGTGTCTCATCCTCAATCAACTCCCGGCCATACTGGATTTGTAACTGTAGCTACATTGCCTCCAGTATTTGCCCGAATCGTAGAGGAAACGTAGCATTAGAAATTATTAAAATTTTAGACAAATATAATTTGAAGAAGCTTTTATTAAAAAAATGTGATGAAAAACTCTAAATTTATCTACAAATATTAAGGCTAAATCAAATTGTTAATATCAATAAATGTTACTTTTTTATAGAAAGTTTTCAATTTAATACTTTTTGGTTAATTTCTAACAAATGAAATGTCATGGATGAAATAGCTAATGAACAATGTAAACGTATTATACAGTAAACAACTGTTTTTCTGGAAATTATTCTGCACTATGAATTTTAATCTGTTTTATTAGGGCTCCACGTTAAGTAATCTGATCTAGTGGCAGCTTGATACTCTTTCACTAAGCAATCAACAACTTCTCGCGAGTTATCCAGCTCATCGAGATTATCTTCAAACATCTTTTCTTTTCTAAATTGCTCTAAGAACGCTTCTCTTTTTCGCAATTTATCATACTGTTGTAGAGCGCGGTCAAATAACTAAAACATTTTTACAAATGAATATAAATATTTTTTAAAATTTTAAGCTACATTTTATATTTAATATTACTTACTGAAGAAATATTTGTATGATTAGCCAACATAAGACCTGATACTCTATGTGTACTTTGGATATATGGCGATTTTCTTGATAAAGCTACTTGAATACTAGCAGGACCCCATGGAATAAACTGAGCCAATTTTCTCTCTCTTATTCTTTGAAGAGATTTATGAACTTGCGTTGGATCAACTTCACCCTATAATGCACAGTAACAGTTGGTATGATACAATTTACATAGCTAATAAAATATTACCTGAATAATATTCAAAATAGAAATATAACAATGAGCTGCATTTCTATCTAATGCTGTAGAAACCATCATATTTTTTGGTTGTAATAAACGACGCATGACATCTAAGACCGACGTTTTTCGTACAGATGCTCCCTAAAACGTTGAATAAAAATTAATTTTTATTAAAGATTTTAAAGAGGTTTTTATTGAATAATTGATAATATTACTTCTTGATCTGTTGTAAGGGGTGTGTAACCAGTCATAAGAAAATGTAATCTTGGAGTCGGAATCAAAGGTGCTATCAAGCCAACCAAATCATTATTCATGTATGATGGATATCTGTATAGATAAAAATTGTAGAAAAAGAATGATTTTGAGCATTTCAATATAAAAGTAAGATGCAGACCTTAGAGTTGTTGTACTAACAGACATTATGGTTGAGACTAGTTTATTAATTTGAGTAAAACTAGGATTTTGAATGTGCAACCTATCTGTAGCTATTCTATTCAAGGCAGTATTGTCAAGAACAACTACACAATCAGCACATTGAGTTAGCCTCTTAAGTGTTAATAAAGAATTGTAAGGCTGTACCACAACATCACTAAAAATCATTCACATTTTCATTAGTCTTGTTTAAATATGAAATTCACAAAAAGCTAATCAAAATAAACCTTATTTCATCTTGATTTGGAAAAACACTATAAGTTTCGATTAGCTTTTTAGGAAACCTATCTGCCAGAGACTCCAACATAAAAGATCCCATGCCAGATCCTGTACCTCCAGCGATTGAATGGCATAAAACAAAACCCTACCCAAGATAAAAATATTTTCCTTCGTGTTCATATTTGTAAAATGAAAAAACAATAAATAATCATACTTCTAAGCTATCACTTCCATCCGCTTCTCTATCAAGAATATCAAATATTTCTTCCTGTAATTTTTCTCCTTGATGATAACCAGAAGCCCAATTGTTTCCAGCTCCACCACCATGCTTTGACAAATATATATTTTCAGGATTGTACAACTAGAAAAAGAAACAAATTGTCTTTATTTCCAGCAACATGAGCTTAAACATGCACAAATTTTTTACCTTTGAGTAAGGAGAATTCATAATCGTGTGAATAACTCTAGGCTCCAAATCCAAAAGTACAGCTCTTGGAATATAGTGTTCATCATCTGATTGATAAAAAAATACATCTTTTCTATCAGTTCCCTCTGTAGCATAGTCTTCCAGCATTCCTTCAGGACTAATACCATGCTCAGCACAAAGTCTTTTCCAAAACTCAAAGCCAACTAAAAATATAGAAAATTCGTATAGAGAGAACTTATTAGTAAGAAATTTATTTTTTATTGTTAAACTTACTTTGATTGCCGCATTGACCTAGTTGCAGCGTTATCATTTCACACGGCATTTTGTAGCTTCTTTTCTATTTACAGCTTCAAGCTAACAAATAAAAAATGAATTCTCTTTTATCAACAACACTTCAATAAATCAGCGTTATTTCAATCACGCCATATTATCTACACGTGGAAGAGACGTAAGACAATTCAAACGAAAAACGACTATTTTAACCGGTAGCACTTGATAGAGGCTATAGTATAGCTCCTGCGAACGTAAATATACGGAGCGCGCGCACAAAACAAAAATTGGAGCAAAAATTTTTTAATACCGCGCCCTCTGCTTTTTCTCTAACGATAAAACAGCGTCTGCATTATCGACCCGGTCGTCGTTCGTTGCGTCTACACTCTGTTCCGTTGTCCTAATCATCATCTGGGCCGACACACGAATTTTTCCGACTTTAGACTTTGATTAGGGCGGTGGTAAGTACAGCTTTTCTTCTCAGATTTTGTCACGTTCTAGAATGAGATTTTTCAAAAAGTCCTTGTTAGTCAGCGAAAATTTGTAAAGTTTATCTACGAGTGCGATTTTCGTAACAATCGTCATTCCTCACGACGAGTTGCTTTTGACGATTACATAAAAGCGACCATAACTTGATTGCTCTCGCGCCAACCTTTTGCTTAAAAATACATTTTTATAAAAATTTGTGGTATGCTCTATATAATTTTGATTTCGAACGAACGTACTTCTGTGGAAGATTGAAGTACTTCGCACTGAGGGGAAATTTATTTTGTATCTATATGTTTTTACTGTATTGAGTGGCTACTGGGGAATTATTATACAAGCTTATGATTGTTTAGTTAAGCGTATTGTTGTTAGAATTATTTGGCCAAATGTCATTGTTCCCAAACATACCATCGTTTTATAGTATATTTTTTTATTTGTTTTATAAAAATAAGAATATTGTTTGTGCAATAACGTAATTATTGTCAGGTTAGAAATAAGATATTTTTCACTTTGACACTTTGACAATTTTGATATATGTTTGGGATATTTTGAAATTACTAATGGTAATTTCATTTTCTTTTAAATACTCAATATTTTATAAATTAAATTAAAACTATTATTCTTCATAGATTGGTTAAACAATAACCATGCTGCGCCAAGGAACCAATGTCCTAGTGTTAGCTGCTGCTCAGCAGCAGCAGACACAGCAACGTGGTATGGCAACTTTAAAAGCTATTTCCATTCGTCTAAAGTCAGTCAAGAACATACAGAAAATCACTCAGTCCATGAAGATGGTTTCAGCAGCCAAGTACAACCGAGCTGAAAGAGACCTAAAGCAAGCTCGGCCGCTTGGTCAGGGAGCTAAAATTTTTTATGATCAAGCTGAAGTTACTGCTCCTGAAGGAGAGCCCAAAAAGCTGTTGATTGCTGTGACAAGTGATCGAGGTCTTTGTGGGGCTGTGCACACTGGTGTTGCAAGAAACATCCGCGATCAATTATTGGCCAACCCTGCAGATCGTGAAAATACAAAAATTGTATGCATAGGAGAAAAATCACGTTCCATTCTTCAGCGTATGTTTGCAAAGAACTTGCTTTTCGTTGCTTCTGAGGTTGGTCGTAAGCCTCCTACATTCAATGATGCTGCTAAAGTTGCCATTGAAGTCATGAACAGTGGGTAAGTCATGTCTTCACTGTCTGTTTCTTCTATTATGAGATAAATATTAGATAATTTATGTAAATATTTTTTTGTAGATACACATACGGATCAGGTCAAATCATCTTCAATAGGTTCAGATCAGTAGTATCATATGTTATTGATAAATTACCATTATTTGACAAGGGGGCAGTAGTTAGTGCACCAAAGTTATCAATCTATGACTCTTTGGATGAAGAGGTCATTCAAAGCTATTTGGAATTCTCCTTAGCATCTTTACTCTTCTATGCAATGAAAGAAGGAGCTTGCAGTGAGCAGTCCAGCAGAATGACAGCTATGGACAATGCTAGCAAGAATGCTGGAGAAATGATTGATAAACTCACATTAACCTTCAACCGTACTAGACAGGCTGTTATCACTAGGGAGCTTATTGAAATTATTTCTGGAGCTGCTGCATTGGATTAAGGAGTTTCTAGGAAATTCCGATAGAATCAGGTCATAGAATGTAAAATTTGTCACGTGGAAAAGATTTTTTTGTGGCAAAAATTCAATAACTGGTAACAAACAAGAATCACAACTTTCATAAAGTAAGCAGCAGTGACAAAACATATTGTAAATTTGATTAATCATTAAAAAAAAATTAATATTTGCAAATCTTTTACTTCATTGTAAGTTGAAGATATGGCTATTAATAAATTGAAACACATGTTAAACCTTCAATTTTATTTTTATATTGATTTCCTTTCAAACGAAATTTAAAAATATATTAATATTATTTATTAATGTAAAATAATATTAAAAAGTTATATTATAGCTTATAAAAGAAACATTTTACAGTTCTAAAATCTTAATAAAAATTCATTAGAAAATGTTATTCACTTACTTTTCTCATATATTTTTTTTTGTTTTAAGAATAAAGGAAAAATGGAATAAAGGATATTTGAAAACAAAATTTATGATAATAACAATATAAGATACATTTATTTATCAGATATTTGCACAATTTCTTAAGACCGCCTACTTTTTCATTCCTCTCTTGAAATCACATATTTACATTTGCATTTGTAACATTTTCAGCATTATGAACGCTTAAACTAAAATGATACAAATTTTAACCGATTTCAGTAGAAATTATACTGTCTATCATTATTATAGAGGAAAACTAGATGTATATATATATATATATATATATATATGTATATTGGTATCTGAAAAAATAACGTTAATGAAATTGACAAAATAAAACAAAATTAGTTTAAATTGATTGAAAACTAATGAAGGCACTTGTGCCCTTGAATATCTTGATTGTTATAAATATCGAACTTCTAGAAGAATCTGTATAAACTACAAAGAAATACAGATGTTCGATGAAGAATAATAATTTAAGGATTAAAAAACTGCCGTGAGATTTGTTTTTACGAAGCTTCAATAAGTAATTGCACCTTCAGTATGTACAGGCATCACGTTCAGTTATATTTTTATTTACAATCACATTTGAAAAAGCTTTTCTGCATTTCGTATAAGATTAATCTATTCAAATTTAGAAACAATGCACTCCTATGAGAATCATATTACAAGTTAAGTGTAAATTTTATAAAAATTAAGCTGTTTTGTAAATCCTTAGATTATTTTTCAAATATTTAAATGTGATCATCTATGCATTGTTATATTCCTACTTACGGCAAAGTTTTTCTGTCACTTTGGAAAATAATAATTTATTCTAATGTTCAACACGTTTTTTGGTGTAATTGTTTATATAACAATTTTCAGTTCATTCAGTAATCTAAATTAAATGGTATCGTTATTCTCCTAATTCTACAAAATTATTCAATATTCACTTTCAAAAATTAACAATAATCAATTTTTTTTAATCAATTTTAAATACTTATTTTAAGACTTTATAAACAGAAGAAAAAACATCTTAACATATTGTTTCGCACACGGCAATAAAAGTAAGACTGCGAATGTATAATTCAGAACCATTTAAGGCTGTTTTCAGTCCATTACTGTAGTAGTTATATCAATTAAAAAAAAATTTTTCTTAACATTATCGCTGTAAAATATATTTCACCATTCAGCATCTCCATTGGCTTTTTGGAAAACAAAGTCCTTACCGCTTAAATTCATAATACCATCTTTCAAATAAAATTTCCATTTATTTCGGCTCCTTGTGATCTGAATAAATGTTATTATATAAAGTTTATAATGAGATCAATTACTACTTAATTTTTAATTATTGACATACCTTATCATATTGACAAACAACAACATTTTCAGTATCAAAAAGATCAGTTGGATCTTCATCTGTTACATCATCCTCAGAATTAAGAGGTTCCTAAAAACGAAAACGAAAATCAATCAACACAGTAATTCATCGTGAATTTTAAATACACTTTTGTTATAAAATATGCTTGACACTTACTTCTTCCCTCGCACCAGAATCGTCATTTTCATCATCTTCTTCTTCTCTATCTTCATCTGGATCTTCGTCATCATCATTATCTTCCTCTTCATCATCGTCTTCTTCATCAGACGAATCGCCTGTTACGCCATCTAATTGAATGATGTGACCTGCATGCTGAGAATTAACTAGTTGAGAGAAAAACGTCATGGAACAAGAAGGCAATTCATGTGCAGCTGAGGTTACAGGTCCAGGAAATGCCTGTTGCATTTGATTTGAAGCTAGTCCTTTTGAATCAGAAAAATGGATTACAGTTTTGTAAACAGAACATAATTTTATTTAGTTTAATGGTTTAATTAATAAATGCAACTGCTTATACCTTGTAAAATGGAAGTAGGGTAGTGAAGGGTAACTACTCGTCCAGGTTTTTGGTTATAAGAAGGTACTTTAATTCTTACTGCAAACAGTTGAGGTCTGCTACTCTTGCTACTTTCTTCTGTTACTTCAATATCATCATTATTAAATGGATCCTCTGCAATTCCATCTAATTGTGCAATATTACCATGGGCCTGAAAATATATGAAGTAGTAATTATAGAAAAATATTTTACACAAAAATTTATAATCAAATTTGTGCTAACTTGTCCTTGAATGAGTTGCTGCTGCATAATATTATTAGAACCCGAATCAACAACATGCACTGGTTGTACCTGTACTGGAGTAAAACCTGGTACACCTTCAAATGTAGAATTTACATGTTGCTGCAGCAATGACGTTGCAAAAGGAGTAGGTAAAGATATGGCAGCAGATATTATAGGTCCAGTAAAGAGAGCATGTAGTTGACTTCCTGAAAACATTTTAGCTTGGAGAATGCTGTGTGATTTTATTTGATAAAATTGTCATTGTTGTTTTTCTAATACCTTGTACAGCAGAGGCAGGAACATGAACAGTGATCAGCCTTTCAGGTAATTGACCATGAATAGGTAGTTTTATTTGGATTGAGATTTGCCTATCAGCAGGAACTGCTGCTGCCTGTTGATTCACGTGAGGCTGTTGAGTTTGGGGTATAGTTTGATGATGCTGTTGTATCTGCTGTACTGGCATATTTTGCATGTGTTGCACTTGCTGTGATTGGGCTTGTATTTGTTGGGGCTGAGCTTGAGGTTGTGGTTGGAGTTGAGATTGTTGATTTTGGATATGTGTGGGTTGTGGTGGTGAGGCTTGTTGAGGTTGCTGGGCTTGAGGACGAGGAGGGGAAGATTCTTGTACTTGTGACTGTACATTTGCGTTTGTTTGAACATTGGAGTTTCCTAAAATTATGTATTCGTTTATAACAATTTCCATTTAACATAATCATATTTTAAAAGTAAAATCATTACTTTTCAAACCACTTTTATTCGAAGAAATGTTTTTTGAAACTAATTGAGGTGGCTGTGGTTCAGGAGGTTCAGGATTTAATTCTACAGCTTTGCTTGCCATTAACTTTGTTTCCCATATCTGTTTCAATTCTTGGAGTACTTGCTCATCAACACCTTCATCTAAGAATGCTTCCCTAACTCCTGATATCACATCTTCTATCACTGTGTTGTACAGTTTCAACTAGAATAGTAGATGACGATACAAAGAAATAAGTTTTAATACAAATAATGTTGACTCATACAAACAAAAATAAATACTAAGTAACAAGGCATTTAAGGACTATGTTGAATGAATAAATTATCAAGCGATCATGATTGAACAGTATATACAACACAGACATCTGCCAAATTGAATTTTCTTAAATCAATACTGGAGTATGAAAATCAAGTGATTAAAATCATGGATGGGCTTTACAATTGTTAATACCATTGAACGGTTTTAATCGGCTCAATTCTGACAAAAGTTGAAATAAAGAATGATCGGACGTAAAAATGGGTTCTATTTTTATCGCATTCTAACTGAGCATGGAAGGAATAGAGGAAGAAAGAAAACGATGGCTATCCATGGAGAATCGAAGATAGTGCTGAGCCTATACTCACCACGCTCGTCTGACTGAGGGCCATATTGTCTGTCGCCTAGTTAGACAGCTCTGAATCCAGTAGAACTAAATCCAGCCGCTGAAATTACTTTAGCAAAGCTACAGCTCGCGTTACGACGTGCGTACGAGATAGGCTAAACAAAGAGAGAAGCAATTGCGGATCGGATCAGTGCGATGTTCCAAGTGTGATGTGAAGGCGGCGCGGGACAAATGTAAGATGGTGTCCGGAGTGAGAGAGCCCGCGCCGTATCTCTCCTCCACGGCAGCGACTCACGAGCTCTCTTTTATACGCTTGCCGAGGCTGCGCACACGCACGGAGAAAACGACGTCGCCTATAACACGCCACGAGCGAGAAAGAGATAGCATCACGTAAATGTTGCTTGTGTGAGTGCGCCTACCGCCGCCGCCGCCGTCGCCGCCGCCGTCGCCGCCGCCGTCGCCGCCGCCGCCGCTCTACCAGTTACCACCTCGAACTACGCTAATCGTATAGACTGTAGATCTACCGCTCGATCGGAGATTTGACTGGCCTTGTTGCGCCCTCTTCCGTTACGCGTAATGAGATTGCTTGCGAAAAAAGAGAGAGTGTTTGCGCGGGTGTGAGCCATTCGTTTTAAAGGCAAATCGAGGAAAATTATTTTATGATTGACGGAGAATATTTCCATACTTTTTCAGTTGCGATTACATTTGAAATTAGCTGTGAAACTCACTGGAATTTTAACCTCTTAATTCATGTCGTTTTAGGAAATAATTATTTAATGAATCGCTACAACGATATTTAACGAGTAAAGGTCAATAAAAGTTACGTAATTGTTTACATGCATTGTTGTAGTAGTAAGGATCAGGGTCAGGTCAGGCGGATTGAAAAAGCGATGTATGTACGTATGTACATACATGGGCCATGCGTTCTATACTTTATTTATGAGTTTTCAAAATATATTACAATATTATAACAATGTCTAATAAATGAACGCTTCGGTATTGCATGTATATATCTATAATATGTAGAACACTTTTTGTGTAATATTGTCTTTCAATCTTATATTCCATCAATTTCATTTTATTTGCGTACAAACTAATATAATACAATGTTCCGTGATAATTTGACTAATTTTCGTAGACTTTGGGTAGAATATTACCAAATATTCTTTGTGTATCTAAATATTATTTGTAAACAATAGAATTTTTATTAAATTATTCATAGAAATTGTTATTGTTGCTTTTTTTATTTAATCGAACGTACGAGCAAGCGTGCGGTTCTTGGTCTATGAACTTTCAAAAATCGATAGTTTTCGAATAATCAATGTTGTCTTTCAATAAATCCAATTCGAGTTATTCACTAGTGATCAGCAATTATTTAGATCTTACTCTATTCAAATTTTCCTTTCCCAAATACTACGAAACGTTTTTTCGAGTAGCACGGCCATCCTGTGCGTTTATCGTACAGTATGTAGAAAAATGATATAAACTAAGTGTGTAGATTGTTTGTTCCGTTCGAGCATTAAAACATTGACAAAAGAAAAGCTGAAGTTTTCTTTTATAAGAGCATACAGGCACCTTCAATAATCACTTCAGTGTAATCGTCAGCGAGCGACGTAGAACAGATATATCCTATATGACCATAAAGCGTCAGCATCAATTACAGTCTAGGCAAACTTCAGTGAAGCTACTAGACAGCGGGCGACAAGCATTTCTGATACTAACTACGAAAAGTCCAACAACTATGGACAGTGTTAAGAGGATTTTAACCATTAAACGTTATCTCCCAAACGATCGTTGCAGTAAACGTCATTCGTCCTTAACCTTTTCAGGACGGGAATTTTTGCGTTAAAATTGGACATTTTCTTATACGGTATGATATTTGTACGTAAAATTGAAGAATCCGTCACGTCAAGTGCCCGACAAATTTCATGGTCGAGATTTCGACCAGTCCTGTCTGGGACAAAAAGTCCCATGTAAAAATCTTATTTGTGGAATTAACAGTGCATTCATAAGTAATTGGATGCGCTGAATACGAAAAACATAATAAAAAATGTTCAGAAGACATCTCTGATCTCGAAAATTGCATTTCAAGGTTAAATCCGTTGTTTTCTGTCCGAAATGATATCCGTACGTTTTTGTATGCGTTGGATACAGAAAAATAGTAACGTTTATTATAAGTGTCATTTGCAAGAAATATTTCAGTTTTCGCTCTTAGTATGACCCAGGATCAACAGCGTGGGTGTGACGAAAATTTGATCCCTTTGGAGTGCTTGCTTTTTGTGAATCCCCTTGCCTCTCATCTCAAAATATTTGACTTTATGATAATGTTTCATTGGCTATACGCAACACTATTGTTTTATTGTTTTCGTATTCAGCGCATCACATCACGTGTATATATCAATTGACATGTCAAAATACCGAATAAAAAATTTGACCTTGAAATCACTATCCCCCAAAATCATTCAAAAATATTACGATACTTGAGAGGTCGAAATATCGACCGCAGTCCCGTCCTTAAAAGGTTAAAGTTACGTGCAAGTGGTATATTCGTTGCATATTGTCGTTCCTTTTTTTTTCTAAATAGCTGATTTCGCGGATATTTTCTAGAACGGAACTGATCGTTAAAATGTAATCAACGTGTACTTTCTCTAATTCAGCGCACGTCGCTGGCGGGTAACAATGGCAGAGCTTGTTGGAAATGAAAAACAAGTCGTTAAATTATTATCACGGCACATCGGGCAAGCCTATTGATTGAAAAATTCTCTGCGTCCCGACCAGCAGTAAAGATTCATTTGAGCATTAGCCTCGCGTATAATAGTATCGATTTACCTGTCTATTTTTACATGTATATCATTTTGAAGTCAATTTTTAGTCTGCTCTACGTTCAAACTTTTTTTTCATCTTAGTTTGAAAATCACAAACTTTGAAAGGCATAACGATCCATATAATATATAGTTAGAGAGAATTGAATGGTGTAACGTTAACGTGAATGCTTATCATTTATCGTATATTATGAGCAACCTTATTCGTCAAACCCGTTATTTATGTCCAGTTAAGAGTCGTAAAGTGGACCGTCTATCTTAATTAATCGCAGATGACAATAAAGAAAAGGGGGGGGGGAGACTGCAAGACTAGAGTAACCGACAGAGAAGTCGATCTTTTGCAAGCTACTGGATAGCATAAAAGCATTCGACGAAGGCGGAGAAATACATTCGGACGACTATGCGAGTTATCCGGGCGAGCCGAGAGAAAAGGAAGGCCAATCTATTTATCGGCGGGATCCGCGGACGCCGAAGTTTCGGGCTGCGTCCAGATGTAGCCGGTGTGCGTGATGCTGCAGTGTGCGTCGTAATAGCGGCCGGGCGCCCGACAATAGGACCATCTTGGGCAGCGGCACCTGAACTTGCTGTGGAACTCCTCCTTGCACACCTCGTTCCACCAGCACGTTCTCTGTCGAGGTCAGACATTTAAGAATTTGGACTGCGCAGACTGGAGACTGGAGAGACGTTACCTCGGTCAGGTAGCCGCGAACGCTCTGGTCGCTGTAGTTGCGCTTGGCGACGGCGTGTCGCGAGGCAGCTTCGGTCGAGTAGACCACGCAGAGTAGCAGGCACAGAGCTACTTTGACCTGCGGCGAGACGAGAGGGCGTTTAGTCGATGAGCGTGGCGAGGAGTCGGCCCGCACGCCTGTCGCTGTCGCGGCGTAGACGAGGCGGCCGATCACCTGTGGCACGCGCGACGACCGCCCTGTGCCATCGAGTCGCGAGCAACAGCTGGCCCGCGGCGCAGTGGCACACGCAGGCACGCACGCACATCGCTGACCTACAGACGCGGAGCGGGTCGATCGCAAGGGCGATCGCGAGGGGCGTCTGGTCCGTCGGGCGTGCGGGCTTCACCCGTCGCGTTCGCGGCATACTTACATCGAGCCGCATGCTGGCCCCGTGCGCTGCTCCGCTGAGGTGTTCGCATTGGCGACTGCATCGCCGGGGGGTGTGCGCGTACGATCCCCAGAGTTCACAGGGGCTGTCGGGCATGCGCTCTCGCCGTCCCCTCGCACCTATCCTCCTCCTCTCGCCGATTGACGTAGTGCGCTGATAACGCGCTTGCCCGAGGTCAGTTTCTCTCTCTTTTCCTCTTGCTCTCTCTGTATATGCGTCGTGTGCCCACGCTCCTCTCCTTTCATGCCTCTGCCCCGTATATCATATGACTGATTACTTACCGTATAGGGCATTTGTCGCTGGATGATTTTACTATGGTTCGCTGAGTGGACAATTAATTACTTAGCCCTGTGCATCACTTATTACATTTTCGAATTGCAAATTATGCTTGAACCTGGACACATGTCGTAACATTGTCAAATAATAACTTCTTTAACATGTAATAACGGAAGCAACAATGATATCGTCTTTTACTAATTACTTTTTTCTTTGCAAGACAAATGAAAGTTAATGTACTCGTACAAATCATTCTTAATGAATGTTGTATAAAAATTGCCATTTGAAAACAATTATTCATTTCGAAAATCCCGCCACTCACTGTTATACATGCGCAGTAGCTAATGAAAATTTTCACTCATCTTTATCTAAGTATTATCCATTCAGTGGAATAAAATTTAGTATGTCTTCTGCTATTTGTTAGTTGAAATTTTTGTTCAATCTTTATTCAGCAAAATGGGCTCAAGAGCTTTGCTCGGTCGATGTTTAACTCAACTTGTTAATGGTAATCAAACGTGGTAAGGACACATAAGCATTTATTGTTCTTTTAAACCAAAAATTTTCTTCGTCAAAATATTTATTTCATTTTGTTTTATTTATTTTATTTTAATGTACAAACTGGCCAAAATCTCTGTTCTCTACATAATTAATATAAATAAAAATGACAGCCTCAAGTTATTCGTGTATAACAATAAATCTGTTGTAAAATATGTATTACCTTTTGAAGATATTAAGTTATAACCTATTTCTATATTTTATATAATCAGTCACAATTGTTTATCGAAATAACAACAAAAGCTTTATTTTTTCAATACTGACATATTATTTTGCAGTAAATATCTTTCAAGCTCAGCTGTACTTGGTGCAAAAGACACTGCAAACATAAACACTACATCCCAGATCCATGAAGCTCCATTAAAACCGATTGATAGCTTCTTTACTCCACCTTCATCAAAAGAACACAGTGAAAAAATGAAAGGTCTCATTACTATTGAAAGTGAAGAAAATTATGTTGGAATAGTGTCTGGTGTTCCAGAAGAGCACATTAAAACAAGAACAGTCTATATCTATCAGCCAGCAAAGAATGCTATGCAATCTGGAACCAATAATATCAATTTTTGGCAAATTAGTTTTGATACTAGAGAGAGATGGGAAAACCGTCTGATGGGATGGTGTTCTTCGTAAGTAAAATTAGTAGAATTTTCTTTATTTTTTTATTAATATCAATTTAATATTTTGAGTCAATGTCAAACCAATTAACTATATTACAGTGGTGATCCTTTACAAGCAACAAGAGTTAATTTCCAAACCGAGCAGGAAGCTGTAGAACATTGCAAACGTATGGGCTGGAATTATATTGTTCGTAAGCCAAATAGAAATGATCCAAAGCCACGTTCTTATGGTAACAACTTTTCATGGAATAAGCGCACAAGAGTTTCAACAAAGTAATTTCCAATAGTGTTTTTATCCAATAGTTAATACATACTACAAGGATGATTGTATGGTAGTGTGACTTTAGAAGGTAGTACACAAATTTAAGAATGAAAATTAACTCAGCTTATTGAATATGATACTTGTCATATGAATATGAATCAATTCAAGGTTGTAATAAGAGGAATATAATGTACATAAATGGGTAAGGTTTTCAAATGTGAATAAAAAAACACTTGTTATCGATAAACTCCACTTTTTTATTAATTAGGAGTAGTTATATAATACTTTTTATAATTTAATATTATTCACATTATTAGTAAAACAAGCAAAAGGTACTAGGTATAATCGATAGAGACTAGCTCATCTTTCTCACTATTTCCATACTTTTTTTTGGTTTGTTAAGTGTCGTATTTGAATTATCGCTATTATAATAAAATATCTGATAGAATAACTGCTCCGTATAATATTGCTGATTTCTTGTTATACTATTGGCCCTGACCGCAAGAGCCAGTTAGCTTAGGAGTCAAAAATCGTAATTCTGATTTTGTTCAAATAATCGTACTTTGTTTTGCTTTCTTTTACATCGATCGTTCGATCCGGCGCTCTACGAGGATGCCTTATTTTCTGCGGGCATCCATCGCGCGCCGACAAAGACAATAATAATTACAATGATGTCCGCAATGACGTCAATATAATAATATACGCGCAGTAACAACAACGATTGTGGATGCAATGCAAATGGCGATGCTTAGTAAAAGATAATATAACTTCGATATCTGAAAAAACGATGGCGCTTCTTACATCAACCAACATTTTACATTATTTATATGTATTATTTATAATTAATTGTCCTACGCAGTTTCTCCCCGTTCTCGTTAATTTATTTATCAACAATGTTAAACGTGGCATTTATCAACGAGGATGTGCGTTATGCGAGCGTGTACTAAAACGAAAAATATGACTTGCAATTCAATCGATTTTCCCAATGTACGCTTTCCGTCTTTGCCTTTCATTTTTTGTTTCTTTTATCAAGCAATGGTGCTTAGTGAATACGTACATGTATAATATGCGTGTGCACCGACAAATGAAATGATCGAGTGCTCTGTTCTCTTCTATATAACTTCGTCTCTTCGTTATTCGCAATTGCAGTAGTGCAAACGTCAAAGAAGGAAAAGAAAATAATTCAATTTATAAATGAAATTTCGAAACATCATTCAAAATCTGATTTCTAAACGTAAATATCGACTGAATATTCATATATAATTCTGTTCCTTCTTTGTTGCAATTTCTCTTCTTTTTTTATTGTTTTGCGTAATTAGTGTGCGTAATTATTTTCACGTTTGAAATTCGCGAAAACGAATGCTCGTCTGCGTGCTTTAGTAGATAAAGAAAGGGTGTGCCCGTTGCGCTATGTATTTGGAGAATTGATCGTTCGGCAATACTTGAGTCGTTCTGAAAAAAGCCTATATGAAATCAGAGAATCTTAAATACTTCTTTCTGTACTTTCAAATCGTTCGACTCGATCTTGATGACGAGCGTTTTTATATCGATGCTTAGAGTTGAATATTTTTGTCAAAGTTCATCAGCCACGAAGTCAAACGACTTGAAATGAAGGTACCAGAGCAAGTCTTAACTATATCAAAGGTATATCATTGGCACGCATACGGCATCGAGATCATCGATTAACCGGGGAAGAACTCGAGTAAGCGACGATCATTTTTTTACGGAATTAACAACTATTACACTTTAGTTGTACAATTCACCACTTACTCGAAATTAGTTTTTTCTTTTATTTTTCCTTTTTTTTTATTATTGCACTTTAACAATTCTAGATTGCAATAACGAATCTACATCTGAAGACATTAATCGACGCCACTGACTCCTAAAATTACGTTTTTATAGGCCTTTGATTGTATTATTTTTACTGTATTTTTTTCCATTTTTATGCACAGTGTGATGCAAAAAGTATTACGCGACCTTATACTTTCGTTTCCGTTTTGTTTTTTTTGAATCAACAATTACCGCACTAACAATATCTGAGATATTTTTTCAAATCAATAAATAATCAATAATTCTAGAAGAAAACTTGCGTTTTTATTCCTTACGAATTTTTGTTATCTAAAAGTGTTTTAATTTTTTTTTATTCTGCTTTACGATAATATTATAGAAAATTGACCCAGTAAATTTACATCGGTATTTCGTATACTATCTCAAGCGAGATTTCCGTGGGATTATCAAATAAAGACAGGAATGCGGAAACGCGCGCGCTTATCTCGCGGTTTTATTTCCGTGGATTTCTTTTTTCTTTGTCGCGCGGGTAACGCGTCAGCCTTTTTTGACCAGCCGGTGCACATTACTTTTTATTTCTCTTATCATCCTCCGTTTTAATATCCAGCTTTTCTTTTTTTCTCCGCAGTGTATATATTCGGCTTTTCTTTTCTCTTCCCTCGTGGCGGCTATTATATTGTCAATGACCACTGCTCCAGTTGACGAGCAAGCGAGATGCGAAGAACATTTGCACGGTTTTCATTTAAGTTATTTAAGTTCTTTAAATGAATAAATTGATCCCGAAAGGATTTCAGCGCGGCTGTCATGGCAATAATCGATAGCTTTATTTATAAACAATGAAACTTGAAAGTGACTGATTCTTAACTCGATGAAGTAGGATATCTTTTAGTCGTGCCGCGATGAAAATCAAGTGACGTTGGATGCGGGAAGACAATAACATAGTTACGCGATCTTAACCGAATGAAAAGATGTTTTATCTGGCATCGTATTGTTTTTCTCTCTTTTCTTTTTTTATTGAAGCAATTTTAGTTGACACGGCGTCAACCGTTTGAAAGATTCTAGTCGCTATATAACGCTGTGGTCATTACGCGTATAATTATCATTTTGTAAAGTATTCAAAGCTCATTATTTTTCTCTCTTAATCGAGATACTTTTTTTGTCACTCTATATCTATAGTCGACGTAGCTGCCACCTTAGAAGTAAAAAACGAAGGGTTCGAGAAGAGAAAGCTCTACTTAATCGCACTAACTGGACTCGTAAAAAATGTTAAACCTATTGTTCCTTTGCGTCCTCTGGCATTATTGAAAACTTTTTCGCGGCTCGAGAGTTGGCTCACACAATGATTAACTTATCAAAAAGGAGTTTGATTTTACAATTAATAATGCAGAATTCAACGAAGCGAATCAGTATTGATATGTAGCGTACATTGCTCATTCACGCACGACAAAGCATAGAGACAGACATTGCTTGCGAGCTCTTTGCTTTTAACTTTTAATTCCTATTCATACAAAGATTTAATTATTATACTTTATTTTCTCGAACATCTCTCGCGTTGTGGCTAAATATAATTACGCGACGTACCCTATACGAGTGAATTCATATTAACATACATTTTTAGTTTACTTCGATCTACTACACGTATCCTGATTTAAATTACGTTTATATGATTGTACGGTTTCTGTCTTTGTTTTCATCTCCCTTATTTCGTTTTTTTTTGTATTTATTTGAATCTTTTTTAGAACTGACGAATAAACCTCGATTAAATTTTAAGTATTTTCTGCGTTTAAGCTGCTTTTTATGGGGTATTATCGGTAACAGGATCAATTTCTACATAATTTTCTCAAGATCCGATAGTGGTTTTTTTTTGTCAATGAGTTACACAATTAGTTATTTATTCGATATTTCAAGCCACCGTATCTTGTCATTGACGATTTATTCATCAATAACACTTGTTAACTCTGTTGAAGGTGCATCAACGTTACTCAATAATTGACTTATTTAATTCAGTTTCTTTACTGTCGCGCTCGCTCTTTCTCTCGCATACGCTATTTACACAATAAATCTTGTAATATTCTATAGTCGCGCACGAAGCGCGTTCTGTAAGTTTATCTAAGGCGACATTTGGAAAATGGCCTCGTCAGCGCCTTCAACGAATTTTTTTTCGTATATATCTTTATTTTTCTTTTTTTTTTTTTTTTGAACACCACTAACCCGTTCTTTTTGGTTCGCTCGGCACGTATGTTTTTTTTTATTCCGGAAGATTGTCGCGCGAAGCCGATTGTGTGTATTTCAAAGGATTTCATTTCAGGATCCGATCGACAGTCCATTATTCAATAATATAACTATATAACTTTTTGGCCTTCGCCAATCGTCATTCATTCTATACTCCAAGGGATTTGCGTGTTTTTTTAATTGCATCATCATCTCAATCACTCGTGCAACGGCAGGCAATTAAATGTACCTACATAGTAATATCGATAATGCATTTAATAATCGGCAAAAGAATCCATAGAGACACAATTCAGGCAGTACATTATTTTGTTGTTCTCGTTTATTGTTTTTTACCGACTGCACCTAAGACCGACTTAGCTTATTTCACATACATCTCTACTTCTCTCGTCTTGCGAATTGTTCGATCCATTTGCTGTTTTATATACATGTAAAAATGCCTATCGCTAAAACCAGTTACACATGAAACTTCGTTGGGCTATTATTATTTTGCTCTTTTATTGAAATGTTCGTAGGTCTTAGTGAAAAATTGTAGTGGCTAGCCTTAGATACGAGCGTTCACCATCTCTTAATTAAATATGTATATACTTAGACCAGTTAATACGCAGAAGTAGTGGAAGTTAAGGCTACCCTTGAGCTTTAGAATCTTAATGTGAATGTGTCTAACGATAACAATCTCTGTCGAGTTTCGCGTCGCTAAAATATATAAAATTTAAAAGATGAAACAAAGGGATAGAGAAGACCGAGGCAAAGTGACACCCCATTGATATAAGATTAATATTGGAAAGTAAGCTACGTTCTTTGATGTGTATATAAAAATTGGAACCGAGAGAAAGATGACTTTACCGTGGTCTCTTCTATGTGATAACGAGCGTCATTGAAAAATGGGTCGTTCCTTGTTCGCTTGTAGACGCTCCGTGCGTATATCAGTTGTTGAAAAGCTAGGTGGTAAAGACGGTCTGCTCTGTGCAGACGACATTTATACAAGTGGCTGCGATGCGAGCCGGAAAGGCGAGCGCCGCGCGGCGATCGATGGACGTGTTTTCGCGGCGGCCGACACGGCGCTCGGCGTGCGAGGCAAAGGCTGGCGGCCGGGGGGGGGGGGGGGGGGGGTGGGCTGCTTAGACGAAGCCAGCGGGCTGGGATCAGCTGGCGGGCTCCTCGTCGAGGGGCTCGCGGTACTCCTCGCTCTCGCGGTGCACGAGCACGTGGACGACCGTCGCCTCGGACTGCTGGCGCAGCAGCGGCGGTCGGCCCGGGCCCGGCACCGCCGGCGCCGGCGTGGCGCTCTCGGGGCTGGGCTTCGTGACCAGGATGCTCACGTCGCGGCCGTCGGTGATCGTGGCCGGCTGCGACTGCGAGTGCGAGGCCAGCTGGTGCGCCAGGCTCGGCGGCTGGGGCGCCGGACGCCTGCGCAGGCTGCTGCAGCGCCGGCTGAGCGCCTCCTTGATCTCGCGCAGCGGCATGTTCAGCGAGAGCGCGGTGCCGCTCGGCCGGAGCGAGTGGCTGCGCTTGTGCTGCACCGGCGGCGAGGGCGCGTCCTCGTCCGTCTCCACGGCGTCCTGGCGACCCAGCGTTGGACCCGACGATCTAAACCCAAGCAACCACGTCGTTAGCTCGCTGCCCCAGCGGACGCCTCGCTCTAGCTCTCTTTGCGGGCCAGAGTCTGGCTCTCTCGGCCTTGAACGTCTCTAGGCTAGTCTAGCGCGCGGTGATGCTTCTACGACTGGCGCTCGCACCCTAAGGTTCGCTAGTCTCAAAACGGCACGACAGCTCTATGAAACTTCTCATAGCTATGTGTAAATGACCTGCAGCGTTTGTGTGCGTGTTGTATATCAAAGTACATCAGTCGTCAAAAGTTGGCGTGTCTCTCCCAATCTCATTACACGCGTGAGTGCGATATGACGTTTGCATGGATCTCCAGTGATGATGTTGTCGGTGTACATACATAAGCTTATATGCGGTCGCACGGGAAACAAAAAGGAGAGCAGCGCTATGCGGGAATGAGAGCTCGAATGTGAACGCAACGAGAAAAAGAAGAAAAACTCACAAAGGCAAAAAGTAGGCGTTCATAGTCAAGTAAATAACGAGAAAGCAGTTTGGGCGGATGGCTCGAAGCGGCTGCTGCACATACGCAATAAAATGCCTCTATCAAGCGGCAGAGGAATTGTTTCATCAAAATATACGAGGGAAAGTTTCGCCCCAATCTAAAGTCACTAATGAAAGAGCTGATCCTGCGGCGCGGGACAAGCTCTTCATCGTTGCCGCACTAAGACTTTACGATCAGCCTGCGAGAGCAAAGGTTTCGAGGAGTGGCCGTGCGACCAAGTGTCGGGGCCCGTTTGCGATCGCAGAACGGCTCTTCGATCCTCCTCGAGGGAGGACAACGGGACAGGCTCTGACGAGTGGCCCTCGAGCGCCAACTTTCCGTGATCGCAACGCGGAAGCCGCCGCTAAAATGATTGATGCGTTGCTAAGAGTATTGAAAAACCAACTGGAATAAAAGTTGAGAAGGTGGTCGTTTTACCTACGGTAGCTTTATAGCTTAGTAAGATCGGCTTCTTCGCGCTCTGTGGCGTACAAAAGGAAAGTAAGAATAAAAGAGTTTAGTATATAGAGGACGAAGAGGAGGTGAGGCGTGCGATGTCGATGGCAGGCGTGGAGATACGCGAGGCGCGGCGAGCTTGGCGCGGACTCGTACCTGACGGTCACGTGAGAATCGGAGCCCGAGCTCGAGGCCGCGGATGGATGCTCGGCCGTAGGCGAGGGACGAGAGACGGTGAGGGCGGGTGGCTGCAGGTCCTCGTGGGTACCGGTGGCGCCGGAGAGCATCAACAGGGGGAAGTTCTGGAAGAACATGGCCGAGGCTTGGCCCAGGTCGCTGGCGTCACTGGCGTCGCTGGCCCTCGAGGACTTGCGGCTGCTGGCCCGGCTGCCCCTGTGCACGTGCAGCAGGGCCGACAGCTTGCCCCCCCATCCGCTGCTGCCGCCCCTACCGTCGCTACCCACGCCGCCGGGGCTCGAGGTCTGCGTCTGCGAGTCCACCTCTTGGGCGATCCTCTCCCTCTCGCGCTTGTTCCTGCGAACAGACGCCACGCGTCAGCTGGCGCCGGCCACGCTGACCCGCTGCCCCGCTGCCCCGCTGCCCCGCTGCCCGCGCACTTACGCCAGGTAGGCCCGGAAGCCGCGCTGGATCTGTCTGGCGGCCTTGTCCTGGCGCTTCCAGATGCGCGTGGAAGACACAATCTCCAGCTCCTTGCGCGTGGGGAACTGCTTCTTGAACTTGACGTCCATCTGCTCTTGCAGCTTCTTAAAGTCATCGGACTCCTCCACGTGGCCCAACACATGCTTCACCAGAGCGTGCAGTATGTCCAGGCAGTGGATCTTGTTGCCCTTGGCGATAGGAAGGTTGAAGCTCACCAGCGCCACAACGTTTGGCTTCGATATCCCCAAGGGCGGGTCCAGACTGGCGATGAAGTCGCTCAGCTGCGAGAACCGGATGAACTGCGTCGCGTGCGGGTCGTACCTAGCGAGAAGAAACAGAGGTCGTTTATCTAGCAGCAGAATAGAGGTCGGTCATCGGTCCGCGGGCGCGCGCACTCACTTTGACCAGCGGATGTAGAACATCTCCAAGTCGTCCTCGACGATGCCGATCTCCTCCTCCTGGTGCGCCTGATTGAAATTCTCCAGGATGATGGCGATGTACATGTTGATGACGATCATGTAGTTGATGATGATGAAGGAGGTGAAGTAAGTGATGGCGAGCAGCGGGTAGCCGCAGTCCCCGTTGAGCTTGCGAGGCGTGGGCGTGGCGTCGCAGTCGGGCGGCTGCACCATCAGCGACTCCAGCACGTCGTTCCAGCCCGCCGAGGTCATCAGTCGGAACAGCAGTTGCATGCTCCGACCGAACGTCTCGAAGTTGACCTGTCGCATCAGCGAAGCGGATCGATGCCGAACGCACGCCCACGAGCCAAGTGTCTCTCACCATGTCGTTGAGCGCGCCCTGCTTCTTCACGTGACCGAACACAGACATGCCGATGATGGCGTAGATGAAGGTTATGAGCGCCAGCAACGCGCCGATGTTGAACAGGGCCGGCAGGCTGACGACCAAGGCGAACAGAAGCTTTCTGATCCCCTTGGCGGCCTTGATCAGTCGAAGTATCCTGCCGATCCTGAACACTCGGACTACGCGCAGCAGCGTCGGCGACACCGGGAAGTCGATCATTATGTCCTCCATGAGGATGCCGAGGATCGAGGCGAGCACCAGCAGGAAGTCGAAGATGTTCCACGGCACGGTGAAGTAGTGGTAGCGCAGTCCAATGATTTTGACGATCGCCTCGAGACCGAAGACCGTCGTGAAGAACGCATTGGACACCTCCAGCACGAAGAATATCGCGTGCGGCTGGCCGTAGTGCTCGATGCCCATCGTCAGCATGTTCAGGAATATCAGCACGAAGATTGCTATTTCGAACCTGAAGCCACGTTCGAATCAAGGCGGTGAGCGAGGCGAGTGCAGAGCCAAAGGAAGCAAGCTCGATTAATTACCTCCTGGAGTTGGACAGGTCGTAGAACATCGCGAGAATCTGGTTCATCGGACGTTTTATCACCTTCTGCGGCTTTTTCCGGCCGAGCTTCTTCATGGCAGTGTAGTAGTGTTTCTGGCTCTCGGTCAGAAACATTTCTAGCACGCCACCCTCGTACTAAAATTAGAAATTGGACGAGCCGATTGATTCGCAGTCAGCAGAGAGGTGGCAGAAGCAGCAGCAGCAACAGCGGCAGCAGCAGCAGCAGCAGCAGAAGCAGCAGCAGCAGCAGCAAGCGAAGAGAGACCGTATCAGTTAATTGCCTTTCGATTATCCGGCTCTTAATGATAGCTTTTACTCGACTGTTATATCAATTTGGAACGCGCTCGATTTGAGTCCGATTCGGACCTATCGCTGGACTCACTTTTTTTTTAAGCATGTTGAAGTTGTCGATGATAACTCCGATGAACAGATTCAGGGTGAAGAAAGAACCGCAGACGATAAAAATCACAAAGTATATATAGGCCGGCAGATTGGCCTCGCGGTGGGGTTGCAAATCAACACCCCGCGCATCGACTGCGTCGTTCATCACCTCCATCCAACCCTCGAAGGTCGCCACTTGGAAGAGAGCCAGGTAGGCCACGCCTACGTGGTCGAACGTGATCTTGCTGTTCTCCCAGGTGTGGTTCAGTCTAAAGCAATCGTCCTTCGTGTCTACCACCTGTTAACGCAAATGCCGCGTATCACTGCCAGCTCGAGACATCCGCGTTCCGCTTACGCCTGACGACTTACGGATATATCGAGGACCTCGCCGAGCGCGTTGGTGCACTTGTAGAATTTGCCCCCGAAGAACTGCACTCCCATGATGGAAAATATCAGCCAGAATACCAGGCAGACCAGCAGCACGTTGAAGATACTGGGTATCGCGTACATCAGGGCGTTCACCACTATCTGCGCGCATGAGTTCATCTCGTTATCGTCTATCGTCGCGGTTCTCGCGGACGGAATGCGTTACGCGATCTTGGAACTCTTGAAACACTCACCCTCATGCCTTGCCAGCGGGAGATTGCTCGCAGCGGCCTGAGCGCTCTGAGGGTCCTCAGAGAGCGCAGCACTTTAAGGTTCTCATTCTCTTCTATTAAGAGACTAAACAAGGATACCTGCGAAACGAAAGATCTTTACTCGACTGACACCGATCGCGAAAGGCGTTAGCTACACCGCTTTTCATGCCAAACAGCATAACTTCTCAGTATCAAATTTATGAAAACTACTTATTGCTTTTTTATTGGATCTCATTGTGCGGTAATATTGTTTGTTTTCAAGACTAAGTAAAGATGAATTGTTATTTTTACGAAAGACATTGCATCTGAATAGAATAAGATACTTAAAAGTATACGCTTAAATGTAAATTAGAGCGCTGCTGACGCCCGTACGCAATGTATAATAATGCCGACTGTCCTGATAAGAAATAGCCAGCTGCGTTTCCTCATCATTTTATTTGTCAATCTCCTTGAGGAAAGGGGCCAAAATAATGCAGTCGGCCGAAGCTCATTTCCAATCAGGTCAATCGACTTTCAGAGTTTCAAATCTCATGCTACGCTGTTCTACTCTTTATATAATCACGAAAAATCGAGTAAAGTGCCTTCTACCAAGATGCTTCAATGCACTCTACTAGAATACCCACGTGTCGCCATTTTATTAAAGTGAGAGAACTATTTTCGTGATTTTACAGAGAGTAAGAAGTCCAATCACGACAACCTCACTCGATCGCTGACATTTTTAAAGGACTCGCCGACTGACGTGTACCTGCATATAAAATGTGTTATGTACAAGCTTATCTCGATCTCCTATCGTCAGAGGAAAAAATGCTAACAATTGAGCGGTTGTCGATAACAGGATTTTTTACCCTTGGTCTCTTTTTCGATAAGATGACAAATAGCGACTACACGGTATCCACTCTGCTTCAGCTGCTCATTCACATCGACAAATGCGAAAAGCTTTCGAAATAAAGACATTTAGGAAATAATAATCGATCGTGCTGTTTCTTTTTTATCTGTTTACTATCTACTATGTGAGCTGCTCCCTAGATGTATGAAAAATGATGAAAATAAGCCATTAAGCATCAGCGCAAATGAAAATAGAGAAAGTTTTTGTACAAAAGTATAAAGTCTTATGATATTGGTATATGTACAGCAATAAATCGAAAAAAAACGTGCCTAAAGGTCATTGCTGCAGTGAACATAAGAAAAATCAAACTTGAAGTGTGATATTCAAATCTCGCTGCTGTTTTAATGTTTATGTATTAATATTTTTTCAACGGGGACTTATGATTTCGACATACCTGCTCCCAGATAGGTGACACATAAAACATACAGACATAAAGGAGAAAAAACACGCAGAACGACGTCTTTGCAACACTCAAGGTGCTCATATATAGTTATATTACTCATTTTTTAAAGCGTTCATATTTAATATTCATCGTTATATGAAAAACACATTGTGACAACGCGTGCATAACATGGCGCAAATATACAATGCATAGCTCCAAAATAGATGCGTTTTGCTTTTCATTTTTCACGACTCGATTTGCTCATCTTTCATGAATAAATGCACTTGTGGCAATGTGATGTACGCGCGTCAAACCAACAATCTTAAAAAAAGAAAAGAAAAAAAAATTCGTCGACACGTAATAAAAAAAATGTATCTCATGCTCGTTCGAGAACAATTGGAAACTGATAAACGCCATTGACTTTGCCTGAGATAATCTCAGACGACAAAATAACCAACACCGAATGAACACATCACGTGAAAATATCGTCCTTCGCTAACTCGAACGAAAAATAAAGACGAAGACGAGCGAAGGCATGCAGATTGATACTTACGAAAACGATTATAAAATCCAGGATTGTCCAGAAACTGGTGAAGTATTTACAGTAACCCAGAGCCAACCATTTAAGCAACATCTCAACGACAAAGAGCAGGGAGAAAGTGAGATTGGTCCAGTAGAGGATGGTCTTGAGGGCTGGATTGTCGTCTAGGTAGATATCCTCGAAGCACAGGGTGATGGACGAGGAGAAGATGAGCACCAGTATTATCCATTCGAATACCGGTGTGTCGACGACGGACAGTACGGCCGTTCGGACTTTTATCCACTTGTAGCCTAGGTCCGTCTCCAGACACTTGTTTATACACTTGCACCTGGGGTGGAAAGAGCGCGCTAGTTAGGTCGCGGACACGGACGGAGGCGGCGCTTACTCACTTTTCGTAGCAGTGCTGCGGAAAGCAGTCTGGCGGGACCTTGGCCTGCTTGCTCCTGCCGAAGCCAGGGAAGGCCTCCATGCCGCCGTCGGTGTACCTGCCTTGACTGTCGCGTCTTCCACCTACAGTCAATTCGTCTACATAGCTCACTAGTGCATGCCACGACCGCTTATCCTCGGCCTTCTTACTGGGTGTTCTTTCTGGACCTTGTTCCGACGCGGCCGCTTCTTCGGCCTTACTTCTCGCGTCCTTGAATACTGACATCTCGATGGCTTCGGCTTCCTTTTCCTTCCTCTTTTCGTCTTCGCTGCTGTCTTTGGTGGTATTCGTGGTGGTGGTGGTCTGCTGCTCGAGCTCCGACCACGGCGCCGCGCTCGACTGATAGATCGGGTCGTACGTGAACACCGGCTGGCTCAGGTTCTTTTGATAGGACTGATTGTAGATGTTCTCCTTGGACAAGCTCAGCACCGTCTCTTGAATGGCGTACTTGTCCCTGTCGGATTTGTCCATCACCTCTCTGACGATCTGCTCGAGTTTCTTGTCGTTCTTCTCGTTGTCGGCGTGCTCCTTCTTGTACTTCTTCTTCCTGACGATGGACCTGATGCGCTCGAAGGACCGAGCGAGCTTCGACTCCTCTCCCACCTCCTCCTTCTTTTGCTTGAGCTCCTCGCTGTTGAAGCTGTTGAGCAGCAAGGCCAAGAAGAGGTTGAGCACCATGAAGTTGCCCATGACGAGTGCCGGCAGGAAGATGGCGAAGCACGTCCCGGGACCTTCGTCGCGCTCAGCCCGCATGCAGTCCCACAGTGGCTCGATCCACTCGCCGCACAGGATGCGGAAGATCATCATGAACGAGTGAAAGAAATCGTTGAAGTTCCAGCGCGGCACCGGGTCCGGCTCGAACTTGTCCAGCGTGTAGTCCTTGCTGAACAGCTGCATGCCGATCACGGCGAAGATATAGATCACGATGACCAGGACGAAGGTCAGGTTACCGAGCGCGCCGATCGTCGATATGATGATGCTCAGGAGCACCTTCATCGTCGTCCACGACTGCGCCAGCTTGAGCACGCGCAGCAAGCGCAGCCCGCGGATGACCGAAAGCCCGTCGACGAGCTCGAACGCGAGATCGATCAGCGACGCGGACACGATGATCAGGTCGAAGGTGTTCCAGCCGTTGTTGAAGAAGTCCTTGCTGAGAGCCAGCAGCTTGAGGAAGCACTCGAAGGTGAAGATGCTGGTGAAGACCTTGTTGCCGATGTTGAGCGCCTGCCGGATGGACTCGCTCATGCCGTGGTGCTCCATCGCCAGGAAGCCCGTGTTCAGCACGATGCACAGCGTGATCGCCAGCTCGAACAGGGGGTCGCGCACCACCTTGTACAGGCAGTTCTGGAAGCGCAACCAGCGCTCGTAGTCGCCGCAGCACTGGATACACCCGTCGCAGTTTCTGTCTGGCAGATCGTCTGCAAGCAGGCTCGTCACGATCGATCGTACGCTGCTCGGGCTAAGATCGCCGCGGACATGGAGATTACCTAGAACCACGATGTGCGAGAGGTACTCGGGAGGCAGCGAGTAGAGCGGCTTCTTGGTCTTGAGGCCGTTGCACTTGAGCACCCTGATCTCTCGGTTGCTCGTCTTCACGGCAATGGCGATGGGTCCACCAGCAGGGAACTCCTGCGTCGGCTCCTGTTGCTGCTCCAGCTGCTGCACTGGCGCGCCTTTCCTCTTGTCGAGGTGGTGTCTCTCCGGCGCTCGGTGCTCCCTCTGCGCGCGATGCTGCTGTGGCTGCTGTTCTTGCTGCTGCTGCTGCTGCTGCTGCTGCTGCTGCTGGTGCTGCTGCTGCTGATGCTGCTGCTGGTGGTGCTGCTGGTGCTGCTGGTGTTGCTGGTGCTGCTGGTGTTGTTGCTGGGGATCGCGGCGCTCGTGCTCCTCGGTCGACGTGACGTCGTCGCCGTCGTGGTCGTCGACGACGCCCGAGTCGTCCATCGAGGACTGCTGATTGCTGTTGTTGCTAGCCTGTCGCGACTGCAGCATGTTTCGGGGCGCCAGCCTGTGCACGAGGTTGCTCTCGGCTGCGGCTGCGGTGGCGGCTCCGGCTGACATGCGAGGAGGCACCTGCGGTGGTTGCTGCTGCTGAGCTTGCTGCTGCGCTTGCTGCAATTGCTGCTGCTGCTGCTGCTGCTGCTGCTGCTGCTGTTGGCGTTCGGATGCCGCATTTTGCTTCTGCTGCTGCTGCAACTGCAGCGGCAACTGCAGCGGCAAGTGGGACGGCCGGGCAGACGAATGCCGTGGGCTTGGACTAGGACTTGGCGTCACAGATCTACGTTACGATTATAATCATTCATCGTGCTAATTAGCTCATTTATCTACTTGACTTTTTTTAGGGTGATCGACGTTTTCATGGCTTTGTTTACTCATACTTTCTGTAAAGGCAACAGTCGTTAATCGATCATCCTGACGCGAATCGTACGAATGATAAGGCGGAAAATTTTTTTTGCTTTTTGTCGCATGAGCATTACTATGAAACAATAAAGGTTATCAATGTACATCTGAAATAGAAACAAACTAATGTAGATAGAATCTCATTAAATTGTGATCGAAGCGTTGGACTTCCGGAAAACAAGGTAAACCACGGAGATTTGCTCGCGCGAGTCACGAAATCCGAAAGTTCCATGTAGATGAATCCGAGCCGATAAAAAAGCACGCGCTCCAAACATTCACAGCCGACCGAAAAAACGAGAGAGATTGTACCGAACATTTCTTTCGTGCCAAAACTCCGAATGTTGCTCGCGATCAGGATACATCGCCGTTCGTTAACAAGGCATCGCGCGCGAGCGAGATTGTGAACGCGAGGCCAGATGGAACTGAAGAGAAAAGGGGAAAATGAAAAGGAGATAAAGGGCTTCATAAACCGTAGGTTTCGTAATCGGTAATCGCCGCGGCTCACCCAACCTCGTGCGTGTAAAAGCCAAGGGTAAAAGCCATACAGGTGCGTAGCGGTCACGCGATCAATCGAGTATACGTATGAAAAATGAAAGGGTGGTAAGAGGAGGTGGGACTGTCGCGAGTCTAAAATCGACTTGTGGCGATAATCGGTCACCGTCCAAAATGTGGCCATTGCCGTAGATTGCAATCGCGCACGAGGTTTAGTGCTAATAAAGCGTTCAGTCACGAAGCTGAAATTTTTTTTTTTTTTTTTTTATGTCACAAGTCGATGTCTTGAGCAAGATTTCGGTGGGTATTTTCATTCAATAGGAATTTAAAAATAAATCTACTGATATTCTGATGGTGATGTACTTTGACAATACCCAAATCTATTTTCGTGAATGTACGCGAGTGTTAATTGCATCCTCGCTCTCTTTTGTAAATTATAATTGACACTTCGGCGATTTAGCGCGTTTTTCGAAAATGCTGGACTAGGAAAGTGATCCAATTAGGTCGGAATGGAAAATCGATAGTACCTTAATATGCTTTTCACGCTGGCAGGTATTGCACTATTGATCCTCGTAGCGGTCTTTGGAATTTAGTTACAAGTTCCAATTTAATTAACCTATTTACAGTAGCTCGCGAGGCAGCGAAAAGGAGTAAATGGAAGGGGTGGGGAAGCGAGAGATAACGAAGCTTAGGCCATATACATAAGTACAAAACAAACTTGAAGAATGAGCTTTCGTCCGGCCTAGCTGAATGGCCGAGATAGTTGGCGAAGTTAAAGCGTTGATTATTCGAGAGTCGATTGCACTGATCTGCCGTAGGCAAAACAGTACGTACCTGCTGCGATTGCCGTTGTTCTTCTCGTGACCCACGGTACTCCTGCCGCGTTTCCTTCTGCGCGTCCTCTTGCGCGAGTAGCTGCTCAGCAGCACACCCTTGCGAGCGTCGATCTTGCGCTGCTTCTCCTTCGTCAGGGTTTTGATGTTGATCTTGCTCGGATCGAAGCTGAACGTCGAGTCCTCCCGGTGATCCGTCAGATCCTTTTTCCGCTCCTGAGGTTTATATCAGTCATTCGTTTGTCTTTCCTTGGACATTGTTCCTCCGCGGATTCACGAGTCGATAAGAGATATTATTCTCGACGTTGTGTTAAATATGAGTAACGGTCTTGTGCAGGGATTATTTACTTTTTGTACGACTGGCTGATTTACCGCTGCTCGCTTTTCCAAATACCAAAATCGATTGCCTATTGTAACTTGAAATACTAGTGTTTCACCTTTGTCTAATTGCTTTTTTGCCTTTTTGTCGATTGTGTGGTCAAATGAATCTTATTTCGCATTGGTCGTAATTGAAAAAAAAAGAGAAAAAAAGGAAAAAAGAATACAAACATAAAAACAACAATGCGTTCGCGAGTAAAAGCCTCTTGCTTGTTTCGACGCCACGGACACCGGGATGAAAAAATATTATCCCAGGGTCATGAATAAAGATGCAGCGCGCTCGAGCGCCATTCGGCTAGCGAAAGGAACGCTTCGCGAATTGAAAGTTAGTGTTTCCACGGGCTTAAGCGCGATAGAAAGTTGCATAATTTACTGGGAGTAACGGAAAAAAAGCTCATCCGCGCGTGCCCCTGTTATTCGTTCCGCCGAAGCAAATTGCCGCGGTAACGAGTTGGCGAGATCGAGGAAAGAGTGATTTGTCGCCGCGCAATTAACTTGACCCGATGCCTCGAACAAAATCAGTTCCAGTCCTGGCGCTGCGATTGTTATCAGTGGAATCGGCCTCGTTGTTGTCATCGATGTCTAATAAGGCCATCGCGTGAGTGCAGTCGCCTGTGTGTCGCGTACGTCTCCGTTCCTCGGGCGAGTATTCGAATCTGCGGGTGTCATACTGTTTGCCGGGCATCGCGTTCGTGCGGTCAGTTGCAGTTTTCAGCTCGGATACGTATATTTAACGCTGGAGGCTATAGCATGATTGGACCGCGGGAGGTGGAAAATTAATTGTAATGTCGCACTAAGAGCATTTCATTCCGTGCGGTTCTGTGGCTTGAGTGAAAGTAATCACCTCATTTGTGATTTCAGCCTCTTCCTCGTAGCTCAGCGCCACGACGGCGAGCATCAGGTTAATGAGGTAGAACGAGCCAAAGAATACGACCACTGTGAAGAACGTCACGCTAATCGGGCCACAAGCCGACAGAACCTTTAAAATACAATGAGCTTGTTAGTCCGTTGACTCGTAGAATTTGTCGCGTATACGATTGTTCAAGCTGAAAGAAGAAAAGGGAAAAGAAAACCGCAAAACATCGCAACAAAAGTAAATAGCGAGACGAGCGACGAGCTCGGCTTCGCGGATATTTACCGATTTAAAGCACTTTGCGCGATTCGCTTTGTTGACCCGTCAAAAAAAGTATATATATATATACTTATATATATATATATCGATATATATATATATATACATCGATATATATATATATATATATATATATCGATGTATACGAGCGAAAAAAGCCGAGCCACTAGCAAAATAAAGACCGCCACGGGCGTGCAAGCTCAAGAGGATAAATGACTCGTCAAAGGCACAAGCGAGCGCGGGGTCATCCATCACTCGGCTGCCACATAATCGGTCGCTCGCGCACTTAGCCGCGCACAAAACACGGCCGGTGGCGCGCAGTAGGCCGTGCGGCAGCGAGCCGAGGCGTTAATTGGCTTCGCCGTGTATACCTTGTTGTACACGTCCTCCCAGTAATCGAGGGTGATGAGCTGGAAGGTGGTGAGCATCGACCACAAAAAGTTATCGAAGCTGGTGTAGCCATGGTTGGGATTGGGGCCAACCCGCAGGCACGTGAAGCTCTCGTTGCAGTGCCTGCAAAGTGTGCGTGATGCCGCTCAGACAGCGTCGCTGCTGGCCTCCCCGCGGCGCGCGACTTTGCCCGAGGGTCGCGCTGCACGCGCCGCCGGGCGCTCGAGCGATCGGGCGGAGAGGAGCCCCAAAGGGGCCGCGGACTCGCGAAAGCTGCGCGCACGGCAGCGCGGGATCGATCGAGCGGCCGATAAAGCGCAATCGATGGCTCGCGAGGAGCGAGGAAGAGGGCGAGATAAATCCGAGGGGAGCGAGGTGCGTGGGCATTTTTACTCGGTTACAGGCATATATCGCGAGCGAGGCCGGGAGCCGCGCGTTACGTCCAAGAAATACGGCCGAGCGCACGCCGAGCATTACTACTGAAGCGCCAGGTGCTCGAGCGCAACCAGCCGGAATCCAGTCTCTTGGATGATTTATCGGGCGGGCGCCGCGGCGCTGCGGCTCACCGGCAAATTGTTTGTTTAATCGCATCGCCACGGGAACGCACAGAAGCGAGGCAGCTCGGGTCGATCGAGAGCTCGCGTGCGCCTCGCCGTTCGTCTCCAATGGCCGCGTCGGCGATGCGTGTCTCCGCGAGGCGCGATCCCGAGCGACCTAGGCGAGCGCGAGAGAAAGGCTCGGCGGCGCGCGCACCCCGACCAGCTGAGACAGCCGTGGCGCGGCCGCTGGCGTACCTGGCTCCGGTGACGTTCCCGCAGATGAAGGGCTCCTCGGCGTCGTCGAGCGCCCAGTTGGACGAGTTCCAAGTCCACCTGTTGGGACAGAGAAAGGGAGCAGCGCAGTTAGAGCCGGGCGCGGAGAGAATGTTTCGCGTGTGTGACGCTAGCTGCTGAATTTTTCATGCTGTTTGCCGTCGCGCGCCCCTTGCCCCTGGCCCCTTCCCCCTTCCAGCGTCATTGCCCGGTCGTATCATGCCAGCCAGTTTCAGCCGCAGCGAGCGGATCGCCGATGCGATTCAAATCTACTTCGGAATTGCCGCTGCACTGCGAGCTTGCGCCTTAATGGGTCTAGCGCCATTGTCTTGGCTTTTCGTTCGGTCGGGCAGAGCTCCGCGCGGTGGATGACGGACGCCGGCGAAAGCTCATGTCCACGTCGGTGCCCACCGCGAGGGAAACGCGAGCGGAAATTCCAGGGGATGCTATCCGTTCGCGGCTGAGAAAAGGGGGCTCGTTTTCTATCTGGACGTGCGTCGCAATTCCGAGAATGCTTTGTTCCAGCGGTCACTCGCCAGTTCTCTTATCCTTCCTTTGATTTACCGACCTCGTCATACGTGCTTTTAGACGTGCTTTTAGCGCGCGCGCGCCACAATCAGTTGCTCAATACGTTCTCTAGTGCTTTAATCATTGCTAGCTACGTGAAAATATTTATCGTGCCTTGGCAAATCCAATAATCTGTATTAAGGTGACGGCAGATCGGTTGTACATAAGGCGTGTCGATATAATTCGAAGAAGGAAATTTGATTATTTGAGCGAGAAAGGCGTTAATATGCAAATTTATTTTACATATTGTTATCGTGCTACATGAGAACTTGAATTTTCTAAGCGGAATGCGAAAACAATGCAAGAAAACTCATTTAGTTGAAAAATTCAGCTGTAACTTTATTCCACGTATTACGTGACAAGGTGGACAAAGTTACACGGAAAGCGTCCTATAGTATAAACGAAACCTTCGAAATTTCGGCTGAAGTCTAATACCGATAATCGTATGATTTAGACGCGATTGGAACGTCGATAATCAATGAAACAGCGATGGCATGGTGATACGGAGAAACGAGAAAATGGAATCGCATTGGCGAAGCGAAAGTTAATGCAACTCACTCTCTCCAGTCGAGGGTGGCGTTGGGCTCCATGTGCTTGACGCACTTGTTCCTCAGCTCGCCCATGTAAACTTGCAACGCGAACAACGCAAACACCATCAGGCAGAAGATCGTCAGCGTCATTACCTCGGCTAGCTGCTTGAAGCTGTGCAGTAGAGCGTTGATGATGGTCTTTAACCCTGCAACGTTACGTTTTTTTCAGTCCCTTTTATCCCTCTCCACGTGTGTAATGTTTAATTTCTAAACAGTAAGGGCTAATTGCGCAAGCGGCTAATGAGGATCTTTTTGTCTCGCTCGTTTCGCCTTTCCCCCGGAGAACTTGGGCGGTGTGGAGCGGGGGTGATTTTGACTCGCGCGATATTGTGTTTACGACTGGCGGCGGCGTGGCTCTGGCAGAGTTGCTAATTTTTGAACAAATTAAATTAGGCTACTTTCCGCTCTGATAAGGGCTATTCGCGCTAATGGTCTTGGCCATTCCGTATTTCTTTCTCCCTCCGTCTCTCGCGTCCGCGCTCACCCCGTCGCCCCTCGCCCCTCGCCCCTCTGTGTTTCGGGGTTTATGCAAATTGCTTGAGGCATTGTCGAGTCCCAGTGCTTTCTACGGCTGTTTTTCTTCTGCAAGCCTTGGCTCTTTGCTTGTCTGCAGTACACTTTCTCGGCGCTCTGCTTAATTTATCGCCTCGAAAATTGCACGCGCATCTATCGACGAAATTGACTTGTTTCTAATGCTACACTATGATATCTCGTAGAAATGTCATAAAAATATAACGAAAAGGTTCCCACAAGTTGCGTGAAAGTATCGTTGGTTAGCTGTGCAAGAAGTAAAAGGCAAAAAACACAGAAGAACGAAGAAAGAAAGAGAGCATTGAATGCGTTAGAAAAGGGACGTAAAAGCTCGTCGGATGACGGCACGCACGTACTTGCCGCACACAGCTTGCGTGGAACGGCGGCCTCGCACACATATAAAAGACGTGCCATTGACCCAGTCCCCGTCCAGCGCGGCGCACGCCAGCTGGCCTCTTTCTCCTTGGCGTCGTAACCGCGTCGTTAGGTAGCATTCATACGCGCGCGACGAGATCGGCTCATTTTAAACGCTACTGCTCCACTGTGAAGATTACCATCGCCGCATCGACCTTCGTCTTTTATTGTGCTCACGCTACATAGGTATATATATGTATGTGTGTATGCACGTATGTGTGTGTATATATATATACATATACGCGTAGGATAGCGCTCGAGCTCACTGTCGCGTGCGTAATCGAATTACAGAGCTTTGTTTTCCAGCAGAGGCGCTTTAATTTTTATCGACTGAGCTTTCGCTTTTGTCGAGAAATCCAACGAGTAGCTTTCTCGTGCGCCGCATCAAAATATTAGCCTCCGCTTGTACACACTGCGAGCGCAACTGTTTGGTAAGCGCGGTAAACTTCATCTCGGTCGTAAACTCTGCGGGCGAGAGAGAACAAGCCGTGGGCGCCTGGCGTGGTCGTGTCGAGTCGCGGTGGCAATTAAGACGGAACGGGCGCTCGAGATCGTTTCACCGAACGCGGAGGCGCGTCTTGATAATCCGAGAGCCAGGTCGCTACAAAAGTGCGGCTAATCGACGCTCCACAGCCGGATAAGTGATTATTCGCGCGCGGGCGAAGGTACTCGTTATCGTTGCGCTCTAGCACTCGCGAAATTTCACTTGCAGTACTGTGGAAGCGGGGGCGTGAGCGAAGTCGCGGGAAAAGGCTTTAATTATCGCCACGCCCTCGGAGAGCTGCCACGGGTTTCGCGTTTGAATTATCGCGCCGGCTAATTTTGTCGGCGCTGAGCGCCGGACGCTCGAGCTTTCGGATTGTGCAAATAGTTATTTCGCGGCTGAACTTATGTGGTGCTGGCGCTACCGCGCGTACTCGAGCGGTATCACATGCAAATTGCCGGCCTGTTGCAAATTGCTCTTGAATATCCCCAACCTTTGTCGACTCTAATTACTACCGGGCAAAAACTATTTATCCATTATTTAAATCAGTTGTGCTAGCTCTCGCTTGGCATTTCGTTGAGGGACCAGCGCACAACGAACGCTTGACATTGAGCTCGACGACTTTTCGCATTGACCCGATCGACGTATCGTCACTGGCAACGAGTGTCTTGGAAAATAGGCCGTCGCGTATCCCGGATGAGCCCATTCATTTGCAATCGCTCTGAAGCAGCTTGGCTCGGCACATTGAGGCGCGCGAGATGGTGCTTTGTCGCGAAACCGCTTTGCGAAGATGCAAAGTCAAGCGGATAATGCATCCGGCAAACTTTCGACCCTCAAATCACCTTCCCGAACGTCGCCCCTTTGCGTGTTAGAAGCGCGCGCGAATAATTAACGCCAATCAACGGCTGTCGCTGTCCCGTAAACGTCCGGTGTCTGCAGTGCGTACGCATGCGCTGATTGGCCGGCCGACTTCCGCAGCAGTAGTAGCGGCCCTTACGCTCACTCGCGAGCGCGCGTGTCTTGCGCGTTTCTAGAAAGCCGTCAAGGCTGAGAATTTTCGGGGCTACGGGCATAATTCGACTTCCAGAGAGCTGCAGCAACGTCGCCTACGGTGCATCAGATGCAAAAAATGGCTCTTACGAGCCAGCGAGATTGCCAAATTTTTGCTATTCTCTTTTCACGACTTTGAAAATTTAATACGCATCGTACTCGCTCCGAACTCTACTTGGCCGCGCTTTCTTTATTTAAATTTTTTGGAAGGATTTTGCAAAAAGCATAAAGTGCAAATTTTATGTATTAAGTTTCCTTTTCCTCGCACGGTAGGGCACAAGATAGGGTTTAAATTCTTGATTTGATATCTCTTTAGAATTTAAAATAATAATGGCTAAAGCTTTTAATAGAAGATAATGGAAATGGAAATTTTTTTTTTAATATTCATTAAAAAGTATTGGCTTTGTTAGAGGTCCTTCTAAAAGTCACAGTGAACTTTGATAAATTAAATCAGATTTCGCAGCGAGGATATTGCGTTACGGATATATATTGTAGAATTGGATATGATTACGAGGGTCACTAACTCAATTGGATCATTGTTGAATTGATCACAGTAGCTGCTGCTACTTAGCCCGTAATAATAAATCGCGCAGGAATAATTAATGAGTGTTCTACGAAAAAGAAAGAAAAGAAAGCACACATACTCCAGACGAGAGATAGATAGATAGAGAGAGAAAGAGAGGACCGAAACTCTCGTTAATTTTAATGGAATAAAAATGACGTTTCATCGATATATCTTCAATATCGATTAATTATAAATTTGCGCTTAACGAGCAGACCAATAAAGTTTGCATCAATCGCGGCTCAATCGATTACTCCGGCGAGAGAGAGAGAGAGAGAGAGAGAGTGACGGTAAAGGAAGGATCGAGTGATTAGAGAAAGTTCAGCTCGTTGATGTAGTATATCGGAAAGTGTAGCTAATGAAATCAAATTTTCCGACCCCCTCGCGCTAGCTCTCGGTCGTCCTCGTTGATTTCCGCGTGCGCAGACTTACAATCTGATTCCAGTTGGGTACAGAAAAAGGGAAAGAGAAAGAGAGAGAAACACCATTTGAGATTTGATATGAAAGAGAGAGAAGATTCGTCACTCTATAAAGGAGATTGCTGCTTTAATAAATTAAATTCGCTGAAACAAACAGCTTTTACTCTCTCTCTCTCTCTTCTTTTCTCTGACTTCTGCTAGATTATAATCGTGTCTTTTCATTACTTTTCGTATCGCGTGGAGCTCTTTTTATCTTGCGCTGAGAATTAGCTAATTGTAGGATCCTTCGGATTCATTTCGTTATCTTGCAGGGAGAGGGGATGCCGAGTGTGGAAAACAACAAATATACGCTATTGTTAAACCATAAATACCTGTTCCAGTTCCGTTAAGCGCATAAGACAAATCGCACGACGCGATTCTTATGACAACGCGTTCATGAACAAAGTCTCTTAGTGAAATTCCAGGCGTGCGGGCCATCGAGTGCGATCCCCGCACATCCAACATTAATATAGCCTCGCGTCTTCGTTATCGCGGCAAAACTTTGAGAGTCTCGTCGTGTCCGTGCCGACGAAAAAAAAAGACGGCTAAAAGGCTGAGTTTGGTTTCTCTTCTAATAAATTGAGACAGGCGATGACAACGTAGACGGCCAAGTTGGAGCAACTAATTTTCGAGGTGTTGCCGGGTGAAAAAGAGAAAAGAACAAAAAAAAAAAAGAAATAAAAAAATAACAAACGCTGCGCAAAATTAACGGCGACAAAACGCGCGCGAGAAGACTTTATGAGGAAAGTTTCGCCAAGCCTGGCGCAGATTAAAAATGTACACGGAAAATACGCACACCGATTCGTCTTCGTCGTGGACGCGCGTGTGTGGTGTATTTCGCTTTTCTTTCGCGATCGCGCGTTTGGAAAAAGATGTTGATTTAACGGGCTCCGGAATCCACTATTAAGATCGAGCGCGAACGCGTGGAATTTTAAAGAGCTCCCTTTCTCCATCGTTCTCTCGATCGTCTCTCTTTTTCTTTTTTTTTTCTTTTTTCGTCGAATCACTAACATATTTCAACGCAAGCTTAACGAGCCGATAAAAAATTGTTCTATCGAATTTTTTAGAACCGAAAGCAATTAGCCTCGTTTTCCTAGCCACTCGCACCGTAGGCGATTGGCGAAAAAAGAACTCGCGACGATATATAAAAGAAATAGGGATTTATTTTTTTATTTGGATTTCATTATTATTCGATGCATGCCAGCCCGGCAGTAGCGGAGTTAATTACCGAATTCGCTGATAATTAGGTGGTCAGTTGAATTCATCATGAATGCGCTCATGTATAATAAATTTTTATTAAAAGTAAATAAGCGCAGGCTTCGACTAATTAACATGTTCATTATGCGTAATCTTTGTTTCCAGCGAGTTCATTTCTATATAATACAGCGAGCAAGAATGATAAATAAGTGGATAATGCTTAAATGTGATCAGACCATGCGCGAGCTACTCAACGAGCGAGCGAGAAAAAGCGGGTTGCGCCGGATAGAGGAGCAGAGCAGTGTTTTCGTATAATAATGAGGCGCAAAAAAAAAATACAATTTGATTAAAGCAAAATTTCTCATCATGCGCCGCTCGTTATCTTTTAATCATAAAACGCAATAATTCGCCATATATAGGACAACGCCGAAGGTAATCTCATTCTGCGCGCTTTTCTTTTATTGTAGGGCCTGTGAACGCCACTGCGTCGCGTTTTAATCGCTCACTTACACAAAGGCAACGCTCGAAAAATGTTTCTGCTCGTTTCATTGAAAATACAAGTTCGTTCTTGTACCCCCGCTCTCTTCTTGGCTGCCGCCGCGGCGGCGAGGAACTCAAACGCCCCGTAAAAATAAAGCCCGTGTAATTAAAGGCTGGCAGCTGTCCGGCACTCGTAATATTACGCCATCGAACTCGATCGTTTGATCGTCGCGGTGGAAAAGGAAGAAGAGCCGAGAGAGAGAGAGAGAGAGAGAGAGAGCGTCAAAGAAGAGCCGAGCCCGGGCTTCACTTTCCGATAAGCTATATAAGCGGTGGCGCTCGCTATCGTCGTTTTCTTTTTTACTCGCCCATCGAAGCTTTTAAACGAGAGGGAAAAAGAGAGAGCCGGCCCTTTATCCAGCCAGCACGCTGAGAGAGAGAGAGAAAGAGAGACCGCGCGTGCATGAGATACAGGTAAAACGACGACCTTATGGGACCTTTTCACGCTCGCGTGCGTTAATCTTGAGAGCGAGCGGCGTTGTTGCTGTTGCTGCTGCTGCTCTTGTTCTCTTGTCTGGCTCTCTACCGTTGCTGATCTTTCCGTGGAGTCGAGCTTCCTACGGGATCTTTTATTTTTGTCTCCGCTGTTGTTTTGAACTGTTTGTTTTGAATAGACTAGCGACCGGCATGGCATCTTTTTTCCGTTTCTTTTTACCCTTGACTACTATCTATTGTTAAAGCTCGATGCTTGTAACTAGGATTGACGTACAAGCTTGATTGGATATGCCTATGCGCGCGCGCGTCAACTGACAATTTTTTGTCGCTCGCTTGTTTTCGTGCTTCAATCAACAGATAATAAAGATTTTTTCTTCGTCAAGTTCAGCTCTTTACGTTAAGTTTTCGCTACTGTTAGATCTAGATAGATATCGACTTTCAATTCTCATAAGAAAAAAACAGACCTAGCCATCTTCATGAGATCATCTGCTTTGAAATTAGCTGCGGAGAATCGTAATGGTCGACAGTGTTATCATAGGTGCCTCTGACGCCCTCGTCATCGACGCATAAACTACGTTGCAAAGCGGGAAAACGAATGACTTTAATAAAATCTGCGTCGCTTTCGCGTTCTACGTCAATATTTCCGTTTGGAGCCGTTCGTACTGATGCTCCCGCTGCTACTGTGGCACGGCGCGTCCGGTAAATTTACAGACCAGAGCCTCGAGCTTTACGAGCCGCCTATATCGTTTACGTTCTACTCCCCCCTTCCGCCTCTCAAACAGCTTGTTTTTTCACGTTTCTAGTGCTTACATTATTATTATTAGTAGTCATTATTGTTATTACGGCACGATAACGATAAATGAAAAAGATACGCGACTCTACGTAGTGATGCTTGGAATTATTTAGTGATTTTCTGACGATGGTCGCGGGTCACATCAAACACAGCGACACGAAGTTTATGGAACGCGCGCGATATCGCAGTGACTTATTGAACAGAGGGAATGTTTGCGGATGGAGCGTTGAAATTTCCGCTGGCCTGTGTATACGTACTGCATATTTGCAATCTAGAGAATAAACAAAATGCTTGCTTACACAGTCTGAAATTGGTCGTCATCCGGTTGGTTAAGTGACGTACGAGATTTGAATTTGCAGACAGACGACAATCCAGAAATTCGTTATTGTGCAAATATTACATGTTGCAGATTATTCAACATTTACAAGTTTCATTGTTATTCGTATGCCAGCACAGGTAACGTCGCTTCTGAGAGTTGAGCGATTTAATTGAATTTTACGCCGTTATAAAGCAACGTTAAATTTATCGAACTACATGTAACGCGAAATCACCGACTATCAGTATACGATATCGAATTTGTGCGATCAATATGTAACAAAATTAATTCATCGTATAATAGCTCTCCCGAATTTTCACGATGAAAAGCTGGTTGGTTTTTTTCATTTTCTATGCGTTGTTTTTTTTGATTTTTTTTTCAACGACAAGATATCGAGAAAAAAGGCATATTTTGCGGACAACGAGACAGGCAGACAGTCGGTTCGTTATGCGCTGTGCTATAGCCAAAGCGAGCGGTCCCGTAGGAGGGTTGGGTGCATAATTGATTTAGTATCGCGGTCCTCCCAGAGGCAGGCGGCTCGGTAGGTAGCGCAATGCTGCACGATATCGCTGGCGAAGAGTCGGGTATAATGGATCGGTCACTTTGATCGGGCGCCTCGCGCGAGTCCACCTCGTGTGTGCCGCCGGTCGCTCACACGCGAGCCGACATTATTGCCTTATATTGCCCGCTACCACTATCGCAAGAATCTAACGGCTCTAATCGGATTGGCTCCGTTTGATGCGGTTGTCGCGCTGGATTCGCACAGCCTATCGGGCTTGATTCCTGCATGCTCTTGCCGCATTTCGGACAGATGCGCCCTGGGCGCCACTCGATTGTTTATGGATTGCACGTAGCCGAGGGAATGATTCATTATTGGCTTGAAATTGAGATTGTGCGCGCGTGCAATGTCAAAATAAAGACAGCGAGATACTTGTTCAGGTTCGGCCGGAATCCGAAGAAACTTCTGAAAAATCGTAGAAGAGTCGTAGTGGTTGCAAATTTTACCGTTGCATCCAATTCATACCGAGCAACTTCTGCCAAAGAACTTTCCAAAATGTAGCATATACGACGCGCGAAAGCTTCGAGAATCGAGAAATGGAGCGAGCTCGCGAGTCGCGCGACGGCTGAATAATAAACGAGGAGCGGCGGGGCGGAGGTGGGCGATTAATGACCGAGTGGCCGTAGGCGTGCGCACACACTTACCTGGCATAATTGAAACAGTCTTAAGGGCTCTCAATACCCTGAACGTCCTCAGACCAGCGAGATTCCCGACCTCCATGCCGATGGTCGCGTACCCGCTTGTAATCACTACAAAGTCCAGCCAATTCCATGGATTCCTCAGGTACGTGTACTTGTTTAGAATGAATCCTTTTGCTACGGATTTTATCACCATTTCTGCCGTGTAGATGGCTAGGAAGATATATCTGCAATCACATTGCCAATTTTACAGCGGTATCGCGCCGAGGCGTTTAACTGCAGTTCGCGGCTACCGAAAGTAGAGCAACAACGAGCAACTCTTCGTAAATTCAAGCAGCGCGAGTCAGCTCGGTGCATAAAAACCCGTTGCTTTTTCAGCTCGCGCCTCGGCTGGTTGCGAGCTACGCCAGTCTAATTACCTCCTAAGTCAGCCGCAGAGCCAACTTGTTTTTCGCGAGAAAAAAAAAACCCAAAGCGACAATCTTAAGTAATGATTAAGCCGTTCATCACTGGAAATGAGATTTTTCTCCGGACCGACCAAGTAACATTCCTCGAGAGAGATTTCGCTGAACTATGCATTCGCCGCAGTGACAAGTTTTCGTCGGTTATGTCAACTTTAAATAGAAGATTAATGCATATTTTTGAGTTTATGGGAATGACCGTGTGGAATGCTGGATTACAAGTTGTTTTATATTCATGGCCTATTGATTTGGCATTGTGAAAATAGTCTACTTTGTTATTTACGATTGGCTGTGAGGCTAAAATATTTGCACTTAATTATTCAAAATTCATTAAGCCTGGTCTTTATTAATTAAAGTAGTTATTGACACTAACTAAATAAAGCTCAATAGTCCTCAATATGTCAATATTGTAGATGATATTTTCTGTATAAAACAAGCTTCGTGGTCTAGAACTTTATAACTTTAATCACAAGACAGAGCTGAAGAAGTATGTGTTTGAACTTAATATTCAATTAACGGTAGCGCGTCTAATGCAAAAATACATGTGGTTATTTAGTACTCTAAAATGTTTGAACATAATTTGAATGGCTTGCAATTTTACGGTATCTAATAACACTCTGAACTAGCTTTAAACAGTTAAAAAATTGATAATTTAATTCTAACATGCATTGAGTCGTTATAAATCATTATAACGCCAAAAAAGCGAACTAACTTTTGTGAGTTCAGAAAATCGCTTTACCCAAGCGCTTTAGAAAGTAAACACATACGGCAGTGGGTGATAACCGTAGCTCCCCATGAGCGAGCCGGGCCGCGTCGTACCGTCGCGTAGGTGGTGTACGTGTAGCCTCGTCGAGTCGTAAAAATTGATCGACCTAGATTGCGCGGCTCGCCCGAAATGCTCCTTGATTCGCGCGCGGCCGATCTGATATAATTAACGAGCGACGCCGTGCCACCTCGCACGGTCAATATTAATTCGGACGCGTTCAAATTTACCCCCCACCCCCTTCAGCGCACGCGTTTGCGCTTGGACGAGTGATTTCATGGTGCGATCGCTCGCTGGATCCGTCTTTGTTTTATTGCAGAGCATCGGCTGGATGAAGGATGGAAGGATTTGCGAAGGACTGACTTTATCGGGACTTCTCCTGCGATTGGATAAATAAGGATTTGCTTTTAATTAAGTGGAATCGGGTACTTTGCGAAACAGGGATGAGAGAAGTTCAGCGGCTGCAAATCAATAGTTGCTTTGAAGTATCGTGATCATCGAAGCCAGATCAAAGCTCGTTGGCCGTTTATGAACGGCGATAAATATATTTGCGAAGAGTAGAAGCCAAACGGTTGACGCGCATCACACGAAAAGTCAGTTGTGCGCGACTACAAAGTCGCCGGCTAATAAGGCTGTCGCAGTCAATCTTTGCGAGGCAAATAAAGCCCCGAAGACCAAAGTTTGGAGATCCTAAGTTCCAGAGATCGGAGCACTCAAAAAGTTTGAATAAGCGTGAAGTCAAAAGCAAACTATCACGCACTTGGCAACAGGAACTGACGGAGCCGGTTCCCTCGATCAAGTGGTCGTTGTGTATACGACGCGCGTTTTTTCTCCCTTTTTTTTAATGACGCGGTGCGAGAGGTTCATTATTGCTTCCACTGAAGCCCTCGCGAAAACTTTTCGAGTGGCTCTTCCTCTCTCTCTCTCTCTCTCGGAAAAAAAACGACGGACGAAAAATAGAGAGAAGCGTGCGCAGTCGGTTTGATTTATGCAGCGAGCGATCGTGATGCATGCGATCTGACGAGTTGTGAAAAGCCCATCGTTTGTCGGGTAAACATCGACGACGACGTGAAAAGCGGAGTTGATGAAAGTTTTCAGCCGCGTAGCCAAGATCCACTTTTAAATGCGATTTATACGGGGACTAGATGGCCGAGATGTTGAAAAAGGATTCAATAAAGAGAGCGAGAGGGGGGAAGGGTGGAGGGTAGTTAATAACTGGCAAGCGGCTTTAATCAGCTTTTCGCGCGATTTTAGTAACGAGCTTCATCTCGTTGTACACGACACTCATCACTACAAATGAGAAATGTTTGCTATCGTCTACACTGACATCCCGCGTTAAACGTGTATTCAGTTTTAACTGGAATTCGTGCTAAACGCCATTGGCAGCCATGGAGTGAGATAACGGGATTTGCAAACTGCGTACTGCGATTTGCAGACTCGATAAGATGTACACTCGAAGTGAATCGATTTCTCGCAGCGAGTTTTAGCTCACCCAGAAACCGTGAAATTGTTCGGCTGGAAATCATAACATCGCGGCGCTCATCTGCATGCGCTCGCGCGAGACACCAAGATAATTCGTTTAATCAATTTGGTACTTAACGCGCGATATCACAGCAGGCTCGTAAATCGCGGCACCGCTAGCGTATTAATTTTGATTATGATAGAGCTAAGAACAGAGCGAGCGCAGACTAATAAAGAGGTACAAGAGTGGGCAACCGGCGGGACGAACGAGCTATAAACAAGAAACGAATGGCGCGACGGCTGCCTAGCCGCCTGCTGTCGGACCTGGAAATCCCTTCCTCGGCTTTAGCGGACTCGCGTCGCGTGCAGCTGGCTTTACGACGAGGACGCCGTCCAAGAATCCACGTGGACTTGACGGCTCAAGTTCTCCATGCATACTGCTAGCTTTGCCCTGCTCCCCGCGCCACTTCGCCACTTTCCACATCCACCGCTCCGAGATAAGGAGGCGCCCTTTCGCCCGATAACACACTCGGTAAACGCTTCGTGACTTTTCGCGCACGCTATCGCAGTCAACCCCCCATCCTCCATCTCCCTACTTATTCCACGTGAGCTTTTTTTTGTTCATTGAATAGCTGGCTTCAATGATGTCTGCGTTTATGAGCGCGATGAAGTTTTGACGGCCGCAACGTTAAATTTAATGAGCATTCTTTCTCTCTCTCTCTCTCTTTACCCTTGCCGCCGAGCTATACCGCGCTGGCCAACGTCGTTGTAATAAAAGAAGCGCATTTTTCATCCACGGCTATAAACGTTAAACGTTTCGTAATCAACTGAATCTTTTCAACAATGAAAGCTTTACGACGGGGCCAGTTTAATTTTGGACTTGGTCGCACGTGCTGTACAAAATTGCCCATTGTTCTTAGATGCGGTTCCTCGAACGCAATGTCGCTACATAGAATGGAAAAAAACAAGAGTGGATACTTACTCGGCTTCTTCGACAGTCTCGGTCATGGCTAGGAAGACGCAATTTAGTAGAATGGTGGTCATGACCACGTAATCGAAGTACTGATTGGTGCTAATGAAGATGCAGCAGCGCCTTATCGGATTCCACGGTGAGAAGATAAACCAGCTCTTGGTCGCGGTGAAACGGTGGATGTAATTCTTTCGAAACCTCTTCGACACTACGCAAAACGTCTGCAACACAAACGCAAGCACAAGTCGATTATGCAATATAAATTAGTCTCGTTCCAGGAGTCGCGTGATAAAAATTCCAATCAATATTATCATTATATATATATCTTTCTTCCTAATTACATCGGCATCGTATCGCACGTCTGGCTAATGATTGGAGAGAAAGTGCCAGGCTGGCCAATAACGCAAGAGCGCGCTAATTAAGATTGTTCACGTGATTAATCACCAAAACGTACACTAGAGTCCGCTTTGCGGTTCGAACGAAAGGGAAAAAAGGAAAACCCAATTGAAATTCAGTAGCGGGTCCCCGGGCTATTTGACTTACGGTTCATTTCACCAAAGAGCTCGCAAAAATCAAACGGGGCCAGCAGTAGCAGCAGCGGTGGCGGCGGCAAGTCGTAGGATAAATAAAATTCCAGCGCTCTGTTTGCAAGCTCGTGGGGCTCTGCTCTCTCCGCGCGCGCATGTTTATACGCCGGTGGGAGAGTGGCCGTAAGGTCGGCATGAATAAAAACGTATGCGCGATACGCCTGATTCCCGGATACGTACGATTGGAGGCTCGAAGCGCCAGAAGCGCGAAAAATCGAAAATAATAGTTTTGCCGGTCGCGCCCAAGCAAAAAACCGTCAATTTATCAGTTTTTCTAGAAATATGCCGACGGGGAAAAACAGCACGGAAACGGCGGCAGAGAGAAAGAGACAGAGAGATAGAGAGTAACGAACGAGAGCGAGAACTCGGATAATTGCCTTATTTTCACTCGTTCGCTCTCTTGAAAAGTCCAGCAGATTCATAAATATTTCCAGCCTCTCTCTTCTCCCAGCTTCCGTCGGCTTTCTCATTTTTTTTTCTTCATTTTTTCGACTCTTAACTTTTTAATTAACTTGTAAGCTTTAATTAGCACGTTCCATCAGCGCCCGACGCTTTTCACGCGTGAGTGTGTAGTGTCTCGCGCAGTCAAAAGTCGGCTGCAGGGACGTTGCTCTGTGCTCGCTCCAGTTTCTCCCGCTCATTGTTTCTCGCGTCTCTCTCGGCCTGACACCTGCGTTGCGACGCGCGCATACTAATTGAAGCTCGCTGCCTGCCGTAAGTGCTTTCACCTGCCTACCGTCGTGCCCTTTCTCCACCTTCTCTCCTTGTTCCCCGGACGTTTCCTGATCTTTCGGCATTGCGCGCGCTGAATAATCGCTTTTTGCGCGCTACGCGACCGAATTAAATGCTCTCGGCACTTATCGAGGATCGCGCTGCGTCAGCTCCTGAAAATATCGAAGACGATGTTTGAAAATTCATGGGCGACGACGGTACGTTGCGGGCAATGGCTTTGATCGTAATGGACGATCTAGCGTTCGAACTCTCGTCAAATTCGAAATGTGCGTTGCGCCACGTCGTTCGAAATAGCGAGCTTCGCCGGGAAACCCGAGCCAATGGATTAAACGGCACCGTAAAACGTTACCGGCTAGAGAAAAATATTTCTACCTATAATATTACGTGAAAAATGTCTCTACGAGTGTCGTTCGAATTTTTCGTTTTCCTTTAAAATTTGGCTATTTTAAAAACGGCTGAAATTCCTCGTGAAGGATTGACGGTGTGACTGGCGAGGATTGCCGTGTGCACGCCACTTGTTAGTCACTTATGCCAGCAGCTCATGCATACATGCATCGCGTGGGATTATTGAGTGCTCACCCCGACAAATGCTTCCTATTTTCAGTTGTCATTGTTTTGGTGCAGCGGATGGGTTGCCGACTTGAAGTACGTCTTGCGCGTAGCACGTGCGCGACTCTATGCGTTAAAAGCCGGAACTCTTTGGTGTTTTCACGAAAAACAGCTGCTTGCATATTTCTGACATCGAGAAAAATATATTTCGGATTGGATGTTTCGTCATAGCGAGAGACTTTCGTAACGCGCGGAAGCTTTTATTTGGAAGCCACTGCGGTGGCCCCGCGATGTAGTCCGCGCAAAATAAAAAGCTTGTGAAATTGGAGAAAAACAATAGAAAAAGCACGCTTATGCGTTGAACGGGGAAAAAACACGAGCTGCGCATCGCACTTTAATTAACGAAACAAAACAAAAACGGAAGATATGCTTCCGGTTGCATTCCCTCGCGAGCGTTAGTAAAAGAGAACTAGCCCGTTGGCGCATTATCATTATTATTATTATTATTATTTTCTCCACCAAATATCGAGCAAATTCATCGTCACTTCGAAAAGAGCCATGCCGCGGTCGTATTTCGCAGTGCCAATTCCCATCTCATCACGGAAAAATATCAAGCGCACAAAGAGCCGCTACGTAGCTGCTGCAAGCTCGTCCTCGTTAAGCTGTCTGCAGGGCGAGAAAGCGGGAGAGAACTTAAATCGAATTCCCTTTCTCGACACGCGGCTAGCTGTAGAAGAAAAGTCGATTCCCGAAGAAAAAGAGCGCGAGATTGCATGCTTGAGAGAGAGGGGGGGGGGGATGCTGCAATTGAAATTCGATTAGTACCTCTCAAACGTTGCCTGAAAATTAGACCGACGTAAATCGCGAGGCTTTACGAACCTCATAAACATGCGAATTGCTTAGAACGAAGCCTTCGTTTTGTGATTTTATTGCCACCATTCAAGTTATCCCTTGACGATTGCGGGACTCGCCGATGAGGAGCGAAAAAATAAATGCTCGTTCTTTGCGCTTTACTTATTTTCTCGGCAGGTCAGCATTTACACACACCATAGACACATACACACACACACACACACAAGTAGGGCGTGCAATCGTAACCATCTACCTTTGGGATTGCACATAATTTCTCAAGAGGTGGCTGATGTTAACGGCTTATTATCGCCGCCGCGTTCGTTCAATCCGAGCGTCAATGTTCCAATCACCGTCACATCCACAGTCCGCTAAGTTGCCATCGCTGGCAAAACCCATAATTGCAAGCAACTCGTTTCCAGAGCACCCGATGATGGAGCAAAAAGAAACGAAGGATTGATGCGTCCGCGAAATCGCGCGCGCGACGCCAAATTATTCAGTAGCTCGATTTTCGCGGACGGTAAGCAAGCAAGTAGGCCAGGTGTTGATGGGAAGCTCCTTTCACGTGACCGCGGCACTGTTACATTGGCGATGTCGCCGCGACGATTGTAGCCGAGGTCGATTCGGCAACAATTGCGCGCGCGACGTTTATTAGATTGTGGCTTTCGCGCACCTCGTTATTACCCCTCCGCCCGCGCATTATGCAAAAGCTTCCTCTCTCGATGCGCGCGCGCGAGTGTTTAGTCGCGGACGGCAGCAGCTATTGCTCGTGTGCACGAGTTTGACGGGCGCTGGAATTATTTAGGTTGGGATTAGCGTACTCGTAATTACATTGCTTAGGAGTGAGAGATATTGGAATTCACTTTTTAGGACAACTGACTGGTTGGTTTTTATTTACGGGCGTGATCCGACAAATAAAACTTGAAACGGCAGCGAGTATTATCAATCAGACGCGAAAGAATCGATTGATGTTCTTTTCAATGTATGCATGTTAGCAACACCGCGTCGTGCTCTTTTTTCGAATTGATATCTACACAGGCGAGATGAACAAGTGACGGATGGCAGGTCTTTAGGAAAAGTTTGTCAAACTCGCGGTTTCGCCGCAGCCGAAAGCCGAAAGTCAAACTTTCGAGTACCCGGCGGTCCTCCATTGGTTATCGGATAGCGATTGATGGTTCCATCGTCAGTGTCTGTGAAAGTTTGCCCACGCGTCATACCGATTGACCGTCGCAGTCTTCTCTCCTCCGTTGCTCCTTGACCGCGTCGTCGACGGTCACTGCCCATCCAACGTCTTCGAAGTACCACAAGTAAGCCTCAACGTCGTTGGACCTTTCCCTCCAGAAGCTCTCCGACATGCTAAGATAATCGGCCCAAAATCGCGCTTCCGCGCGTAGTCTGCGCCTCATCCTGCCGACACGGTTGGCAGCCGTGGTCCAGTCGACTCCGGCGTCGACCTCGCTCTTGTAAGCTCTCTCGAGTGGGTCGACGGAATACTTGTGCGGCGCCACTGGCGTTTCCACTGGGCAAGTCAACAGATGCGGAAGCTGCAGGTCTGGTGCGTCCAGCAGCACGAGGATCACGCGCTCCCGCGCGCTCGCGGCCATGATCGCGACGGTTCGCGCTCGAGGCACGCAACTGCGCGAGATAAGTGAAAGATTGCACCGCGTGAGTTAGTGCCGCTCCGATTGATGCCACTCGCACGCGCTGCACGCTCGCTCTCACTGCCATAGGTATTGCCGGCAACGCTATTTTTCAACCTAGACAAACTGATACTCATCGCGATTGTCGCGCTGGCGCTAGCGCTGCCGCCGCTTCACCGGGACAAGCGGTTCGGCTGATAGGGAGCCTTGTTGGAACGCTCGTTTGCGAGATTCTGTTCTACCAATGATGCACCGGATCTCGCAAGCTTTTCTTCTGGTATTAGTCTCCGCGAGTAGCGACTCGACAGAGTTTTTAATTTGCAGTTTGGTGGCAATGACTTTCAACGACGAAGCGAGCTATTTTTAAACGCGTGTCGCTCTTCGTCGTTCAAACAAAACACATCGTTCCATCGAAATAACTCCAGACAGATTGGAATTCGAAAGCTGGTGCACGAGAGCGAGGCTTTAATAATTTTATTACAACTGCACAAAAAGAGCGAGCGAGCGAGAGAGAGAGAGAGAGACCGCGCGCAAGAGAGATAGAGAAGGACGAGAGCAGAGTTTTCAAAACGGAATTTATAGCGGTGATTGGCGTGCTTGTGTTATTTCCACGTCGCATTTATCAGGAATGGGGGGCGACTTGATTTATCGACGATGATTCGAACTGCAGGCGCGTACTCTCTTTCTTTCGCTCTATAAATGAAAGTCGATTGATTTGTATTTTGCAAATGCAATCGTATTTTTCATTGACACTACAAGCTCGCCCTCGGCCACCGATCGACTCCATGCTTGGGAAATAGATTTGCGATCGCTCTCAACCTGCCCGTCCCCCTTTAATCAACATTTACGCGATATTTCATTTGC